GGGCCGAAATGGTGAATGCCAGAGACGTCCTCGGTGGCGATGTCTCTCAGGTAGTGGTTGGCAAACACCATGTCCAATTTCCAGAAGCAGCCCTCCATTATCGTCGTGATAGAGCAGTTTCCATGTAGAGCGAGTGTTGACGCCAGAGCTCTAATTTCATGTGGATTGGAGGCTCTTGGAGGATCAAGTCCTGCTGCTTTGTAGGCCCGTAGAATGACAGTTCTCATCCATATTGATATCGTAGTGCGAGAGATCTCAGTCTGTGTCTCTGCCGATATAGGGATGAAAAGACGCTTGAATTTTCGTCTCCTGGTCCTAGACCTTTGTAGGTAGACTTTCAATGCTCTTACTGGGCACAAGGATAGGTCCTGTGTATCCTGTGGCCCAAGGACTGATGATAGTGCTGGGATGTGGAATTGTCTGTCCGGTTGACCTGGCAGTTGATTCTTTGCTATAAAGTCCCATCTCAGTCCCATATGCACGATGTTTCGATTTTCATCAAATCGTGTCCTTTCAAAGTCTAGAGCATGTATTTCCGACATCCTTGCTGCTGTTGCTAAGGCAATCAGGAATAGAATTTTCTGTGTCAAGAACTCAAAAGATGTCCTATCTAATGGTTCATAAGCGTCACTGGTGAGATGCCGTAGAACTATGTTGAGGTCCCAAGCCGGAGCTTTAAATCTCTGTTGTTGGTCCTCCAGTTTAAAAGAGCGTAGTAAGGCCAGTAACTCTGGTACCTTAGTCAGTTTTACACTCGTCCTCATAGTGATAACTGAGCTCAATGCCGCTAGGTATGTTGAGAGTGTTGACCCTTTTAACCGCTTCGTTTGTCTTAGGTGACAAAGATAGTCCGCCACTTGAGGGTGTGTCGCTTTCATGGCTGTGAAGCCTGTTTTCAAAGCGTAGGTCTCGAAGCTTCGCCACTTGTCGTCGTACAAGTTGCGTGTTGACTTGCGTAAAGCTAGTGTGACCGCTTTAGCTGCCCTGGCGGAATATCCTCTCTTATTCAAGCACGCCTTGATACGTTCCGAGCGTGTAGGCGGAACACCTCGGGGTTGCTGTGTGCTTGCTTTGTGTGTGGATGTACTAGCAAGTTCGTCCACTCTGGTAGTTGCAGTTGAGGCGGTCCTAGTTCTTGTATGAGAATGGGGAACCATATTCTCGCTGGCCAGTAAGGCGCGATCAAAATCAGTTGCAGGTTCCTCGTCTGCATGATTTTCTGCAACACTTTCGGTATTAGAGCTGGTTGCGGGAACGCGTAAGCGTTTAGTCCTTCCCAAGAGATGCTTAGAGCATCTGTTGCCCATGCTCGTGGATCTGGTATTGGAGAGATGAATGTTACCAGTTGATTGTTTAATCTTGTGGCAAACAAGTCTATTAGTGGCGCTCCTATCTCTTGTGTAATCTGTTTGAAGATTTCTGGATGTAGCATCCATTCTGTTGGGGATGGCTGAGTTGGACGAGATAGTGCGTCTGCTATCACATTCTTGGCTCCTGGAATGTGGCATGCTTTTATGTGGATGTTCAGATTGTCTATTATGCTGAACAGATGAAAGCAAAGGTTCAGAAGGTTCGCCGACCTTGTTGATCCTTGTTTGTTTATGTAGAACGCCACTGTGGAGTTGTCCGTGTGTACCGTTAGATGAGCATTCTTTAAAATGCTGGTCCAGTGGAGTATGGCATTTATCACTGCTTTCATTTCTAGCATGTTGATGTGCAGATCTTTCTCTTGTAATGTCCATTTCCCAGCTGACACTTCGTTGTCGAGGTGTGCTCCCCATCCTTGGAGAGATGCGTCCACATAGAGATGCGTCTTGCACTCCGGCTCTGCTAAGTAGGTGCCTCCGCAAACATTCGATCTCTGAGTCCACCATAGTAGATATGGTTTTAGTCTGTCCGGGAGTCCGAAGGGGTCCGAATCACTAGGTGTGCATTTACAAAGACCTGTAGTGGGCGTAGTTGTAATCTCCATCTGCGCGTCATATCCTGTGCTGACGTGAGGAGACCCAACAGACTCTGCCACTGTCGGAGTGGCCACGGAGAGAGTAGAGCTTGCGATACCATCTGTTGTATCTTTAGCCAACGGTCCTCTGGTACTGTTATGCGGTTTTCTGTTGTGATGAGCCGAATTCCTAGGAACTGCAGGTCCTGTGTAGGCTCTAGTTCCGACTTGAGGAGATTCACTAGCCACCCTAGTTGAGTGAGAAGCCTGATGGTAAAGTCCAGCTGTAGTCTGAGATGACTGGGATCTTGATGAGCCTGAATCCCATCGTCTAGGTAGAACGCACTGCGTAGACCTCGATGATGTAGGTATGTGACTATGGGCTTCGTCACTCTTGTAAACAACCAGGTGGCCGATGATATTCCAAATGGCAGGACTTTCCATTGGTAGTGTCGTCCGTCTAGTAGGAATCTGAGGTACTTCCTTGATTCCGGATGTATAGGAATGTGCAGGTGTGCGTCCTGTAAATCTATGCTGGCCATATGGTCCAACGGACGGACGAGATGTAGTAGTTGAGGCAAATGAATCATGTTGAACTTTGCTGGTTTGCGTAGATAATCTCTGTTGAATGTCCTCATGTTGTAAATTAGACGGAACTTTTCTTTGGAGTTTTTCTTTGGTACGAGGAAAACTGGGGAGTAGAATCCTGGTGAGATCTGGTCCTGATCTATCACCTCTATAGCGTCCTTCTCTAGTAGAGATGTGACCGCTTCTTGCAGCCTCTCTGTCCGATGGGTTGCAAAGTTGAACCTCTGAGGTGCGTTTGTTAATGGAGGGACTGTTTGTAGTTGTATATGATATCCGTCTCTTAGGATGTTGGATACAAATTGATCTTGAAGAATTCCCCAGTTCTCCCAGTAGCGTTGTAGACGTCCACCCACTTGGGAAGGTTGAACAGGAACGGCTGGGGGTGGAAGACTCCAGTCGTTCCGAACCTGTCCTTCATCGTCTAAAGCCTCTGGCACCTCAAGATGGGCGACAAAAAGAATCCTTTCCTCCATTGGAGGTTCCCATTTTCTTTTCTCTTGCTTTCTGGATGCCTGCAAATTTAGATTTGCCAGAGTAGCGTTGGGACGTCTGCCTGATGACACTGGCTAGTGTATCAATGGACTTAATCATCATGACTTCCTGGATTCCTTTGTGACTTCCTTGGCAACCTCGTCAATCTCCCCTGCGAAGATGGATGTTGTAGACCATGGAGCTCTGTATAGAGTCTTAGTGAAGGTTCACTCCAGTTACATGAAGACAATAGTCCTTGTCTTCTGGCGAGCGTCAATGCTGCTGATATGGATGATAAATGCTCTGAAATAAATTGGTGGTCCTTTTTCTGCGTTAGTAGGGCAGAATAAATCATCCGGTCTTCCTCTGCAGTAGAGTTCCTGAACTTGGAGATGAGCGTTTCATTAATTGCCCTGGATCTGTTAAGTCCGAAGAACATCCTTCTGGTCATAGTGTCTATCTGTGCCAGCTTTTTGTCATCAATCTTGTAAGATTTGGTCCGGGAGTCGTTGATGATTTTATAGTTCTCATCTATTTCTTGTGCCTTCATAAAGGGATCCATGTTATGTAGTGAGAACTTCTTTGCGTTGAACTGTGGGATATTAGGAGACTGGAACTTAGTTGCCTTTCTGAAGGCTGCGTCCAGGTCCTCTGGTACGTCCGAGACCGGGTCAATTGGAGGTAGAGTGATAGTGTCCTTCATTAGGTACGTAAATGCTTCATTCTCTTCCTTAGAGGGTGACGCTAGGTCCAGTCCATTAGCCTTCCAATATTTCATCTCTGAGTCCGAAAATATGATACCGCCATCGTCCTCTGTATCATGTCCACTGGTATATGATCGTTGAATATCCTTCGTGCATGGAGATCTGCGTGGCGATCTACGTGGCGATCTGTGTGGAGATGAGTATGTTGAACTACATGTAGTTCTAAGAGGAGATCTGTATGGCGACCTGCATGGAGGTGAGCGTCTTCTAGGCCGGGATCGCCTTCCTGGCAATATATTTCTAAGTGGTGAATCCCGTGACGACCTGCGTGGTGTTGTTGATGCCCTTGAAGATAATTCAGACGACCTTCGCGCAGGTGAGAGGTTTTGTTGAGGGTCTGAGTCCCGAGACGTCTCTCTAAACCTTCTAGGAGGTGTAGGTTTCTTTCTTTGTGAAGTGGGTAGCCTGCGTGAAGGTTCTTCATTAGCCTCATCATCTGATGACGATCTATTTGGTTCTGAAGAGCGTGCCCTCCTTCGCACAGGTTTGCTGACGTCATGTTGTGTAGGTCTGCTCTTAGTCCTAGAGCTAGATCCTCTGGTAGGCCTCTCAGATGTATCATCAGTGTGGGGTCCTTTGTGCAGCACTGGATCCTCTCTGAGGTTGATGACTTGGGCATGAGAGCCGCCTGGCTGTCCATCATGTAAGGTTCTTTCCTGCGTGAAGCGCTTCTCCATCATTTCCATCATTTGTTGAGAGAATTGCTGCATGAAGGCCCCGGGGGGTTGAATGTCTGCGACGACTGTAGTGATGTCGTATCTGAGAGGGTAGCGATATGGTCCAGGGATCGCTGTGCCTCATGGATCTCTGCTGTCAGTGTAGAAGGTAACTCGGACTGCGTAGAGAGGGTTGCTGACGTTACCGTTGCTGAGGCCTGTGTCCTTTTCTTATGCAGTATCTCTGGGATGATTAACAACGGCTCATCATATAAGCCTCTCTCTTCCATCGGGACGATTTCAGCAGAAAAAGTCCTTGTAGTCTGTGAAGAACTCCCAGTAGAGCCAAACGGAGAGGGAGACAACTTGTGGTGAGTAGTGATTTTACGTCTGCTTTTTTGAAGGGAGCTTCAAAAAAGGAGATACAAGTGTTCCACTAACGTTCGGGAAAGGAAGGAGACAAGCAATAATACATGAGTCAGGATAAGGAAAAATGTATATATCATTTCAAGAACCTTAATATTGGGTGTCAATTTTTGGACAGTTTTCATCAACACTGCAAAGCTTAATAGAACATACCCATATGAACTAGTTTGTGCCGCCGGAGACTCTCATTGCTACGGTAACTCTTGCCACACCCTTCATAATCACATGCAAATGGCCTGGCTGTTGTGTGGGTCCACATGTGCACTTTCAGATTTCCTGGAAATAGAAAGCACTATGTATGTAAACAAGAACACATTATTAAACATCAATATTTTTATTTGAACACAGATAAGGAATGCTTATGAAAGCAGCCCTGATCTTTGCTTTGGTTTCAGTCAAGTAAAAGTCATTGTCACCCTTGTAGTGCTTACCTTTCTGAGTGAAGGTCTTGCCACATCGAGGACACTTGAAACCTGTAGAAGTTCGGATGATTCTCCCTAGAGCCTCAATACTGTCCTCTTTGACATCAGGCGCGCTGGAACAAAGACACATTCTTCTAAACTTTGTGCATTATAGATACATGTAGATATAAAGTTTCAAGCACACAGAGAGGTAACCATGAAAATCTGACAATGACATAACCAGATTTAAAAGAAAACAAATGAAAACCTTTTCAAAGCTGGACCCCTTCAAGAAAATGATACTTGAAAATGTCTTGAGAAAGAGTATCGAGGAATCCTTTCCTTTTATTCTATCCTGTACACTTGATTCCAGAAGAATTTACTAGGGGACCACATAAAAGAAATTCACGGAAGAATAATTTCTGATGTCGATAATCTTTGTGAAATAGTTATTTGAAAACACACCAGTGCCTGTCAAAATCTGAAAGCTGTCCCATTTCACAACACAGCAAAAACATTGATGTGTGGATGCAACTGGTGATGTTATGAAACAGCACTTGAATGTAGTAATTCTTTTTCAGATATAAAACTACATTTGACCTGCATCTAATATGAATGACACTTTCACCTGAATTGAAGACAACACAAACCTACCTGGTGGAAGATCACTTGCAGTCTTCCTGGGCCTCCCTGCACAACAAAATGTTGGTCAGTAGGCATATCTGGCATGATATGGTCAAAAGTTCTTTTGACTATGTTATGATACAAATACATTTTATATAAAAACATAATTCAAATGATACACATTTAACGTTTATGAGATTTTCTTTCACCATAAAAAACAAACAAAATGTTACCTAAAATATCATTCTTATGATTTCATGATATTTAATTATTTGGATGTGTCTAAAGTCTTTGGGAGTGAGTCATTTTTATTTTGTTTTTTGCATCCTACAGCATGGTGCCCTGTAACTATTGACTCCGAGTCCAGCAAGTGGTTGACTGCACGAGCATCAATCAGCCAGACCTGACATTGCAGCCTCCTTATCTTCCTGGAGGTCCTTTCACAAAGCACTAAGGTTATCGTAAGTCACTAAGGTAACCTTAGTGCAATGTTAAAGAATGGGAGTTAAGGTTAATCTTAGTAAAGGTTGCTTCTTGAAAGGAGTCCCTGGTCACAAAATATATCACTCATCTACCCTGACCTCCATGTAACCTGCATAGTACCACTGCCTCAAGCCAATATCGGTTTCCCCACATCTTAAAAAATCCATTCGAGATATTGCATGATTTTCATCTCTTTCAGTTTTGATGAGTCCACACATCCAGATAAATATCTGTGATGGATATGTTAAACTTTCATTTAGAAAATATCCTAAAGCGCGAAACAATATTTCCTTTTGCATAGCTATCCTTTGTTTACACTGGCTGTATGGCTCCATGTGGTGTCACTGAAGCTCTACAGAGAGCAAGCTATACAGTCGCTTTCATGTATAAATATTGAATATCATGCACTTCGCTGTCACAGTCATCGTAACATATCTATCATTATACAAAACAACATTTAGAGCACATCCACAGGAATCTATATATTTCGGGTGAACGGACATTACCCCTTTTGCCTGTTGACTTTTTCTTGACTGGAACCAGCTCTGTTTCTGGATCAAAGTCAGAGTCATCTGTGTCCTCATCAATGTTGACAGGATTCTTGAAGTCTCTGCAAACACCAGAACCACCTACAGTGCGTGAGTTCAGTTTTACACTGCTTTTAGCTATATTCCAGCAATATCATGGCAGGGCACACCAGAAATAGGCTTCAGAATCATCTACAGAGTATGCAGATATCTCATGAGTAAGTGAACATTCTTTTACAAATAATCAGCATTAATGCTTTACATCATAGCAACCTGCAAAAACAGCCCGTGTCTCTTTCCTCAGAGCAATCTTTGTGATAGGACACCCTTACCTTCCCTAAACAAAGACTTATGATATTATGATAGCCTTCGATGATTTTGTGGACCAGACAATTCAGTTCAAGATTATCTTAATTCAGATAAGACACTAATCCATACCTGAACTTAGCTGGGATGATCCTCTGTCTAGCTGGCAGTTTACCTGACCTTCGTTCTATGTCATAGTCATTAGCCTGCACCCCAACCTCCATGAGGACACGGTAGCTATTTTGGGGGTCAGTTGGTAAAATTGTGACCTCATCTTCATCTTCTCTCTCAGTCAACAACTCCTCAATATCATGGGTCTCTTCACTAGTCAGCTCCATGGTCTCATGACACATGGTGGCTGAAGTCTCAGTACCAACCTCAGCTGTTTGGATGCAAGTGCTCTGAGTTGTCTCCCCTTCCATGTGCTGCACCGGAGCAGCCTCTGAAATAGTTACATAATACACCTATGTACCTATTTAGGGGCATGACACAATGGGTATTGAACATTAGTATGAAAGATTCCTTTGTTACAATAATGATTAGACTAAGGCTGACACAAGGGAACAGACGGGACAGGCACAATACATGATAAACATGGTACAGAATAGTGGTGTTCCGATTAATTGAAATAATCAAAGATTGATCGCAGTGACCAAACGACCAAGCAATCGATCACATTTTCTCATAATCGAACACAAACGATTTTGGAACTACTGTTTTAGTCTTTGAAATACTTGACAATGGAACATATCGTTGAAGTGTCAGGGCATGAAAACGTGTTTAATTCTTAGAAAACTCACTTCACTAACTGAAAAGCCATGACTGAATATTTCTTGAAGACTCCGGGAAGTTTCTGTTCATGATATATTAGTCATCACTTTAAAGTAGCAAGTTGCATCATGTCATACATATCTGCAATAACAACCTGGATAGGAAATCTGAAAAAATGGCGCTAACCAATTTTTTTCGATGATTGTTCGTTGGTAATGAAACAATCAATTGTGAGATTTCAACCAATTCCCAACACTACTATACACACGATCAATACAGCAATATACGTCTCTAAACACACAACCAACACATCAATATACGTCTCTGTACACACAACCAACACATCAATATACCTCTCTATACACACAACCAACACATCCGTATACCTGTACCTCTCTATACACACAACCAACACATCAATATACCTCTCTATACACACAACCAACACATCAATATACCTCTCTATACACACAACCAACACATCAATATACGTCTCTATACACACAACCAACACATCAATATACATCTCTGTACACACAACCAACACAGCCGTATACCTGTACCTCTCTATACACACAACCAACACATCAATATACGTCTCTATACACACAACCAACACATCAATATACGTCTCTGTACACACAGAACACTTAATTTTCAGGAATATGATCCAAGTCCTTGTTACAGGATACAATCCAAAGTGCATGCTATTAAACAGATTACAATATAATGCAGAACTGACAGAAAATGGTAGCAGTTTCACTGAATCTAGTCTTCTTAGAAATCTTCTTCAATGTTCACTACGGAAAACTTAAACCATACATATTTGGAAATGATGGGATTAATAAGAAATAGGTAATTAGATCTATTTTATCAATATTTCATAACTTGTTGCCAGTAGATATTGGCATCCCACAGCACACAAAGGTACTCTTTACCAAACTAACTGTAGCCCCCATTGTGGTATATATAACAGCAGACAATAAGCATGTGTAATAGGATACTGTCACCTATCAATGTGTTTAGTCATAGTACCTTGAGATAATGCTGTCTCCATCTGTCTGGTGTCTTCATTGTCACATTCAATGATTTTATCATCTGTGGTCCCAGGTTCTGATTTTACAGTAGAGGTTGATTCTAAAACTTCTGAAACCATACATTTGAGGCACTGGCTACTAGTCGTAGATCATACAATTTCTATTTTCATCTTCCTTTGTATAATTTAATCAGATTATAAACAGCACAAAGTCAAAATATTACCTTACAGCAGTGTATGAAATAAGCCAAAAATCCAGCCAGACATCAGGGCTGGTAACTTCAAAATGTTACCAGCCCAAAATGGATTTAACCAGACCAAATATTGTGAATTTACCCAGATGTATGGAACATCTACATTTTTTTACCAGACCATCGGGCTGTCTAGCTGTAACTTTAGACCATCCATCAGAAATCTAGACCGTCTCGGGCGGTCGGACGGGCCTTATTTCATACACTGCTTACAGTTATGACCTGTATTTACTATTTATAACCAATTATTTGCACACAAAGTCAGCAACCTTAACTACAATATTCAGTTACCACTTACCATCACTGAAGTGTGAGTGAGTTTTGTTTTCCCCGCACTCAGCAATATTCTAGCTAAATGGCGGTAGTCTGTAAATAATCGGTCTGGAACAGACAATCCAGTGATCAGTGAGCATCGATCTACACAAATGGGATACAATGACACGTGTCAACCAAGTTAGCAAGTCTGACCACCTGATCCTGTTAATCGCCTGTTACACAAAGCATGGGTTACTGAAGATCAATTCTAACTGGTACTGGGAAATTCTCACTGGGGAGGCTGCAGTGGCTAAGGTTTCTGAGTTTGTGTGCTTGCGATTAGGTGCCCTTCATTTCGATCAACTTTGTATGAACTGATTGCGTTTGAATCAAGAGTTTGGGTCATATCAATTTTGGGCTGCCAAGGTGTCATAGGAAGTGAATATTGCGTATGCATTTGGCTGAATCATTTACAGACTGGTACAGATTTCTCAATTACTTGGTGACCACTTCACACACATACACACTGTTCTCATAAACACAGGGGTACTGTTGAATTGCAGTTACCATCGTCTTCCATTTACTATCATCTATGCAAAACATTGAGTTACAGCCTACAACTTAAACAATGAGCACGATAAACAACAATACTCCCATATTTATTCAAATACTTCAGCGTGCTAATAACATGTACTAAACTGGCCAACTCGCCGGTCACCCGGGGAATCTGCCCTGTTTATTACTGAAACCATAAGCAAGTCCGTACAGCTTTTTTGTTGGTTTGTATAATTAGACTCTTGATTTGAGTTACTCTTGAATCTCATTCGTGAAATTCAGAGAAAACAAGATGGTGATTTGTGTACAAACACGGTGGTTTTTATGTATATTATCTGTGTTGACAAGACAATTTTGCACTGATTCAAGGGGCATGTTCCTTGCAGCAAACACGAACACCTGCCACACAGTTCATGCAAAAATATAGTTTAAATTTAGATTGGGCTCCTTACCAGATGGGACCATTATTATCATCACACACGAGAAATGGAATCAGAACGTTTATAGCCTTACAAAAAACTTATACAGACAAAGCTGACTAAGTAAAATATTACCACGAAGATCGCAAGGGGCCGCCATCTTTACTGACATCCCCGGATGTAGCGCCTGTTCAAGCTAGCCAATCACAGTTTCGCATTTATCTCATTACGGCGGACGCTAAGTCGAGGTGGTTTGTGGCAGGAGTAGTTATATATTGTTCCTCTATCGCAAAGTCAGCACCTTTAAAAACTATATACGATACAGATGCATTATACCGGGTACCTGCCTGCCATATCTAATTAGGTCACGTGATGCGAGCGCGGAAAGGTGAAATAATATAAAACTGAGATGAAAATAACCCTAACCTCTAAACAGAATTACAGTCGTTGAAGGTTGTTTCCATCGATCCTATGACAGCTATAGTCATCATTTAGGTGTCTGTCTCTTAGAACCCCAGAAAAGGCAGAGATCACGCATATTTATAATTTTAGGTCTCTGAAAAAAAAGCATCATGTCTCAAACAGCCAAGTCAAATGAAGCTGAATATGCAGACGATAATATTTATTATCTTTGAGACCAGTGAAGGTCCGGGTTAGAATGAATCTTTGAACAGTAACCCATGCCTGTCGTAAGAGGCGACTAACGGGATCGGGTGGTCGGTATATAATATTTATTATCTTTGAGACCAGTGAAGGTCCGGGTTAGAATGAATCTTTGAACAGTAACCCATGCCTGTCGTAAGAGGCGACTAACGGGATCGGGTGGTCAGGATCGCTGGCTTGGTTGACACATGTCATGGGTTCCCAGTTGCGCAGATCGATGCTCATGCTGTTAATCACTAGATTTTCTGGTCCAAACTCGATTATTTACAGCCATATAGCTGGAATATTGCTGACTGCGGCGTAAAACTAAACTCACTCACTCACTATTATCTTTGAAGTTTCGACTTTCGTATATAGACCGCCTCCGTGGTGTAGTGGTTTTTGAGCGTCCGCCCGGAAAGCGGAAGGTCGCGGGTTCGATCCCCGGCCGCGTCATACCAAAAGACGTTAAAATATGGTACTTGTTGGTCCCTGCCTGGCGCTCGGCATTAATGGGTACAACAAGTACTGGTCGGCTCGGAGTCAGTATAATGTGTCTGAGTGGGGTATTCATGTTTCACTGCGGCATGGTATCTCAGTTGGCTAGCACTATGAAATCAGTTGATGTCTGGGCTAGTACAAGCAGCCGCACATACACACGCACGCACGTCGTCCTATGAGCGAAATATTCTCAAGCACGACGTTAAATCTAATTTCACCTCACCTCACTTCGACTTTCGTATAAATGAACATCACCAGCGACAGCCTGCTTGCTATTGTTATGTGTACCCTATGTTATTATACCTAAGAGACGAGTGTACCGACAGTGGCCATTTATTGGCAGATGTATGTTAGGGATAGAATATTGGTCTTCAGCATCCCATGCTTTTCGTAAGAGGCGACTAACGGGATCTGGTGGTCAGGTTCGCTGACTTGGTTGGTCAACACATGTCGATGCTGATGATGTTGATCACTGGAGTGTCTGGTCCAGAGTAGATTATTTACAGACCGCCGCCATGTAGCTGGAATATTGCTGAGTGCGGCATCAAACAGCAAACCATGCAATACATACGTGTCGCTGTAATAAAATACTAAACTTGGGTATTTTATCATTATTTGGTCAGGAAATGGTGAACAACTCTCACAACATTCAGTAATTTTTTTAAACATGAAATATGTTTTGCGGGTAAGTTAAATGGACGCGTTTTACTCAACGCGATACAGTGTTTTAAATGGCACCGCATATGATTGGTTGGTTTGGGTTATTAAAAAGGGGACATGCAGTAAAAATCAAATCATTTATGTAAAAAGAAATACATGTATCTGGAAGAAGAGAGGCGGAGTAACCAAGTGGTTTGTTCATTGGCTCCACTAGTCGCAAACTTCGATTCGATTCCCCAAATTAATACCATGTACGTAAGAAACCCATTTCAACCATGTGGCTGGTGGGAATTTTTGCTAAATAGGCATAGACCCACTCACCCTCTGTAGCCAGAGTAGTGGAGAACACGACGTAGGAGCATAAGACATTGCATGTATAATACTCTCCCAGTAGTGGGGAGTAGAAGCTCATTGATCGATGAAGCTTGAGTGTGAGAGGCCCAAAATTGTTTCCACTCAAGGACACGCGTCCACTTTCAAAAGTGGCAATGACAGCTCATGACAGTACTAGCGCATCAGTTCTTTTATATGCACTGTAAACCTTTTCCCGTTATTTACGAAAAATAACTGGCAGCTGTGGTGCCAACGTTTTACCATATAATAGCACGTTATGCAGTAACTATCACTTTACTTAATCGTTTTACACATATTATGTGATGGTTTGTTAATAAACTTTCTTATTATTTACTTCAAGGAACCATGCGGGTGTCTAACTCACATATCTTTACCCTAATTTATCCACAAATGCATGTGTTCTACGTATACATGGGCGTAACTGAACATAGTCCTACTTGCATGTATATGCGTGCGGCGTATTGCAACAAACTATCGTCTATTAGCGGTAAACGTTTACAGTCACAGGTTCCGGTGATGATTGAATATGTGCAGGATACAACATTGGAACTCTGTTCGATTGGCAGCTAATGGATGTGTTTCACACACGAAGGTGTCATGATTCTCTAAGAGTGTAGAAAGGTGCGACTCATCTAGAAATGCAAACGATTGTATTCTCGTCACATAAGAGTCGGATTATGTCTCCAAAAGGAATATTTTCGTCACTAGAGAGTCAGATCATTTTACCACGAGGAGTACTTTTTCTTTTATCTAAACAAGAATATCAGATTAAATAGAGGCCTACCGCCATTCAGACAGAGGACTCCTCGCAGAGCAGTCGCATGCCTGACCCCTTCAGAGCTTCATGTGTATTTAAAGGTCACATGCAACCAAAAAATCAAACATAATTAAAACACAATTATCACTTCTTCATGACATATAATATGCATTGCTCATTATGAAAAAACAAATAAACAAAATTATACGCGTATAATCGCAAATCAAAAGTGCAATATTTTGTACTTGGGTTTACCTCCCTCGAAACGAAGCAGCCGGGATACCGAACCCAGTCAGAGCGGGTGGGTGTGCACTCAAGTGTAACGGCTGGCTCTTAGCAGATGCCGCCTTCACGGCTCATTGTGTGTGTATATATAGAGATGTTGGGTTTTGTAAATACATGCTCCTTTTTTGTGTATAACATTTTGCGACCAACAGACATCATACCATGTCTTGTGTTCAAGTATCACACCTGCCTGTCTGTGTAATTACATAATGTGACAGAGACCGAACTCGGGCCATAAATCAATGCGTTTTGTTTATGGTGTATAGCCTGATTGGTGTTAAGTTCAAATTGCATGTGGTCAGTGATCGCAGTTGTGTATTGACTATTGTCATTAGCAGACAGGCAAGGCAGACACACAGGTGTCAATAAAACAAGACATTGAGTTTTGTCTGTGACAGCGACATATCTATATCACAGTTAGAAATTGTGTCAACGCTATAATGACATTGCTTTTAAGTATCGAACTGAGAAAGTGACTCGGTAAGAAGAACGTGTGGTGAAATAGACAAATGAAATTATATAAACAGTTTATTTACTGTCATAACATATAAAAAGCTCGTGCCTGTGAGATATCAACAAAACATTATGAAAATAGCTCACACCAAAGCCTTCACCGAGTATTCACCAGACAGCCCGCTTCCAAGTTGCGCGAACCTATTTCACTGCGCACGTGCTATGAGCGCAGCCCAGCTGTTGAAACCCGTATTCCCAGAAAAGTCTGGGGAAAATTAGTGAAACGTTTGAACTCCGATTTCGCGCGGTTTTTTTCATCGCGTTATTTTTCAACTTTATAAGTTGAATTTGCATTTTTGACGCTTTGTTTCGGTAAGTCCATACCGAAAGGTATCAGAATCTGCAAAGTTGTGTTTTGCGTTGCATGTGACCTTTAAGTATTTCCAGCGACCCAGACCCCAGAAGCATGTTCAACCATTAGTCTGATAATGTCAATATCTAACTAGCGCCCGGACAAGCAACACACACAAGTGGCAAAGAAGTTGACATTTAATCATTTCAAACTTGACATATAGAACAATCCATACAAAACATGATCGCAAATATGTGTATTACATGTTGTATCAAAAGCAATCTTTAATAAGTTAATTAGATATAAGTGTGGGGACAAGAATTTCAACCTCCTTGTCGTATCGGCAACCTGAAAAATAACAAGAGTCTGATATTAATGAAAATGGCGTCTCCTAATCTATCCTCGTTATTTCACGGTCTTGCATACAGGGGCGGTGGGGTAGCCTAATGGTTAAAGCGTTGGCTCGTCACGCCGAAGACCCGGGTTCGAATCCCCACATGGGTACAATGTGTGAAGCCCATTTCTGGTGTCACCCGCCGTGATATTGCTGGAATATTGCTGAAAGCGGCGTAAATCCAAACTCAGTCAGTCAGTCAGTCTTGCATACACGAGTGAAAGCTGACATATTGCTGAATGCGGCGTTAAACGACACGAGGGGAGATCCGGTTTAGAATTGTTTTTCAACAACCCATGTCATAAGAGGCAACAACGGGATCCGACAGTCAGACTCGCTGATTCATTCCATCACAACCGTAGATCGATGTTCATAACAACAATCACTGGGTTGTCTGATCCAGACACAATTAACTATTTGTTATAGTGTGAACAAGAGTCAAGCAGACCATGCATTAACGATTCTCACAATGTAAAGGAAAATAAGAAAACGGTTAAGTGCAAAGCAATGTACTGTAAACAAGACCGTGAAGTATTGACGAGGTACGCAATGTAAAGGTGTGCAAGTAAACAAACCTTTCTATGTAAAGAAATTCTTACATGTGTATACAATGAAAGATATATTCACTCTACTTTAGGTACGTATGTGTACTATAATGGCGGATGTAAGCTGGTTGTGACAATATAACCATGCCCTACGAGATTAAATTATATATACATACACCACAGAACGTGATTAAACTACATGTATCTCTAACAAGACTCCATGCCATGCACCAGAGCAAAGACAAAACACGTAGCTGCATCTGTCAATCAACATTTTAAAGTGTCATTTACAGTATTTCGTTCCTCGATGATGTTTTGTTAGATATGGTTTCACTGTGGAATTTAAAAGAAAAAAACTGGGTCTGAACGTCGCCAAATCAATTTAAGTTACAGATAATTTTAGATTTAAAAAATCATCACTGACTAGGTTGAATATCACATGCACAGTACCTTCGAAACATCAACTTGTCTTGTTTTTCTTCAAGGGCAAACAGTCATCCCACGTGGCATGTCTCTTGATGGCGTGTCGTCTGCTACCCGGGTTAGACAGTGAAGAAGAGGGGGATGTGGAGGCTGTCGATGGATGATGTTCAGCAGTAGTAGCAGGAGCGGAGGCCATGTGGATGACAGGAGCAGCCTGGCTGGCTGATGGTGGATCACATCGAGCTGCAGGTGATGTGGCTGTGTCAACCCTACTACTTCCTGTGGCCGCAGTGTTGGTGGTGGAAGCTGCCATGTATCTCTTTCTCTTCTTTAAAGGAAGATGATGTTCATCAGTGTAATGGGATGCTTCCAAGCTCAGGGATCGCTTCAGACTCCGTGCCTTGGTGCCTGGGCTCCTGCCTATGTCTTCTGTGACAGTGGTGTGGTAAACATCGGTTACTGTGACGGCACATGGTTCAAATAAGGCAACATAGGAAATGTGCTTGATTCGCCGCTTGACGTCGCTGAAATTGGTGTACCATTCATGAAGATGATACTCTGTATAGTGTATTTCTCTATCTGCTCGACATGCCTTCCTCACTCGCTGAAGTGATCTGCTCTGTTCCTCCGATGAACGGGAGTGGGGTGTAAAGACTGGTTTGTACGTAGCAGCTCTGGCTGTTGGTTGGGATCTGAAGTACACACAGGAAGTCATGATGCTTAATTGCTTATATTATATTTCCCCACATAATGGGTCGAAAACAATGCATTTCTTTTAAAAAGTATAAGAAGCCCTTCTTGCGATAAGACCATACATAATGAACAATAATTCCACTCCTTTTAATCGGTCGATCGGGTTACATTACGACGAAATGATAAATTACGGAATGACAAATCAAAGAGTTACTTCCTTTCTCATTCCTGACACTTTATTCATACATTTATATCGGGGCGTGCCAGCTTGATGTTGTACGTATATCAATAAAGAAATGAAAACATCTTTTTCGAACAACCTCTTATTTGATGTAGCAGCCATCACTTCATCACTTAGTTGTGGAAACTCACCTCGAGCAGTTGCTGTTGTCAAGATCCTCGCCATCTACAGTTGCGATGTTGTATTCATCTTCTAGGGTTAAATCTAGGTAAACAAGATCATACTTAACAACACTTAACAGCTATCATATTTAACAAACTTATATTTCATTTAAAACTAAGGCCCTGTCCCATAAAACGATCGCAGCACTCAATTGATAGTAACCCATACCATTAACAGAGGCCTACAATAGTCGTAGCGCTAAGGCCACATTGTAGAACAGGCATTGAAGTGTTCAAATGTAGCCTTAATAATAGTATATGGTCGATTCCAACGAAAAGTGTACACAGCATGTTTGGGCCCATAGCATTTTAGCATTACTACCTTTATTTATTTTAGGGTGCCCATCACATCGGCACAAGTGAGACGATTCGGGGCCATATATAACATGACTATTTTTAATTAAAAATTAGGCTTATGGGAGACAAAAAAAGCCATTTTTATTCATTTTGACTGTTATTTTACAAATGTTTTGTTGAAAACATGTTGTGTGTTAAATACTAGTTACACTGGATGAACAGAAGTTTATTAATCTGATTGCCAAATATTTCATGAATAAATCCCCTCAGGCCTGAAATGATTTTGTCTAGGGCTTAATTCGTAATTTTGGTAATTTGTTTTCAAGTGGATTTTTTTTTGCGTTACCTACGAATAAAGTTTTCAATGACACTGTCAATTTATGTAAATGCAGCACAAGGTTATGTTTTGTATTACTTTTTACAGCATTAATATGTAAAGTACTCAAATGCGATGGCGTTACATAATATTTCTTACAGGTAATAATCTGAAAAATAATGGATTGAAATGGTTCCTTGGAATTCCAAATGGCTACATAACTGAGCGTTCAATAAAAATGTTCTATTCAGGGATGCACTGCAGTTCTTGGTTTAGACTTTATTATAGTGATATATAATGAATTCTTTTTGATTGAAAAGTCAGAAAACAAGTTGATCTTGGTGATAAAATAAAAGTTTGCATGATATCACGGGATAAACGGTAGATTCGTAAGTAACGTGTATTCGTTGGTAACATTCCGAATTTGTAGGTAACATCAGTCAGTGTGTTTGAAGTTGTAAGTCTTGTTCAGGGCTGTCCCCGATGCACTTGCGAACATAGGAGAATTGAGACTGTAGTAGAAGTAAGTTGCATGGGTTTAGTAATTAGATTTGTCAAAGGTATGTCTTATTCGTAGGTAACTCGTTTTTTGTAGTTAAAACTTTCTGTAAATGTCTATCTAATAGCAATTGTCTTTGTAAAATATGGGTAATTAAAGCAGAGTTATAGTTCAGTAAGACGTATAATGTATTGATTGTTTTAGTGACATGTTTATCTGTACATAATTTTATATGGTATATGGTAACAGTTCAAGCGTTTTGAACATTTGTGATGTGCTTTCTTTGAATACAAATGTCAGTTGAAACATTTGGTAAATAAAATTTCAGATGTAATGATTTTAGTTCAATTTCTATACTTCTCATCAACAGTTTAGACTCACTAGTGTAAATATAGCCACTTACTTCAGGCGACTGTTTTAAACTAAATTTTGCAAAATATTCCATACTGTTTACAGGTACTGTTTACACATGAACTAATGCATTGTAAAACAAATTCGTAACGTTGAAAATATTATTGTCATGAGTTCAATAAATGATAAAAATCAGTGAAAATTGGCGAATTCAGAACAAAACTTTACACCAAAACGCATCTGTTCACATGTACGATATTTGCACATGCTTTTCAACAATTTGATGCATAATCCTCGTGCAATTCATCTGCATAAGGTTTGCAGTTGGTTCCCCCTAGTTGGTGGAGAAATCAATCTTCGATGTGACCACACACACACACACACACACACACACACACACACACACACATAACATATAGTGAGTATTTCTAGTGAGTCTATACTTTTGACGAGAAGTATATTTCCATCAGTTAAAATGACATTGCTACTTTCCGACATACACTGAGACAAAACAAAGAGAAAGCCTTAAACTGGTTGTAAACAATCTTCGTTCACATGTCCTATGCATTTATGGCTTCAGAGTTTCTATAGTCATTAACATATTGTGCATGCAGAACAACAGTGAATTTGGATGTTAGGCAACATGTAACCCATCTAATATCTGGATATACAAGGTATGATGTTGGTATTTGTAGGTAATTTAAAAAATGAGCCTTTTTACCTCACTGATCCACCAACTTGTCACTTTTAGAGATTAGTGATGGCAACTGATTTTCATAAGAGGCAAATATGTTGACTTTACTTTACATTGGTAAAAAGAATTACAAGGTGCAAGCAATTATATTTTGGACACCTTGTACCAAGCTGTGTACACTTTTCGTTGGAATCGACCACATGCGTTTTCCGGTTCATCCGACTTTTCATCTCATGCCATGCTTCATGGTACGTACCTCGGTGTAGCCAAGCATAGGGCGTCCTGTGTTTCCGTCGGCAAGTCAGCGCCTTCTGGTGACGAGACTTAACAGGAGCGTGAGCACGATCTCCAGCACCACCTTGAGACGAACCGAACTTCCTGGACAAAACTTCAGCAGAAACATCGGCAATGTCTGTCCCTGGGAAACTATATGTGGGTGACATTGTGGATGATGCTTCTCTTTGACTCTGGGACGTGGACGGCTCAAAACTACCACTGTTGTTGAAAACACACATCACATCCGGGTCACTGCGAGGACACAGAGACGGCGTTTTGGGTTGATCTGAACACAGTACAAATACGTGTAATATACACATGCTCCAACAAGCACTTCAACCAGCGATTTGTGTCATAATGCATGTATATTCAAGAATATACATTTTCTTCAGATACATTGTTTCTATCATTTATGAGTATGAGTAATATTTTTATGAGAACCTTTAGAATCCATCACCACTACCAGCTCTCGTGAGAATCTCTTCCGTAGGACACGTCACTGAGACGAGTTAGCAGTTTTCGTGAGAATCGGCCGACTGGTGCTGAATTTCAAGGTAATTCCAATGTACATATATTGACATGTATACAGATTCTCTACAGGAGTAATAGTAGTAACAAATAAATCACGTTTAAGAATGCCAAAACTTACTTTCAACGCTCATTTTTGGTTGCAGGAAAAATTGCATGAAAGTAAGCTCAAGATAAAGACATCAAGAAAGCAGTTCTTGCGTGCAATCAGCTCGACGGTCGCCTTGTAACTAAGCTTTTCTTCTATGATGTCACAAGACTGTGACGTCACCAAAAGTACATATATTGTTTGTGACGTCACATCTTTGTAAGTCATGACGGCGTAGTCACCACGTTTGTGTACGCTCCATTCATCCTACCACAAATGTTAAGACGGTGTTTATTTACAATACAGGGCCTAGATTTTCGAAGCTCTCTTAGCGCTAAGATAGTCGTAAGTTAATGTTAATGAATGGCACTTACGACTATCTTAGCGCTAAGAGAGCTTCGAAAATCTAGGCCCAGCAACGTATTGTCACAACGTAGTCTATACGATACACAGTTTGACACCTAACTTGTTAATACAGAGTGTCTTTCGAGTATATTCCCTTTATATTATCTATTAGCGCCAGATTGTCAAAAAGGCAATAGTTCCCATATTTTATCTCATCATTTTGAACTACCTCCTTCTGGACGCCGCTTTCGATTACCTTCCCTCAAAACAAACAGAACTAGTCTTTCATACCATCCAGTATTCTTGAATGCAACGAATGTTTTGAATCATCACCATGTGATAACTACTAGAAGTATTCTGACTCTTTACCTATGTGGTTACCTATATTGAATCATGTCAGTTTTATTGTGCAATGTGTGTAACCACCATTCATTTTGCGCATGTATATTTTTGTGAATTGTGTGTATATTCATTCTGAGACCGTTGGAAGCAAAAAGAGTTTCCTCCGGGATAATAAAGTTCTATCTTATCTTATCTTATCATATACTAATTCCTGTTGGTCTGTCGGGGGCGTGAGAGTGATTTGAGAGAGAGTGTGGGATGACAGTGTATCGCCGTCCACGTTTATCGTAATGGCGACACTGTCGGCTTTGGTGTTAACACACCAATAACAATTATCCACCCTCGATGAACGGATCCTGTCCAAATCTAAGTATGTAAATTTACACCTTATATCACTCGGTGGCATTATACTAACATCAATTAGTCAAAGACATTATAGCATAAATGTATACTACTCACACTTTGTTAAGGATCACAAATATTCACAACTTTACTTACGTAGATTTACATTTTGAAATGTATCCATTTAAAACTGGATAAATAATGATATGGTAACCCCTCTTTAGGCAAACAGTCACTTTAATCTAACCTTATGCACTTGATACATCAGTAACCATAAAAATGGTTTTCATGGCACCAGTCAACCATTTTGCATATCATGGAACGAGTCATTGACAAGTACACAACACCTGTCAATAGCAGGTATGGGATCCACAAGATGAAATGACATACTAAAACCTAGGATCCATGCTTACAATAACCTTAAATATTTAAACCAAATTTCACTCCACACCATAGTTTTCTGTTGAATCCATGATTTGATCCTCAGCAAAGTGTGAATAGTATATTAACTGTAATGTTGTCCTGAGATACGGTTAAGATGTATTTCTCGTTTAGCTTACAAATTAACTTGCAAATTTGTGTGAGTTATTAACTTGTTCATAATTAGTATGCAAGTATACTTATATGTTTAGATATTCTATACCAACTTTGTAGCTGGTATAATTTCTCTTTTAATTCATGACGTAATGGTATTTATTCTATAATCAAGGTAACTATAAATCCCTGTTTAAATATTACCTAATTACACGTGCTAATGCAGTGTGTGTGTATATTACGACTGAGTCATTACACGCGGCAAGATTATTTACATGTCCTTTTACTGTCGATTTCCTGTTGCTTATGCGATATAATTGTTTACCATTTGTAGGATAATACAGGTATACTGACCGCTATATAAAAGCCAGCTCATTGCCATACAGTGGTAAGTAAGGTGTATATGTTGTATATATTGACTATATATCAAGGTAATTTGACGAGGCAGTAATGTTTTGGCCTCCAAAGTCATTGTAATGAGGGTCAGTTAATTTGTTTTAGTTTACCTGTAGCTATTGTTCCTTTTATTATGATGCCATTTATACCATGTGGTATGGCTTGTGGAAGTAATCTGGCACATATTTTAATAGCATGTTTAATATACATTATTTGCAGACAAGTTAATTGACTGAGTTACATCAAATAAAGAGAAGTATCTGTCGGGTCGCTCGGTTTGTGTTTTCCCTCCAACCGGGGCCGAGTCCGCTACTACACACCCACCACCTCAAATCCCAGTTCTTGTTTGTCCTTATATAGGTAGCGAGCAATAAATCTGATTTTAATGACTTGAATGTGTGGAAATGGCATCATAAGCCATATATTATGCGTCTGTTTATTCAACGTTGATTATCCACGTTCCCGTCAGTTCGTGTTTCCCTTTCATTAAAGACCCTGAAGATCCGGGTTAGAATTGGTCTTCAGTAACCCATGCATGCTTGTCGTAAGAGGTGACTATAACGGGATCGGGTGGTCAGGCTCGCTGACCTTACTGACACGTCATCGCATCCTAATTGCGTAGATCGATGCTCGGGATGTCAATCACTTGATTGTCTGGTCCAGGCTGGATCATTTACAGACCGCCGTCATAAAGCTGGAAATTGCTGAGTGAGACGTTAAACAAAACTAACAAACAATATTCACATATGCATTGCATTTTTTAAAGCATAAACTAAATGTCTAAACAGAAATGTTGCTTATTTTTACATGATATTCAGGAGCATTTGCCAACTGCTAAGTATATGTTGGCGTCGGTACACTTACAGAATAAACGAAGATAAATGGGGCAACAGCTCACTGTTAATATGTATTCAGTGTTTGAAGTGTAGGGGAAATTGTTCGGGTGTTTTTCTATTTGATTGCAGTATGTTCACGTGCCCGTTTGGTGCTTTTTCGTTTCATACAGGTGAGAATTAAATTTTGTGTGACCTGTTCATAATTTAGATTTCTGAAATATGTTTAGATATTTAGTGGCTTTTGAAGTAGGTAGGTTTATTCAATATACTCCCGATTGGAGATACAAGATAAATTGAATATTAAAAGCTTAAATCGTTAACTGTAAGTGGTGAATTGTTATGATAGATTAATTAGAGTCTTTAAAAACTTGATCCCAGATGCAAACTGTCCGGCCAGTAGCAGCACTTGTATGGTGTCAATGTCGTACACGAGACGTCCATGCAACACTTTGGTTAGCGTTCTCTGTTCTATATTGTCCAACAGAACATATGTACGCTAGTTGGTCTCGTAAGCCTAAGATCTCGTAACTTTTCTCGTAGCATTCGTAACTCCTATACTGTGACATAGGAGGAACGAATGCTACGAGAAAAGTTACATGGTCTTAGGCTTACGGGAGCTTTGCGAAACGGGGCCCTGGGTCTAATGCTTACCGAAATGCTCGCCCTGGACATGTATAGGAAGTGTTGTATGTGACATGGACAAAAAGAAATACAAGAAGATCTGTTCTGTGCTTAGAGTAACATTTATTTCTGGATGGAATTTACTTCTGCACCAAATAAAACCTTTGTCTAAAAGAATCCAAGAAAGAAAAAGATAACATGAACAAATTGTTTTCCGAAATATAAAATATACAACGCAACAACATGTAACAAGACCTGATTGACTACCATGCTGTTATACACAGCAAGTTTTCATTGCATAACAAGACCTGTCCGAAAGGTTATGTTGTACATGGCATGTTTCATTGCATAAAAGACCTTTTTGGGCCGTTCTGTTGCACACAGTTTCGTTACATAATATCAAATGCAATCGTATTGTAGTACAAAGAACATTTCTTTGAACAGCAACCATTGTTCTGCACGATATGTTCCATTACCCAACGCCAGCCATTCTGTTGAACACAGCACATTCCATAGCATGTCAATACCTGATGTTCCGAGCACCTTTCATAAAATCAGACAATCTGTTGTACACTGCACATTTCATTGCACAGATATACCTGACATAAACCATTGTTGTTCATAGCACCTTTCATTGCATAATGACAACATCAACCATTCTGCCCTACACAGCACGTATGACATCCAAAAAGGCGTCTATTGTACATGTTTCTGTATATACGATAACACACAGGGTAAGGTTCTTGTAGATGTCTCTGTATGTGAATATTTAACCTTGTTTATAATTAACCTGCTCTGGGTCAAACAAGCCATGGTATTAGCTGACACCATTCTTAAATTTCAGTGTGCTATTAATCAGATGCCTATTGTTGGTGGCAAGAAACCCAAACTACCATTACAACATGATGTCATAGTAAAACAATTGAGACATTTCCCCAAATGTTAGTAATCTTCAAATTAGTTTATTGGACAGTCAATGCAACACAGAAGAAGAGTTTAGATCTTCTTCTAAAACTGTCTGAAAACCTAATTTCAAAAATTCACAGAAATCTATTAGTAAAGTTGACTGTATCATCAGACGGAATTTCTGCTGTGTTAAAAGGTTCAAGCACTTCTGGGACATCAAGAAACACTATGTAAATTATCAGTAAACATTTAACAAAGAGTTGAGTATTAGTCAATGTCAATATTTTCAAATCAAATATGCTAAAATTCAACCTCTAAACATTTTTAAAGTTTTCATAGCTCAAATTGGCTATCACCAGACAACACCCTGGTTACTACCTCATCAAAGACTAGAGTTTGTCTTGTGAGTACATTCACATGGTACCCGACTACACAACCAGGTGTCAGGTAGCTCTTTAATCGCTTCATACCATCAAACCTATCCGCACCCATGTCCTAAACTATTAATCTTACAGGATTTATACCCATTGCAGTGAACACCAATCTGACATTTATCACAAATAAGCGTAACAAATGTTCAGTTTCTTTTCCAATAAGCATAACAGGGGCTGAAACGGTACACCACAGTATTTTGTTTTTGGTTCGGTACACCGAAATTCAGGTTTAAGATACGGTACGTTCGGTTTTCATACCGAAAATATCATCTTACTCACCTTATGCACATTACTTTCGGAAGGTCATCACAAATATTCCATGTTATTTAATTCTAGATGACATCTTCATGTAGCTACCATTTCTGTGCCAAAGTGCTATTGTCAACAACTCCTGCTAATTCGATTGGATGAACGAGTTCGTGTAAAGGCACTTTCGTTTGGGTCCCAATTCCAAGAAGATTTCTCCAAGAAGAATTTTTATTGTTAATGAACCGAACTGAATTGTACCGAACCGAGAGCTGTGTACCGCAATACGTACCGAACCGTGGCATGGGTGTACCCGTTTCACCCCTAAGCATAAAAACTGTTTAGTTTCAGTCTTCACCGTGGTTAAATACAAGCACTATTACAATAACATATCAGCAAAGCAGGGTTTTCTGACAGTGTTAAATATACAACAACAATGTTACACATAAAGCAGTGATGGTGATTATTCTAAGGTATGCTGTAAAGTGAAAAGGGCAGGGTTTCGATAGCATATTCACCCGTTTCCTGAGTCTAACTAATGTCATGTTGAGTATGAACACTTATAACATGAGAGAGCAGAAGATACTTTACAAAAGTGATAAAATGAAAAGAGTGAGTATGGTTTTACGCTGCTTTTAGCAATATTCCAGCAATATCATATCAGGGGGACACCAGAAATGGGTTTCACACATTGTACCCATGTGGGGAATCGAACCTGGACTTTTAGCGTCACAAGCAAACACTTTCAGGTTTCTGGTACACCAAAGGGACATGTTTGTTTTACAATTGTGTTCTAGTTCATGAAGGAAGTGTAATAAGCTCTTCTTAGTACAGCTTGATTAGTCTAATAAACAGTAGCCATCAAAATCGACTATACAAGTTCTTACTTTCATTCTATCCCTCTTTGAACCAGACCTATAGTCAGGTGCTCACCCTATTTTCACTGTTTCATAAAAGAAACACAAACAACTTCTTCTAATCGTAGGATAAAACTGAAAGGACACTGACAACACCAGTCTGTTTCTACACAGTACACATTGATTTCTTCAACTACTTATACATTTTGCATACAAATATATGTGCAATAACACATGACGTCTGCAATCCTGTGTCAATATGGAGCTCCATGAATGCTGACCCTGAATGGTGGCTCTTCCCTGTAGAACTGTTTATGTATAACAAACCTTGAAACTTACTGTACAATGAATGACAAATGAACAATAATAATCATGCTGTGTTTGGGGATAAATCTGATGCATGCTAAACTTTTCTTTTCCTTTTTAAACTGGTAATTTAGTGAAATTTAGTTGTCTTATTAAGGCCCCATGTGATGATAATCTGGCAGTGAACACACATAGTGATATGTATTTAAGTCAACTGATCAAGGGTGAAATCAACAACGGAATCTGATGCCCTGAGGATTTAATCACAATGTAACCTACAGCAAGAGGCAACACCTACCAACACACATCCGTGCTATCAGGGGTAATAATACAATGAAACAACTGGGAAAGCTACCAGATCATCTCAACATGCTTTATATATCCAAAGCTACAAAATATGACACCTTTCACCAAAACCTCAGTATACATAACAGCAGATTCACAAACAATTGCTGAATAAACCAATGTTGATAACTTATTCTGTTTCATTGACAACATAGAAAGTCTTGGCAATCTAAGCCAGTCAGTCACAGATCCTATGTTCATAACACGTAACACTTCTATGAAGGATGCAGTGTTCAAGTGATATTGACATCAGTGATAGAGACGTAACAAGGAATAAGCCCACTTAATAACATCTAAACACAAGCTAAAAGGTTTAGCCTCTATGACCCACAGGATGCCAAGACATGCTGGGGTTGGTCTATCCCTGCTACAGTCACAGACTACCTAAGGTGATTATCCACAAGCTGCCTTTTGAAGAGCTTATCTTCAAACCTCTTTTCATCACACAACAAACTCAGCCATAACAAAACCCCAAACACCAACAAACCAGTTGACTACACTAATATCTACTTGAGTAGACGGAGACAACTACACAGACAACAGCTACTGGTATAATCTACATAACAACCTGTCTCGGGAGCACGACACAGGAGCAGCAGTACAGGGGGCTTTCACTCAGTAACAGTGACAGCGGGTTAGTGACATTTTAGGTAATGTTTCTATTCACCACATTCACCTATTAGGACAAGAGACAAACAACCTAATCTTACAGTCATAATGATTATTAGAGCTGAATGTGACATTGTGATTACATTGTTTACTGCTTGGTATAACTGTCATCTTGGGTTACAGAACCTTGATAAAGTCTGTTCACAAACATTAACCAACAATATTTACCTTACAATTGAACAGGCCAAGCATTGGGTACCCATCACAGTTAGCATAAATGTTTTGGAACATTACCGTTTACTAAACAATAAACCTGTGATAAACAAGTCCCACTGGTACTAGCTGACCAGGTACAATCAAATTCTTTCTTTCTTCCTGTCTGTATGTACAGGGAAGCCATGCCATTTTTCAAGAATTAATTACAGAAATTAAGCAGTGAATGTCTTAACAAATTCACGAAGTGTGTCACTTCTCTTATGAAATGATCAATGACTTAAATAAATAATGAATAGCACTGACAAAATCCTAATCTGAAACAAGTGCAGGGATATATATTAGATATAAGTTGTTCATCTAATAAATATGTTGTTATATGTGTATTGTTTAAAATCAAACAACAGACTCAAAATGAGTACAGAAGATAAAAGGTGAGTATCGAACATAGACATAAAAGAAATAATTATTTTCTATAACAAAGTACTAATAATATAACATGAAACTGAACTACTATATTACAATAAGGTGACTCCTGTATGACAAGCTATATACAGTGTATGCACTCATAGTCATTAAGGAAAGGCAACAGGGTGAGACAAACTTAACAACATTTGAGTCAACCAGAATTTCAATCCCAACAAGGGAAATGTTTTCACCAAAGAATATACACGCGCGTAATGGGACCAATAAGACATTGGAAAGTTCCTAACTCTTGTCTTGCTTCCGACTGACCAATTTTTCATTTACACAAATGACGTCATAACACCAGTAGGTACAATTCAGAAATATATGTAAATGCTATGAACCAGTGTCTAGAGCAGTTGGTATTTGTTAATAATCAGAACATGGAGTAAAATGCATCTATAGTGAATGAGTGAGTGAGTGAGTTTAGTTTTATGCCGCACTCAGCAATATTCCAGCTATGTGGCGGCGGTCTGTAAATAATCGAGTCTGGACCAGACAATCCAGTGATCAACAGCATGAGCATCAATCTGTGCAACTGGGAACGATGACATGTGTCAACCAAGTCAGTGAGCCTGACCACCCGATCCTGTTAGTCGCCTCTTACGACAAGCATAGTCGCCTTTTGTGGCAAGCATGGGTTGCTGAAGACGCATCTATAGTTAGCTGTACATACAATGATAGCTAACTGTATGTATACATATGTGCAGCTACAGCTATGTTAGATACAGAGTATTACTGTTGCATTAGGCCACCTAGTCATTGCTGGGAGCCTTGTTCAAAAGGAAGTCTTAGGCCTGGAGTCAAGAAGTCTTATGCCTCTACCTGGATTCCTGAAGCGTCAGACCTCTGTCTGGAGTACTGCCTTGTACAAACACAGACTGTAGTCCTGGCACTGTATTGTAGAAATGGCCTCCATCTCACACACAGGTTCATGTCCAAGCTACCCCTAACGTCTACCACAAAATGGATTACTTTCCATTGACAGAATGTTTATACTGGTTTTACTTCTATACTGGAGAATACATACCATTACCAAGTATCTCCTACTAATATTTCCTTGTCAGCACTCAGCAGTAGAGGAATATTTTGAAAGTTAAACTAACATGGACATGGTTAAATAAAAACACCATTAGATTAATGTAAAAGCAGGATCTATTCTACTACTGGTTATAATTGAGTACAAAAGACCAATAGCAATGATAAACTGAGTCCCAACAAGACTAGTGTTGTATCCCATGGAGAAACTTTGGGTGATGTGCAGCCCTTTATGAGATCACTAGAATCACATGACAGAGCACCATGACTTGGACTTGGTAGTTGCGACCTCCATGTCCCCACTTGACGATATGTACCTGGTGCTGTACTCCTCTCCAACCATCTCATCATCCTCATAATCTTTCTCCTCTTCATCATCTTCTCCATTCCTGGAGTAGCTATACTTTCTTGACGTGTAGGAGCCATCCAAGAAGCTGTCCTCATTTCCATATCCACCCCTGGTGCTTGAGGACTTATATGATGTTCTGGAAATGTTCTGCCTGCTTGAGCGGACAGCACTTCCAAAGGAAGACCTGAGACTGGAGTTAACCGACAGTCTGCCTACAGGTGTGCTTGAAACCAGTGGACTGTCAACCATGTCAGTACTGTCATTTATACGCCGTCTCTTGGCTGTAAGGCTTTCATAAAAGGGGGTAAGAGCAGTCTTGCGTTTCTGAACAGATTTAAATACTACAGGTGTAAAGCCTTCGGTGGATCTATATGTAGACATTACAGATTCAACAGATTTCTTAGCAGACCCCCTCCCTGATTTTAAACTTGTGAATGACTGTGGTGTTCCAACTGATCTTCTTTTTGAGGATGTTGCTTCTAAAGAAGACCTGGATGTATTCTGGAGCACATTTCTGGGTGAAGCTTTACTCTTGCTCTGTGAGGTGAAGGAGATTGTAGACAGTTTTATACTAGGGGTCAAAGGCGATGCTACAGACCTCCTCTTCTGTCCAGATTTGACTGAAGATGATTGCCGTCGAGAACCGGTGGATGATCGTTTTGCTGAACTAAGAGAAGATCGAGACAGAGATTTTCTGTTTACAGAGTTAGGAGTTCTTGGGCCAGATAAAGAGTCTGTATTAATTTCTTTGGACAAGAAAGATGAACTTGTGATTTCAAGGGATTTTCTGGCTTTTGAGGAACTCACATTGGTTGACCTGGAGGAAGATTTGACAGATCTCTTTGTGGAGGATTTCTTCTTGGAACTAGATTTTGAGGTTGAAGGTCTCTTCTGAAATTTAACTGGAGTGGATTTGCTAGATGATCTTGATAATTTCTTACCAGAACTGTTCTGCTTAGAACTAGATTTTGAGGTGGAAGGTGTCTTCTGAAATTTAACCGGAGTGGATTGGCTAGATGACTGTAATGATTTCTTACTAGAACTGTTCCGCTTAGAGCTTGACTTGGGAGTCTTCCTTGGGGAATGAGATCTGCTTCTAGATTTGACCAAAGCTTTTCTAGGTGGTGTAATTGGTGTTTCATTTTCAGTTGATGCAAGACTTGTGACAGATATATCGGAAGCATCAAAGTCACTCCTGAAGTCTTCAGATTTCCTTGAAGGTGTCTTGGATGATTTTGTTGAACTTGATGATCTGGTAGAGCTCTTTTTCTTCTTCTTTGACTTACTCTTTGAAACTGATTTGGGGGACTTCTTAGATGCTGACGAGGATGTTGCTTTCTTTGAACTACCTGCTTTCTTGCTACTGGAACTTGCTAATAACTGGGAACTGCTCATGTCATGAAGAGTTACTTCAAGTCGGCGTGGTGTGGATGGATTAGAAGCTTCACTTTTCTTCACAGATGTTTTGCGGCTTGAAACTGGAGAATCTGGGGATCCAGAGCTTTTCAATCCATTTATTCGAACCAGTAGTCTCTTGGATGTTGACCTCTTCGATACTGAAGATGTTTTCAAAGGTGATGGTGATGCTGACAGTCTTTTCTTGGGACTTTGAGATTGTCGAGTTTTTGAATTTGATTTACTGCCTGTTGTTTTTGATGAACTAACAACCACACGTCTCCGTTTCTGGGCAGGTGATGGGATGGGTGTCACAAACTGAAATGAAACTTCCATGTCATCTTCCTCTTCCTCTTTATCTCTTGAACGTTTCTTTGTAGATCTTGTGGATTGTTTCTGAGAATTACTTGAACTTCTCTTTGGTGTTGTCTTCGCTTTAGGTGCCGGTGATTTACTTTGCCTCTTCTTAGATCTTGATGGAGATTTACTGGGTGACTGAGACTTTCTGCTGGATTTCTTAGAACGACTAGAACGTGAAGACAAAATTAAAACATCATTTTTAGAGTCTGAAGATGTTTTTGAGGATGTGCTCTTAGTCGCTGTAGATGTTTGCTTCTTTGACGAGGAAGCCCTATGCGCTTTCAGAATCCTCCGTTTTGGGGTTGGTGATTCAGTTTCTTCTTCTTCCATTGAGGAAGATCTAACAATCTCCACCATTTCGCGGACTGACAGAGAAGCAGACTGCAAGGGTGACTTCTTAGCTTGCCCAGCAAATATGGAAGACCGTCTGCTTCTTGTCTTGACCCCAGGTGGGGAGAAGACAGTGGGCATCTTGAAAACATTGCTTCCCTTCACAGCCTTGGAGGACCTCTGAGGAATCTTGGACACTACAGTTTTCTTGGTGTACACTGATGACCTGGCAGAGAAAATTTACAGATCAATACTAAAAGAAATGTCTGGCTACTAAAACATGCAAAACAACTTTAAACTTTACAAGAAATACCAGCACCAGACAAATTTAACTATCAAATATTGATCAAAATGAAAACAATTTCAAATTTATAACATAAGGCCAGGCCAATTTTATTTCTTGTTTTACGGATGCGCCGGTCGTATTTTTTAAAGAATGATAAAAAAAAATAACAATAATTTTTCCCTGCTCAAAAAAGAAAATTCTAACGGCCAAATATGTAAACCTGCAAGAAATATTTTTTGGCCCCACTTCATAAATTGCCAAAAGTAATCTACTTTTAGTATTTAGAAGGAATATCACTCTGACTTGATTTTTTTTCTTCTTCCTGCCTTTAGGTTTTCTGAGGACAAAAATCCGTAAAACAAGAAATAAAATTGGTCTGACCTAAAAAGTTATTCACAAATTTTACCCTACAAACTGTGGTATTTCTGGAGAAAAAAAAATTCTTCAGCTTTTCACGAATGGATTCTAACCTGCGTGTTCGTGGCCTTTTAGGTGAAGGTGATGTCGACTTAGGTGATTCAAAGACAGCAAGACTGCCTGACACCCATCCTGGAGTTAATGGCGACCCTGAGGACAGCCGACTTTTCACTGGTGTGCTGCAGACAGATAACACCACAATCATGAAACATGCTTCTCATCACTGAAGAACTGTAGAAAACAGCTGTTCATCCTGTAGATTGATTGCAAAATCATACTTTAGTTCCATTAATTATTTACGATTAAATTTGTTCCAACTATTTCGCATATTTCTGTGATATCATATTTTTAAGATTGTAAAAATATTTTCCAAAGGGATCCCAACCCAAAACATTTACTGAAAAAGTCAGTTAAGTTTGTATTTGGTTCACCTCATGATCGGATACAAATCTTCTTATCATAAATCAACTAATAGATACCCCAAAATGTTACAATGTAAACCAAACAAATTGAAACTTATCTGACATTAAGAGATTTTCAAATAATAAATCTTAGCTAAGCTTATCTACACTTTCCTCAAACTATTTTTCAGGGGGTAAGAAAACAACATCATATAGCTTCGCAATTAACCATCACTAGACAAGATTATTTACCCATTCAGTTCTAATTTGTTTTTGCTAGGCATTGTCTTATATACAGGGACTAAGATTACTGTGTGTAATTGTCTCGAATACAGCGCTGGAAATGGCAATCAGCTGTGCAGTGCACACGTTCCCCTACTGGTGATTTAGTTAAAACATACCCAACAAGAAGACAAAGTCATCAATATCCCCCGCAATGGCAAAATACTCTTCAGGATTATGTCTACGAGTTATGATTATGTCAAATATTTAGGTGTGTATATAAAAAAGTGGAAGGAGAGTATTAAAAGGTTTTTAAAGTTCTGCTCCAGAAAGGAGCACTATCACCAATTTCAGCCTATGTCAAACTTGTTGCAAAAATATTTTATTCAGAATTCCAAAACTACCTAAAGGCACCAGTACACCACCAGATCTATGTATGTGCCAAGTTTGGTGAAGAAACATTGAACGGTTTTAGAGTTCTGCTCCGGAAAAGTGCACTACCACTAATTTCTGTTTTAGTCAAACTTGTTGCCATGGAAACGCCAAAAATATTTTATTCAGAATTCCAAAACTACCAAAAGGCACCAGTACACCACCAGATCTATCTATGTGCCAAGTTTGGTGAAGAAATAATTAACGGTTTTAGAGTTCTGCTCCGGAAAAGACAAATGTGCACGGACGGAGTCCATTTTAATACCCCCCGCAAAACGTGTTGCAGGGGATAATAATACGAGATTAATTCTGATGCAGTGATTGGAAAAATATAGTGTCAGGGACTATTGTTTTAAGAAGAGAAATATATTCTAGCATTGTGTCACTTTAATTGCAGGTTTTGCTCTATAAATGTAAAATATTTATAATCATAACTAAGGTTATGCGACAGCTTTCTGGTGTATTGCTGGATAGTTTTATGCATGGAACATTTTGACCTGTCACCAGTGAGGTTTCACGCGATCTCACTATTTCCACCGCAAAAACAGTTTGTTGACATGTGATCGTCCAGCTACACTAAATATGACTTTTGGCGAAACAAAATATGTATGTGTATCCATTTTCTGTCAACAGCACTTCATTTCGAGACATGAGTAGACGCAATATGATAGTGATTGCAGCGAATAATGTGGGCAGAACTTATAAATATCAGAGGGACACACGATTTCACTGCAATTAATATAAACATTCTTTTTGTAACATTTTGAGTAAAATTACCGTCTTGTTGTTAATACCAACAGTGATTGTTATCATATTAGAAAGAAAACAAACACAGGTTCCCACATTAGAGGTCAGTAAAATCTTTATTAGATACTATTCTCACCAAACATACTTACGTTTTACACCCAAGACGGTAACTGCCAGTTGTCTTGTGGTCAGAGTTGACCGTGATTAGGACCCCATCGGGTTGGCTTATGTGCGAAACATACCATTTTGATACTGATTTTAAGGGTCGAGTTAGAGGTCGGCTTATCTCTGAGATCGGCTTATCTATGGTAATATACAGTAGATATAATTTTGTTTTGTCTTCTGCCTAAAATCTTGACAAAAACCCAGACTTGCGTTTCTTATGATGTTCAGTATATATCCTAGCCTTGATAAGCTTTAAGGTATATTTCATTTATTAGTGTTAGTTGATAAATATATCCAATACAGCATCCCCTTAGCATGCATCAGGGACTTAGAATAACATATTTCTGAAAATAAATTGAGACTAAGAAAAACATATTTCTGAAAATAAACCGGCACTAAGAATAACATATTTCTGAACTCAAAATAGTTATCAATAACATAAGAACACTTACATTTCCTTTTTCGTGATGGGGCTGGTCCTGCTTGACGACACCAGAGTAGTCACACGAGATGATGATGTGATGACAGTCGTCGTCCTGCTGCTTCTGCTGGACGATGCCGACTTCTGTATGACACTTACTCTTCTGCTCGGCATGGTTCAAAGTATAGGCATCACACACTCACCTGCGAAGGACATAATAAAACACATACGTTCACATGTGAGTAGTTATGATATTGGAATACATTTCATGTCCCCTGTTATGTTAATGCCAAACCTTTCTATCATATATATTTCTAAAGTTTGATCACTCAGTCAGTGTGTCTGTTCTCCAGTATATACTGGATTTTGGCTGGTAAAAATTACCCAGGACTGATAAATTTGGAGGCTGCCGGTCACCGTGTCCGGTAAAATACCAAAACTACATTTTGTCCTGCTTAAAATGTTACCAAAATTGAAATAAAATTGCTAAAATAATCCTCTAATAATAGAACTGGCCACTTGCGATTTTCGTGTGAGATGAGGTTTCCTTCTAAATTCATTATGCTATACGCAATGTATTTTGTACCTCGAAACATCACTATAATTACTGCTGTCATGGAAAATCACGCAAAATAACAATGCTATCCGATTGTTTAGAAAGAGAAAGCTGTAGCAGGTGAATACATTCTTTTATTCAATTTCATTGGCTTTTTTAATCATATTTTGTGACCGGTGGATTTTGTGCAGGACCGGTAAATTAAGAGGTCGTCGGACACAGTGACCGACTGTTAAAAATACTGTCAGTAACAGAGATGTTATTCTATCACTAAATACTAGTGGTGTTCCGATGATCAAAAATAATCGAAAATTGATCGAAAGAAGTATTAAAAATAATTATCGATTGTAAAAAACATATGTTTGATTAATCTGAATTTTGTTCTTTTAGCATAAAACACTTGAATGAAGTAAACTAACCATTAAATTTGATGGATATTCATGAACAAACATGCGCTCAACAACGTAAAGCTATGCGTAAAATTTCAGCCCCTTTTATTGTTTAACAAGCATTGTCACTAAGGTGACATAATCACCCGCCGCAAATTATCAAATCAAACTTAAAAAGTAATGAAGTTAAATGTCAACAAAAACATGACCAGTCAACCTCTCTTGATATCTTGCTCTGTAGTTGTTCAAACGCACAAATATTTTCAAGAGTCACTTTGACCTTGACATGAATGTCTTAGTGTATGAAATATGCAAAATTAGTAATAAAGAAATTGCTTTTTGAAAAACATTCAGGGGAAGTCTTGAAAGTCTATGAAGAAAATCCAGTGAACCGTTCTTGAGATATCTTGCTGACAATCTTAACATGCAGTTTAAAATGCTGAAATCATCAAAGTGTCGACGTGACCTTGAAAATTATGTGAAGGTTACCAAAATCGACTAGGCCTTGCATCTTCCCTAGATGAAGCTTGGTGTCAAATATGAAGAAAATACAGTAAATGGTTCTTGAGGTATCTCGCTGACAAGCTTAACATGAAGCTTCACATGATGAAATCTTCAATGTGTTGCCATGACCTTGAAAGATGTGTAAAGGTCACCAAAACTGACTGGGCCCTGTGCCTTCCTTAGATAAAGCTTGGTGTTGAATATGAAGAAATTCTAGTGAACGGTTCTTGAGCTATCTCACTGACAAGCTCAACATGCATGTTAACATGCTGAAATCTTCAAAGTGTCACTGTGACCTTGAAAATTATTTGAAGGTCACCAAAATCGACTGGGCCCTGTGCCTTCCCTAGATAAAGCTCGGTGTTGAATATGAAGAAAATCCAGGGAACGGTTCTTGAGATATCTCGCTGACAAGGGTAAAACGTTAAAGTCCCCTTGTGACCTTGAAATGAAGGTCAAGGTCAACAAACCTCACTGGAACCTTTCTCATACTGTGATGAACCTAGGTACCAAATATGAAAAGAATCTAGTCAATCTAAGATATACCAATTCATACGTACGTACGGAGCCTAATACTATATACCCCGGCGCGCGTTTAGCGCGAAGCAGGGTATATAGTATTAGGCTCCGTCCAGTGTCTTTCTTGCATGCGTGCATTTCATTGCATGACAGTATTAGTTATACAAAAACATTAATTAGAAAAAACCTGAGGAAAACCCCTTAAAATTGGTGATTACATTAAAAATGTACATATTTCAATTATAATCGATAATCATTCACCACAAGTCCTCCGATAATAGTGGATTTCGTTTCCTATTCCTATCACTACTAAATACAAACATTAAAACAAGTGGTTTTAACAAAAGCGTGTGTCCCCAAGTCCACTCTGCTGGAATTAATGGTAATTTTGTCACTTTTCTTAGAACATTCTTCAATTATTATTTTTTAGCGTAATTAATAATTATCATACATTATTCAAGACAAATTTAGGGTCTGTTTAATAAAAAATTGTTTTCAAGGACCAGTTTTATTCCCAACAAAGATCAGGTAGAGTCTGTACATAGAGCAGCAAGTGTCACTGCACAATACCACCGAGATTAACACTGGGGGGTAATGTATACTACATGTCATTTTGGTATCTTGTGGCAATAGGTGTGCATGGCAAGACCTCTTGCACAGTTATTTTTTCATGTGCACAGGGTTATCTCCCAAAAGACAGACCTCCCATAAGACAGACTCAATGAGTACACTAATTAGCTGAGCCATGCTGTCCACCCCTACTTAATTAATGAGCTGACCCAGAGTCACTACAGAGTATAGTAACAACACACTCCTATCCCCTGTGCCCTTCTAAATACATATTACTAATCCTTTTACTAAACAGAACAGAATAGAACCGATGTTTTTATTACCGAAGATGAAAGTGAAATAGTATTTATAAAATTCAGTATAAACAAAGTATATAACTGGAGAACAGGATGTCTTATAATAGTTATTTTCCCCATGACTTTCTTCCTATGACTTTTTTCCGATCACCCTCTAGATGGCTACCTGTATGTCAAGAGCAAGGTGAAAGGAGAAAATGATGTTCAAGTGACTTCTAATAAGTGTTATCTGTTCACTGACAAACATGTGATGTAAAATAATATGGCCCAGGTCTCAGATGTTTGATAGGTACATGTACATAAATTATTGTCTTTGATAATATTCACAAGTAAATGTGATCTGGCAAATATATGGTGATGTACATATGATATATGCCTTAATTTATGTCTTAATTTAAAAATCATAATTCATTACATGAATTGATAAAACTATAGTTCATATATAATTTTATCTGGGCACATACCATTATTATCAAGGGTACAGCTTAATTAAGCCTTATGCAACCAACCATTAAAATGTGTTGTTTTAAGCGGTCTGTCTTTTGGGAGGTCTGTCTCATGGGATGATACCGTGTACATCTGTCAGGATTATGTTTGCCTATTGTTATTGGTATAATGTAAGTTCAGTTCTCTACAGTTAAAGATTCAGCTACTGACATTATCAACTACATCACAATACCAGTTCTGCCACAACAAGAGTATACTGTAACAGAATAATACAAGCAGAGACTATATACCCGGTATATGGTCTCTGATACAAGTCATATGGCGATAGAAAATAGTTCTATTAATATGATTGATTCCGAAATGTCAATTAATATATCTCCGCATACAACTCATCATTATTGCTTAATGCTATCTCTTTATTATTGGGCGATGGGGTAGCCCAGTGGTTAAAGCGTTCACTCGTCACGCCAAAGACCCAGGTTCAATTCCCCACATAGGCCAAATGTGTGAAGCCCATTTCTGGTGTCCCCCGGTGATATTGCTGGAATATTGCTAAAAGCGGCGTAAAACTTAAGTCACCGTATGTCACACTGTACCAGTGTTCAGTTGACTTTCCAATGTTAATTATGTTGTTTATTTAAAAAATCAACAAGAAAATCGGCCGATATAGTGGAAGAATTATCAGGGCAAGTGATTTTACATGTGCCACTGTACCCGGAGTACACTAGCAATTTTAATGTTATTTCCACCCCTGCATGTGAGCTGATACAATGAGTGCCACTTTGCTAATTGATCATTTCTTGTAAAACAAACAATGTTTAGCTTGTGGTATTGTTTGTAAAGTTATGTTTGTCTTCCAGTTCATCAAAGGAGAATAAAGATTATTTCTGATAACATTTCTTTGTGTGTCAAGCTACACTGCAATCTGATAATCATGATAGTGACTTACGATTGATGAACAGTAGACATATACACATCTACCAGTAATACAAATTAAACGTTTAGTATTATTTAATGCAAAATGTATCTGTATTAATCTTTAAGAAGTAAATTACTACAATTGCCTTAGGTTTTGTTTGCTATAGAGGTATTTGCAATTGTTCTGTAGATCTAAATACAAATGAAAGACTGTTTATTTTTATTCTGTTCTGCAAATAATTATCGTTTTATTCTAAACACAAATGCATCCGAAAAATTTGAAATTCCCCAGAATCTAGTGATTACTTATTTCAAAGACCTTGACACTGACCTTTGACAGCTGATGCTTTTGAACTAACACCAATGGCAGGTCATATGTATAATTAATGCTCCTTTTTTAAAATTAATAGTTGCAACATGAAGTTTCAAGACAACTTTTCAATACGCCTATAAGTGCTTCTACATAGTCAATATGTTACCTTGTTGAGTCTTCCAGCAACCTCCTGGATATATTGATTTTGATACAGCTGACCTAGTTTCACCCTCAAGTTACTCATGCAAGTATCAAAATGTACATCACGAACGACAAAATAAAACAGCTTGCTTCAGTGGAGGAAATGGGTGTATCCTTTGATCATAATGCCACGATGACCAAACAACGGATCCGCTTTCGCACCCTCTCCCCCTACACATGCCATATTGTATTACCTAACACTGAATTGTCATTTTTCTGTTTACCGTTCACACTATTTTTAGAATTACTACACACTCCAACGATTCGCGCCCAACGCGCCACTGTGCAAACTGAAATCGACGACACACCTATCCGTCACTTAGTTTGTGTAAATGTAACTTAGTGTACCGGAATAATTTTGTAGCGAAGATCAAGGGAGTCAACTTCAATAGGAAAGTGCATACATACCTGTTAATTATTTGCAATAGCTGCCGTAGCACGATAGAAGGAGCAACAAAAACAACAACACCGTTGAAAGCGTGTGTAAACGCACTATTACGCATTGACCCGTGACCTTTGCTACTAAATATGGAAATATTGGATAACAACCGTTCTCTTAGCCAATCAACGCCTATCTCATTCCCGATTCAAACTTTCTGTCTCAATGCGCCGAAAACAACCAGCACAAAGAACGTTGGCAGTAAGTTTTAGGTAAATTGGATCCAAACAGTAGTTTTTAATTTTGCAAATACTACAACTATTAACAATATCAAAATATAAGATGCGTATACATTCGTACACATTTGACATTGCTAACGACATCTGTTTTGTAGGATGTACTATGTTAACACGCGCATGGATATCATCACTTCCGCAGTGTAGTAAGGCTTTGTACGATTCGCGCGGCGGTTTATCCAGAAGACATTGATAACTTAACGCGTTAAATGTTTATTAAAAACATAAGCATCATTTGATTTCATGTCTAAATTACTTCTTACAACAACGCGGAATTAATCTGGTAAGTGAAAAGGTAAGGTATTTAGCAATCTTGGTGTTTTGTTGTGAATAATATTTGTACGCATGGTTCATGTTTTGGTTTAGGTGCTGATTTCAAAGCTGAAGGCAGCTGATATTTTTGTTTCCGCGGGAACAAAGAATCCAAGCCTGCGTTAGTCTGATAGATCTGTAGATTGAATTTAGGATAATTGTTTTATGATTTAAGTTAAATCCCTTCAGAGATCACGATGAAACAATACTGAACAGACATATAAAAACCAAATATTTAAAGTTCCCGCTGAAGAATGACAGCGCACATCGCCTAAGGTTTTTGTTGCTTAGTGGAAATAGGTCATGTGTCACGAAGGCGGTTGATGCCCGCCACTAAAGTATTTGCTAGCATTCTAAAATTATAAAATGAGGCTATAGTATTGCATGTCATTATTTCACAATACGTTCAATTAACTAATATTTTGAATCGAAAGATGTAAATATTTTCTTTACTCCCGCCTTCAAGACGCACAAACCTAGGTAGGGTTACATGTGCACTTACGATCCTAAAGTAATTTTACTATCGGGTGGATTTTGGTTTGTAGTTTCCCACGACAAACATACAATAAAACACAGAGTGTATAAACAAGTAAACTGAAACGACAGGCATAATGTATCCAAAATAATAACCATCTTAGGCAGACATATTTTAGATAGATAACGTCTGTGGTTTGATGAGTTCATGCGCTTGTTTTTTCCATTGTCAGGGCATGGTAGCAACTGAGGTTGTTGTTGTTTTGCTTAATAAATTTGTTGAACTTTGTACACAGAATGCCTGTGAGAGCCACATTTCAACAGATGTGTGTTGATATCCTATGTCTAAAAGTGTGGACCAGTGAAGATCCGGTTTAGAATATGGTCTTCAGCACCCAATGCTTGTCTTAAGAGACGACTATCTGGATCGGATGATCCGTCAAGCTCGCTGACTTGGTTGACACATGTAAATCGATGCTCATGATATTGATCACTGAATATTTTTCTTATTATAGGATATTTATATAGCGCACATATCCAGGTAACTAGTGCATGCTCAAGGCGCTGGTATTGTTTTCCCTCGATCTTTAGATGTCAATCTCAATGGCACATCGTATTATCAATCTCAACTTCCTGGGGAGTATACAACTTTTGCAACCACTAGGCGCACCGAGTTATTGTGGCTTTCTCATCCTAGCGAGGTACCCATTCACAGCTGGGTGGACTAGGACACATAGTCACAGTACTTTGTCCAAGTACACTGCATGTTGCTGTACCCTCAACTAGGTGTTTGCTCATATTCATGTGGCCACCATCTGGTCATAAACCAACGGATTCGTCGGTCCTATTAAGTGCACAGGGTTGTGTACTGTACACTAGGGGTTGTGACAACACTGAAAGAGTCTGCACACAAAGTTGACTCCAAGATTTTTACACCCGGTCACAGATGGGCTCGATCCCGACACCTCAACCTCGCTGGATCACTAGCCTGGCGCCTTAGCCAGCTCGCCCAACGCGCCCCCTATACATATCATTAGGGATCATTATAAGTTTGGAACCAATCTTGAGGGTCCTGCGCCATGATGATGACAAATAAGTGAGCCAATTATGTGTCACCCTACAGAGGATGCAAAGGCATACAATGCAATCAGAGAAACTGTACTGTTACTGGAAAATTACATTTATATAAATATTTAGACATTACCATGAGCAAATGTAAATTTTAATATTCAGTTGAAATATGTAATTTCACTGTCTTGTTATAAATTGTATACCTAATATAGTTGTTTTTAATCTGTTTTATTCATTTTAATCAAAATTTGATTTAACATTGTTTACAATCAATTCAGTGAAATTGTGTCGTTGAGGCATGGAAAACTTAGAGAAACTGCTTCTAAAAAAGCACTTTTGCATCTCTTACTGATATGACAGAATGTTAACGGTACACTACTTTTCAACAGTTCTGTGTTCATGCAACAATTCCTTGGAAAACAAACCATTTGAATATATAGGTGTAATTTGGTTTGGAATTAAGGTATTCTTAAGATTAATTGTATGCAGACTGATGGCCAGTTGGTGCTCAGCACTCAAAAGCAGCAACATTTTTTGCCTTGGCTCACTTCATACAGAAAAAAGACCACTGGTATTCAGATATTTGCTAAGCAAATCTGACGAATGTTATGAAATATTGTGAAAATAGATGACTGATCAGCTCCAAGCTCCGTACGCAAATATAATTGTACTGTTACTAGCTCACTTGTCCCTGCCTGGCACTCTGCATTAATGGGTACAACAAGGACTGGTCGGCTCAGAGTCAGTATAATGTGTCTGAGTGGGGTATTCATGCTTAACTGTGGCATGGTATCTCAGTGAGCTTGCACTATAAAACCAGCTTAAGTCAGGACTAGTACAAGCAGCCACACATACACACGCATGCATGTCGTCATATGAGAGAAATATTCTTAAGTGCGACGTTAAACCACATTTCACCTCACCTCAACTGGAAGTCATATATGCCCTTCTGTTTGCAAGTCTCTACGACAAAGCTACAAAACAAAGGGAAGCCAAGCAAGCATTTAAATGAAGCAGGTTGTTTCAAGTAATTCAAGCATTGATCATAATTCGGCTTACAAAACTGGACCAGTCATACAATAATCTGTTAAAGTATTCCTTGAACTCATTTTGTTTATTACCATTTTCAGGTAGCCTACCATGTTGTATGGAAAAATTGTTGTAATAAAGCGTAATGGTCAGGATGGTGCCCATTTCCCCTTGACTGCATCAGCGTGTCTGTTTGGACGGTAAGAGTTACACATGATTGCACCAGTTGTATTAACATAGAGCATTCCAATTAAATAATGCAGCAATGTACAGGGTTCTTTTTACCTAGTGTATATATGTTGTGTAGTAAACAAGTATAGATTTTAGGGATAAGTACATTGAAATACTATTTTAGACAACTAAAGACGAACTTGGGTGACTTTGATTATAGAAAATGTTTGAATTGTACTATTAACACTTATGTCAGTGTTTAACCTATTGGAAAGTACATACATGCTGTAAAGTGTACTGAACATGCTGAAAAAATAGTTTATGTAGCAGAACTGTGGCTGTAATCAAGGCAATGGTTGTATTTTAAATAGTTACTATAGATATGTAAGTAGCTAGACTTGAAGGTTTGATTCAACACTACTTGTGTATGTCACATTTCATTCCTGGTTTTGGATTATTGAAGATCATTGCATGTTTTGGTTTTTAGGAGCAATGAATGCGACATTCGAATTCAGCTTCCAAACGTGTCCCAAGTCCACTGTCGTGTGGATGTAGATGACACTGCTGCTGTGAGTGTCCTATTATCTTCTTGTTTATGTTAAGGTCATCAACCATCATAAAAAGGATTAAAAAGTCACATATGCTGAACCTGCTATGTAAAGCTACTAAAGGATGTTGGATTGTGATGAAATTGTTGATAGAACTTAGCAGGGCTCGATTTAATGCTTTGTTACTTGCACAGGTACAACCCAATATTACAAAGTGCAGCCTAGTTATTAGTCTAACTTGCACAATGTGCAAGTCAATTTTTGATTGGGTAAACTTCAGAATAGAACATGTCAGTAATTCAACAGCATATTTCTTTCTTTACATATTGTGGGGCGGTGGGGTAGTCTAGTAGTTAAAGCGTTGGCTCGTCGCGCCGAAGACCCGGGTTCGAATCCCCACATGGGTACAATGAGTGAAGCCCATTTCTGGTGTCCCCCGCCGTGATATTGCTGGAATATTGCTAAAAGCAGCGTAAAACCAAACTCAGTCAGTCAGTCTTTATATATTGCAATAAAAACAGTGCAACTAGAATTTGGCTGGTGCAAGTAGGTTAACATCTCTTACATCGAGCCCTGCTTAGATTGGTTATATAGATTGAGTGATATATTTAGAGAGTAACCAACAAGCTTCAAGGGCTGTCTTAAGTCCTGGGAGATTCCACAAGTGTCCTTGTCATGCAAATAAATTATTATTATGTTCAAAACTTTTATTTCTCTGAAGTTTTTATATTTTTCCTTATCCTGACTCATGCTTAATTGCTTGTCTCCTTCCTCTTACGAACTATAGTGGAACACTTGAATCCTCTTTTGAAGCTCCCTTAAAAAAAGCGGACGTAAAATCACTCACCCCACATGTAGCCTCCCTTTGCCCTTTGGCGCCAAAACCCGTCACATGATCAGACATGCTCTTCACTCTCTCCTTCGCCCTAGAGGACGGTTGTGAGAGCGCCTGGGTCCCCTATACTGCATTATATCCTTTTATTTTAGGCTTTCATTATTAAATTAGCTGTATATGGTCTTTAGCAAGGATATACCAGCAATATGGTTTGAATTTGTACCGAATTTTCTGTGTTTTTCACGTTGTTGACATGATGTTTCATCTTTTTTACATTTGATGAAATCTTGCATTCGTTGCAGGTTTCGTTTATCGGCTGCTGATCCGCATTCATTATGTCCTAAACAGAGTCATGTCTAAACAGTGAATAGGTTGATAACCATATATTATTGCCTGCTGAGATTCACCATTCCAGTGTTTTGCTGGTGGCTTTTACAGAGCTGTTGACTGTGGCAGATGGCAGCTCCGGGTCCTGGAAGAGATTGTCATCGTCTCAACTACCCTCGTCGCAGTCTAAGAAGACCAAGTCATCGTCTGCTCTGAAGAAGAAATCGTCTACAGATAAGACTTCATTGAAGTCGTCCCTTGGGAGAAGACGAGGTCCTTCACCGCAGATATCACCCCTTCGGACGAAGCAGACGTATACGCATTCTCTTCCCACAGAGGCTACTCAAGTCATATCTTCCCACGTAACCTCTGTTCTAATACGGCCATATTTCTTGGTTCTCGTAAAATACCCTGGCGGCAAAAAAACAACAACATGAATAATCTCCCTTCTTTCTGTCAAATCAGAACACGTTACATCAACTTAGATCCAATATGGCGGCCGCCATGGAGTTAATTGCTCAATATGCGAAGGATAGATTCGGTATCTCATGTTTAACTGAAAATCAGAAACTAGCAATAGAAAGTGGGGCCACAAATATCCCTTATCTGCCGATGACTTATGATGATGTGACACACAAGACATTTAATGCCTAGCTTGTCCGTTGTCAACGAAGGCAATTGACCCGCCATTGACCCGCCATTACATGACCGAGTTCTGTCTAGATGAAACGTTTGCGCATCGCGCAGGGGAAGAGGTTTTATTTTTATTACCGAGGCTTATCGAATGATCACTTTTGAAACAACGTCGCTGATTGCACAACTAAATCTGATTGCAACCAATCACGAATCCTGAACATTGCACCATGAAAGGGCCGTATTAGAACAGAGGTTACATGGGAAGATATGACTTGAGTAACCTCTGTGGGAAGAGATTGACGTATACGATGAACCACCCATCCTGATTCCTGAAGTAACGGTTAGGAAGAAGACGAGGTCTTCTACAGTGACGTCAGCAGCCATATCAACGCAGTCAGACGTCTTATCAACACAGACTTCAGAGACCTGAGACGACAGGCATTCCTTGGAAGGAGCCTCAGCACTCTCAGATGCGTCGTCATCTTTACAGCAGCAGCAGTTGTCAGCGCAGACCTTCAACCCGGGTATCTTCATGCAGCAGTTTACTCAGTAGATGATGGAACGGAGGTTCGCGCAGGAGAAGGCTGCGGTGAAGACACCATCTACGACGAACCTGCACGAAAGACAAGCAGCCTGCAGATCACATCCGAGTGAAGATGGCAGCCTGCTTGAAGAAGAGAACGTTTGTGAAGGATCACGTACTCGACAGTCATCCATGAATACTTCCCGAGAACCTGTCAACCTGGCCAACGATGAGCCTGCAGTAGAAGAGGAGCATTAGCGAAGGAGAACCAGACGTTCACCGGAGCATCGCAGATCATCCTCGACCTGACTCGGACAATCATCACGGACATGCGCGAACATATTTCACATCCCACGGAAGAGAATCTTCACCTTCACGCAGGCGCAGGAATACGTCTCAAGACTCCAGGGAGGATCTTTATACGGATCGATCACCTTGCGCAGGTCTTCATGAAGATCTTCACGTTCATCTCCACGCAGATCTTCATGCACATATAGGTCGCCACGCAGGTCTCCACACGCATCTCCACGAAGGCATTTGCGAATGTCTCCACGTAGATCTCCACTCAGGGAGCAAGCACAACGGCAACGGCCTTCAGATCAAGATGCATCCAAAATCTGAAGATGATGGTGGAATCATATTCTCCGATACAGAGATCAAGTCTTGGATGGCTAATGGATTGGAGCTTGCATCACCTTCTAAAGAGGATAATGAAGCATTCACGTACATGATGTCAAACGACGAATTTGATACGCTCACCCTTCCAACATAGATCCCGTGTTGAATGTACCAGAGAACCTCAGTACAGCCTTCAGGAAGGCAACGAAGTTCCAGAGTCAAAGTATACCACCGTTCAATGCAAAGAAGTTCTCTCTACACCATATGGAACCCTTCATGAAGGCCCCAGAGATAGACGAGAACTACAATATCATCAACGACTCCCGTACCAGGACTTATAAAGTGGACGATAAGAAGCTAGCACAACTAGACACAACTACCAGGCATACCTTCTTTGGTCTAGCCAGATCAAGAGCCATCAATGAAACCCTCATTGCGAAGTTTAGGAACTCCACCTCGGAAGAAGATCGTATGATCTACTCGGCATTGCTGACCCAGAAGAAAGACCAGCAGTTTATATCGGAGCATCTGGCATCTACATCAGCAGGGTTGACTCTACTGAGAAGACAAGGGCTACTATCTTCCTGTAATTGGAGTGAGAAGTTCACCAAGACTTTGTACAGAGCTCCATGGTCAGCATCAGCTATCTTCGCAGGGGAAATTGAAGATGTGGCCAAAGAAGTTACGAAGGAGTCTAGGGAGGTCGTGATGATCAAGTCCATCGATACACTGGCCAGAGTTATCCGACAGACATCTCAACGGTACTCTGGCAAATCGAAGTTTGCGGGGATACAGAGAGCTATAGAGAAGAAATACGGCACTTTCAGAGGAGGCAAGGATTCTTTTCGTTGCCCAACCGGAGCTCCCAGAGGTAACCCCGGAAGTGGCAGAGGATTCAGAGGTGCCAGGAATGCTAGACGTTGATGGACGGGTTCGGAACGACTGGAGTCTTCCACCCCCAGCCGTTCCCATACAACCTTCGACAGTGGGTGGACGCCTACAAAGCTACTGGGAGAATTGGGGAATTCTTCAGGACAACTACGATATCCCAGATACAGGATACAACTACAAGCAGTTCCAACATTGACAAGCACTCCTCAGACGCACAACTATGCTACCGACCAGAGGGAGGAACTACTCGACTCCACTCGAGAAGAAGGCAGTCGAAGAAATAAAACAGGAACTCATCATGCCGGGTTTTTACTCCCCAATCTTCCTGGTACCAAAGAAAAATTCCAAGGAAAAGTCCCGACTAATCTACAATATGAAGAAATTCAACCAGGATTATCTACGCAGACCCGCAAAGTTCAGGATGATACACCTTCCTCAACTACGACAAGTCGTTAGACTACCTCGCCAGCATAGACCTACAGGATGCGTATCTTCATATCCAAATACACCCGGACTCAAGGAGATAGCTTCGATTCATCTTCAACGAACGTCATTACCAATGGAAGGTGCTACCTTTTGGAATATCGTCGGCCCCCTGGTTGTTTACTCGAGTGACAAAGCCCATCATCACATACCTACATCATCGAGGTCTACGCAGTGCATTTTACCTAGACAACGGGATTCAAGCTCATCAAGATCCCAGTCAACTCAGACTGCAACTAGACTTCACCATCAGGCTACTCACTCAACTAGGATGGCTAGTAAATCTCCTCAAATGGGAACTAGAACCTACACAGGATCTTCAATTCCTAGGAATACGACTCATCACATCAGCAAATCGCATAGTCGTTCCAGAGGAACGTTGGGTCAAGATACAACAGATGATATCTCAAGCACTATTCTCTCCGTTACCACTACAAAGTTGGCAGAGCCTACTTGGTCTCCTCACGTCAGCACAAGACATGACTCTACACTGGTCCAGCATACAAAGGAACGCACAGCTGATAATCCATACGGACAACTCCACAGTGGCGTTCTACATCAACAGACAAGGATCAACAAGGTCAAGGAATCTGCTAGACCTCAGCTATTCAGCATAATAGACAACCTGAACATCGACATAAAAGCATGCCACATTCCCGGAGCCAAAAATGTGATAGCAGACGCCCTATCTCGTCCAACGCAACCATCCCGACAGAGTGGATGTTACATCCAGAGGCATTCAGATGCATCATTCAGACGATAGGATCTCCACTGATAGACCTGTTTGCAACAAAGTTCAACAAACAACGACCAACATTTGTCTCTCCGATTCCAGATCCACAAGCATGGGCAACAGATGCTTTAAGCATATCTTGGGAAGGACTAAACGCTTACGCGTTCCCTCCTCCAGCTCTAATACCGAAGATGTTGCAGAAAATCAAGCAGACGAAGAAGCTGCAACTGATTTTCGTCGTGCCTTACTGGCCAGCGAGAGTGTGGTTTCCCATTCTCATACGAGAACTCAGAAATCCAACCCTGCAACTCCCAGAGTGGCCGAACCTACTAGTTCATCCGCACACCAAGCAAGCACACGGAAATCCAACAGTATTTCAACTACACGCATGGAACGTATCACGACTTGCTTGAAGAAAAGAGGATATTCCGCCAGAGCAGCAAAAGCAGTCACATTAGCTCTACGTAGATCAACCCGCAACTTGTACGACGACAAGTGGCAGAGTTTTGAGAAATATGCATTGAGGAAGGGTTTCACGGCTATGAAAACAACACTTCCTCAAGTGACGGAATACCTTTGTCATCTAAGACAAACAAGGCGGCTGAAAGGGGCAACACTCTCTACATACCTAGCGGCCCTCAGCACAGTTATCACCATGAAGACGGGTGTGAAGTTGACCAAAGTACCAGAGATACTGGCATTACTATGCTCTTTTAGGTTGGAAGACCTGCTTGGGATCTCAACGTGGTCTTGCAGCATCTCACCAGTGACGCTTACGAACCACTAGAAAGGACATCTTATGAGAGGTTAACTCATAGGGACTTCATAGCAAAGAACCAACTGCCTGGTCAACCTGACAGGCAGTCCAATATCCCAGCACTCTCATCAATCCTAGGGCCACGGGATACTCAAGATTTATCCCTATGTCCAGTCAGAGCATTAAAAGTCTACCCACAAAGGTTGAAAATGAGGAGACGAAAATTCAAGCCCCTTTTCATCCCTCTATCTACTGAGACGCCTACAGAGGTCTCACATACAACAATATCAATATGGATGAGAGCCGTCATATTGAGAGCCTACAAAGCAGCAGGACTTCAGCCTCCACAAGCCTCCAATCCTCATGAAGTCAGAGCACTGGCGTCGACACTCACTCTGCATGGGAACTGCTCCATCTCAACAATAATGGAGGGCTGCTTTTGGAAATCGGAGACGGTGTTTGGCAACACGTCTCCGGAATTCACCAGTTTGGGCCTCTTGTTGTGGCACAACAATTGACGGTTCCTCAAAGACGCTGAGATGAATCTCACCCTATTTATCACGTGACTTGTAAAGCCAACACACGGAAGAGTTAGAGCTTTTGAGTCCATGCGTACGTCTAGGACAGGCTAGCATGAGTGACAGACCCTGTAGTTGTAAGGCCTTACTTGTACATGAAGAAGGGTCGCTTCTCCACTTGATGCGAGCATCAAGCTATGGAGTTGCATAAATCTACACATAATGTCAGAAGACGGTTCCAGAGAAATCTGACAAGTTGTGGTTTTTCCCTCCAACCTCCCCTCATGGCACTCTGGATTTCCCTGTAGATCCGGGTGTCGGGCTCATATTCGGAGAGAGTGAAGATCATGTCTGATCATGTGACGGGTTTTGGCGCCAAAGGGCAAAGGGAGGCTACCCGAGGGGTGAGTGATTTTACGTCCGCTTTTTTAAGGGAGCTTCAAAAGGGGATTCAAGTGTTCCATTATTGTTCGCAAGAAGAAGGAGACAAGGAATTAAGCATGAGTCAGGATAAGTATAAAATATCAATTTTTATGAGAAAATTACATTTTCTTAAGTTCTGAAGAGTTAAGATTGCATGATGGTGATCGTGTTGATTGGTAAATATCTTTCACTCTTTTACTTTCAGATATTCTTGACAAACCTAAGTCAGACGAACCCGACCCTTATCAATGGAAAGACGGTATCATCAACGACTCGTGTTAGCCACAAGGACATCTTTACAATAATTGACAGGTCATTCAGATTTGAATTTCCTCCTGGATCCCCCTTTAGAGAAGGACTGTCACCCAAACCCAACAAGAGCCCCATTAACAAGTCGAAGATTCTAAGTCCAAAGGTAAGGTCTAACGTTGAACGTTGATAAGAATAAATGGCTCACAATATGGAGTTCTTGGTCTACTTGCACAAATAGATTTCGAGGTGCAACAACAAAAGTAGCTCATCCTGCCTCGTTCGCTTGCTCAGACACTTGTTTCATAAGATTGATTTGTTTTGCAGTCCAAGCCTCCAATATCACCTGGGAGAAGTGCATCTTCATCCCCTGTAAGAACCCCAGCTAAAGGAGGTTCTCGACCAACCTCCCCTGCAGCAAGAAGGATGTCTCAACCCCTGTCCCCAAGAGCTGACAATGGCAATATTGTTACACCTTTGTCTGTGAAGCCCCAAAAGGCTGTCACACCCAAACCTGCCACGCCAAAGGCGTCTCCCAAAACTCCCAAGGCAGCTACACCCAAGCCAAGCCCACGAAGTAAGACTCCCAGTCCAGCACGATCCCAGTCTAAGACAACCCCTAAGAGTAGTTCTAAAGAAAATGCTGGGGCAAGGAGCAAGAGTCCAGTCATTGCACCATCTACGCCCAAACAGTCATCAAAGTCGTCTCCTAAGGCATCTAGTAAGATATTTGTTTCAGTACTACACACATTATTGTTGGCATTATTGCCCAGGATTAAAGTTAATTTGATCAGTAAATGATTAAATGTTGACGAGTCAAATTTAGTTACATTAGTTTTATGTCTTATGTTTACAACAGAATGTTTGCTTTGAAATAGATCCCTTGATCTTCCTTTCTCTGTATCTTTCAGTGTTTAGTATCTCTCTTAAAGTAACATGTTTAAGGAAACTGATATATTGGAATTGCTCTAAATTTGCTCCATCCTTTGACATGATCAATGAATCCATTATATAGGCCCATATCACAGTCTGTGCCCAAAACAGTCTTCCTCTTTAAACATTAGGCATCATGATAATGGTTTCAACAGATTTTAGTCTAAATAAACACACTGATTTACAGGCTAGTGTCAGCTGATTAAAAGACATCTTGATGAGACTCAGGCTACTTCAGGTGGCTGAAGTCACAGACTGCTTTCATGGTGTTTTAGCCTCAACAGTGAAGCACCTTTTGTTGATGTTCTGGGAGTAAAGTTTATTCCTTGTGCCCCTTCCATATTTATTATAAGAAGGGACTACATTAGGGATGATGGGTTTGTGACCAAGCTTAATCATTTACCAATGTCCACTCACTTTGAATAACACCAACAGTTGATTGGTTTATCCAAGTACAATTATAAGCATTCTGAGAGTCACCTTCAATTTACTCACGGAATGGGTATTCCTAAATGAGTGGACTGAGCTGAAAAAAATAGTCAAGTGTTCCTTTTGAAACCCTTAACATTCAAAGATTTAGTGGATCCCTCAGGTGAAAACCTCAAGCACCCCAGACCCGCTTAGTTTTAGATACTGGGGACCCTTTCAGTTGAAGACAATTTATGCATGAAATAGGAAAATTGTGTCTGTATAAACTGGAAAATAATGACATTGATCATAATCTGTTCCTTAAGCCTAAGTTCTTAATATCATTGATGTTTTTGCTGACAATGTTTGTTCCCTTGTTTTAAGGCTCTGGAAACAAGCGACGACTGAGCGGAGGCAAGAAGGTAAGCACATTCCTGATGGTGTGGAATTGGGTGACAACGTCTCACTTATATCAACCCGTTGCAGTTGATCCAGTGTCACTCAACAATGATGTTGTAGACTGACAGTACAAACATCCTATTTCATGTACATTTGACAGAATTCATGGAGAAGAGACTGTAACTGATAATTTTAGGTTAATTATCCTGAACGTGAATTAAGAAAGAAGTGCAATGTGTGAAAAGTAGAAACCAATCAGGTTTGAACAGTTAATGTCTGATGAGTCTGAGTATGTTTAGTTATGTTGTATTTTTCTATTTTATGTGTCCATAGTTAGGTTTTGTTATCTTTTGATGATGGAATGTGCCACTTGTTAAACAGAAATAAACACTGACCACCTTTAAAGAGAACAGTGTTTGTCCTTGCTTTCTGGCCCTGACATCCACAAGTAACAAGACTCTAATTCAGAAATGGTCATTTGATCAGCAGGAAAATGTTGATGAATTTCAAAGAATATGGCCTTGTTTAATGCTCATCCCCTGACTCTCATGTATTTTCAGATATATGGATTTTGGTATCTTTTTGTTCTTTGTATTCAAGTCTACTGACTGCCTCTTCAGTGAATGAAGGAATAAGAAGTTTTTTTAGAAAAAAAGAAATTCGAAGTTTAAATCTTGCATATCTATGAAGTACCAACATGTCTATTAACTACTTAGCATGTTTCTTTGCATTTGAAAAAAAAAGTAAAAAGTTGAGCTAAGGTGGAAAGTTTCAGTCTGCAATGAGCATCTTATGTGTATTTTTCTACAGTTTTAAGATTTATGACATCAAGGTTATAAAACCTGAAGACAATAGCTTATTGCCAGCATAGCTTGAAACAACATGTCTAGATCACACATGCCTTACAATTGTTCTTGCTAAATGAGTCCAGAGTAATTAAGTGGAAAAGAGATAATCATGGCTAACGAGCCATACTGACAACTCACACTCTGTCAATTAGTCTGAGATACAAGTGACAAGTTGTCTAGCTGTCACATGATCTTATGGGCTGAGAGGATTAGTCTGTACAGATACTCTGTGGGGTTAGTCTCCTTTTCCTTGTGAAGAAAACTGCATTTGATGCTGAAACCAAGGTTTGAATGTTGTTATCTCAAGGGATATTGCAAAGACAGTACTGAACCAGTATAGTGCTGTTAGTTCATATGATTTAGCAGTACTAAACTGTTAGATTTAATACCCAAGCATTGTGATTGGTAAACATTAGAGATAGAGGATAATATTTGACATATACATATTATCGGGTAACTCTCTATTGTCCACAGGCGAATCTATTCCATGGAAAATATTAGCAAAGGCTGCTTAAAACTGCCAGGACCTTGATGTTTTATATTACTATTTACTGAACAGACACTCTGTTCAGAGCATTTTAAAGGTGTGAGTGCGTTTACGTTTCAGTATGTGTAAACTGTATGTATAAAACATGGGCATTTGCTTTGCCAGCACCTCAGCCATTCAAGTACACATAGATGATGCTACATATATGAAAACATCCCTGTGCTGATAGAAATGTCCACTCTTGTACCTAGTATAGTTGAATTGTGGATTTAAGTTAAGATTTTATCGCTTTTTAAATGTATGTATAAATGTACTTCTTGCTTGCAGTCCCTCCCAGCTGGAAGCCCTTACCCAACTCCAGCAGGCAGCAAGTTGAGAACGAGCATCTCGGACCTACGACGCAAATCAGAACCAGTGAAAGAGGCTGAACCTGTTACTCCAGCTAAGTCACCTAAAGGAAAATCTCCTGCTAAAAAGACTCCCTCGTCAAGCAAAAAGGGTGTGTGTCTTGTTACATCCTTGTCATGTCATGACTTTTTGTCAGATATTTTTCCACAGTCGCTAAGTTTATTTGGGTTGCTTACTTTATTGTGGGAGAAATAAAGCCTTCATAACGACAGGGCCAGTTGTCAAAATACAAATATCATTTTAAAACAACCACAATGTCTTAAAACTCAGGTCCAAATTTTAAGGAAATCCACTAAAGAAAGTGTTTGTTGAGTCATTGTTACTTGGAGGAAAACAGCTATTACAAGTAAGCTTTTATTCCACATTCTTTGAAATGTGTGTGTCTGTAATCTATATATCAAATAATGACTCAAAGATTGATTATTTTAATGTTAAGGTATGTAATCAATTCTTTGTTCTTTTCAGGCAAGACTCCAAATAGTGGAGGAAGAAAAAGAAAGTCGACAGATTTTGAACTGCCGAACGCCAAAAGAAAGCGAGTTTCTTTTGGTCCTCAGCTCACACCAGAGCAGTTTGACAAGAGACTCCCCCCAGCTACGCCTATTAGAAAAGGTGCCACACCGATCAAGAAAGGAAACACACCAAGGAGGCTCTCAGAACCCATCCAGCATCAGAGGAGCCCCAAGTCACTGCTGAGAAGATCCTTAGCTGGGCAGTCTATCAAAGAAGAGAGCCCTCAAAAGACACCACGTGGACGCTCCCCAAAGAAATCTCCCAAGGCATCACCTAAGTCTAGCCCATCACGATCAACACCTAAATCTGCTGTGAAGGCTTCACCCAACTCAGCAAGAACTCCATCAAAGTCACCACCAGGTTCACCAAAAACACCAACGAAAGCAGCTCCTTTAATCATAGCTGATACTCCTGTGTCACTGAAGAACACCCCTGCCAAGTCACCCTCAAAGTTTTCACGCAAATCCAGATCACCCACAAGGAAAACACCAAGCAAGAGCCCCAAGAAGTCTCCAGCCAAGACAGCAACACCAGCTAGGTCTCCAGCCAGGACATCATCACCAGCGAAGTCTCCAGCTAAGGCAGAGACACCAGTCAAGTCTCCTGCTAGGGCGGCAACACCAGCCAAGTCACCAGCTAGGGCAGAGACACCAGCCAAGTCTCCAGCTAGGGCAGCGACACCAGCTAGGTCACCGACACCAGCCAAGTCTGCTGCTAGGGCGGCAACACCAGCCAAGTCACCAGCTAGGTCACCGACACCAGCCAAGTCTCCTGCCAGGGCGGCAACACCTGCCAAGTCTCCTGCTAGGTCACTGACACCAGCCAAGTCACCAGCTAGGACACCGACACCAGCCAAATCACCAGCTAGGACACCGACACCAGCCAAGTCTCCAGCTAGGTCACCGACACCAGCCAAGTCACCAGCTAGGGCACCGTTCCACCAGCTAGGGCACCGACACCAGCCAAGTCTCCAGCTAGGGCACCGACACCAGCCAAGTCTCCAGCTAGGGCACCGACACCAGCCAAGTCTCCAGCTAGGGCACCGACACCAGCCAAGTCTCCTGCTAGGACACCGACACCAGCCAAGTCACCAGCCAAGTCACCAGTTAGGGGCACCGACACCAGCCAAGTCTCTAGCAAGGGCACCGACACCAGCCAAGTCTCCAGCTAGGGCACCGACACCAGCCAAGTCTCCAGCTAGGGCACCGACACCAGCCAAGTCTCCAGCTAGGTCACCGACACCAGCCAAGTCTCTAGCTAGGTCACTGACACCAGCCAAGTCTCCAGCTAGGTCACCGACACCAGCCAAGTCTCCAGCTAGGTCACCGACACCAGCCAAGTCTCCAGCTAGGTCACCGACACCAGCCAAGTCTCCAGCTAGGGCAGCAACACCTAAGGCAGACTCCAGCCAAGTCGCCTGCAAAATCACCCAAGTTGACACCAGCCAAGACACCTCCAAAATTAGCTGTCATAGAACCAGCAGCAGCTTCTTCTGAAGCTAAATCCCCTAGGAGAACTCCAGCCAAGTCCCCCAAGAGGACACCAGCCAAATCACCCAAGAAGACACCAGCTAAATCACCCAAGAGGACACCAGCTAAATCACCCAAGAGGACACCAGCTAAATCACCAGTAGTGATTCCACCTACACCTGAATCAGCTGCTAAATCACCAGGAAGGATACCAAAAGTCAACACCCCTAAATCAGGAGGGAAGGTAAAAAAAGTTACAAAAGGAAGGCAATTTGTGCCAGTAAATCTGACTGGTATTAAGGAACTGATGAAGACTCCTAAGAAAAAGGCTGATGATGTAGGTCTCTCTGCAATTGCCAGGCTAGTAAAGACTCCCAAAACAAGAAAGAGTGGTAATCTGAACGTATCTGGACTGGAAGATTTGTTCAAATCTCCTAGCCCAGCTGAAGGGTAAGACACCAAAATCTACTCCCCGATCTTTGAAGAAGTCTCCAGTTGCTTCACCCAAATCGAGGAGAAATACCCCTAAGTCTGCCAAGAAAGCTGTTACTCCAGCCAGAGAGTCGAAAACACCAAGCACATTGAGTGTGAAGAAGACAAAGCTACTACAGAGCCCTGCTGGAAAGATTGTCTCACCACCATCAGATATGAATAAGGTGGTAGCACTTAGAGCAATCCATGGAAAGGCAGCAACACCTAAGCTTAAGCTGCTTATGAAGAAAACCCCAGGACGCAAAACACCAGCTAAATCAAAGACTCCTAAGAAACTTTGGGCTGATGTTGTGAAAGTAGGCATTGCTGCTGTGGGTGTTGCTAGCAAGAAAGCTGGGCCTAAGGCTAACCCTGTAAAGATTGTCTCTAAGAAGGTAACAAAACAGGTAAGATGTACACTGGTCCTGTGGCCCCTGACTAGTAAAAATTCATCAGGACCATTAAAGTTTGCAGTGGTCCAGGTGGCCAGTGAATTGTTTCCTCATCTAAATAATTAAAATTGTCTTTAAATTAAATATTGAGATTGTATATTTTAGCGAGGATTCAAATAAAGTAATACTCGCAAGTTGAAGAGATTACTCAGGGTCACTGCAAAAAGTCAATAGTAAATTTAAAGATACAGTGCACTCTGTCTAATTCGGACCAGTTTGGGACCGACTAAAAAAGTCCGAATTATACAGTAGTCTGAAGTACACAGATTTTAATGGAGTTATCTCCTTTCAAAATGAGACATAATTCTAGGAACCTACCTGACTTATGATTCATATATTAAATCTATCACATTTCACAATGTCTGAAAACACTTATTAAATTTCAATTTATCATATATTATCAGCAGAATTAAAATTATAAACTATGTTTCGCAATGTTATTGAAAACAACGATTCTCGGACACCTGCTTCGGCAGCGGGTCCACAATAACATTGTCAAAGAGCAAAGTAACGATGTTTCGAGGAATTCATTAAATAAATTGAATAAACTAATGAAAAAATCAACAACAACATTCATAAAAGTTGTCAAACGTACATACTATTTCCATCTTTTTGTGCGATCATGTAATGTAAATCAAGTCACTAGCAAGTGACACATCTCGGCTCTCGCTCGCCGCCTCAATCTTCACGCTCGGACACGATGTTTAATGCGAAAATATATACATGAAGCATTTTTGTCACAGGTCATAGCCTATCACGATAAGTTCCATAATTTACGTATAGGTAGCGATTTCTTACTTAATATGTTCAGAATAGCATTATTTTACCCAAAACTTTTGTCTAAATCTAAAAGTTTTTGTTTACGAGGACGGTATCCATTGCCGTAATATGTTTGGCTGCCTTAGGTCACGTGTCTGATTTTGACCAATCACGACCCTTATAGCAGACTGTGGCGAAAAAGCGTCATTAGAAACCAATCTTTATCCAATAAAATCGCTTCTTTCATAGTGACATTGACACTGAGTTGACATGATCGGCTCAATTATAGTTTACAATTGGTGTTAGTCGCATCAAAGGTAAATAAGCGTTCACCGCTTGACCACGTGGTCTTGGCCAAGCGGACTTCCTGTTAAGTAAATAAGACAAAATACACAAACCAATCAACGGAATGTTTATTCGAGGTTTATTGACCAAGCGGACTTCCTGCTCAGTCCGAATTATATAGCAATGTTTTTACATGTAACTACCTTATCGGGCCGACACTTTGGTCCGAAGTCCGAAATAATAAGAGTCCGAGATACAGAACTGTTTTATTATGACAACAAAGAAGGATTACGTCGGAACCGTGAGTTCAGTCCTGTTTATACAGCAATCCAAGAAAGACAGAGTCCGAGTTTGACAGAGTGCACTGTATTAAGTTCAAGTGAATATAATAGTATTGGTTGTTAAGTAAATCTACAAATGTTATAATGGACCAGTGAAGTGCAGACAGGACCACTAATTATTGTCCACTCACTGATCCTGTGGTCTAGTTGGAAATTTTGAAATGTTGTGTTTAAGATGTAGACAACAACAGATTTATTTTTATAAGTGATTTGAAATAATGATCCTAACATGACACTCTATTGTTTTCTTCATAGGTGCTGCTAAAATCTGCCAAGAAGACCCCAAAGACTCCCCGAGCCCTTGCTCGTGCCACTGCTCCCTCCACTGGACATGCAGATTCCCCTGCTACTCTGGTTGTGGGCAGAAAGATCAGCAAGAGGGTCAAGACCCCAGGACCTGTGCCAAGAAAGGGCCGTAAAGTTAGCAAGGTGAGCTGTAGTTATATGACATATTTGTTTCATTTTCTCTCATGTAATGTTTGTGATCTGATAGATTTGAAAGTAAAAACTCAGATCATGGTGATCATGAATATTAAAACAATGATTATAAACATGTTTATGGTAGCTATTTCAGTCACGTAATTGCAATGACATTCACTTCTATTTTAGGCCGCTCGGAAATCTGCAGGAAATACAAGCTTTACTGGTATTTCTGAGCTGTTCAATTCTCCAACCAAGACCGGGAGGACTCCAGGAAGGGAAAGTCTAAAGTCATCAGCAAAAAAGACCCCTGTTTCTGCTAAGGGAACACCCCATGCTTTATATGAAGATCTCCCTGACACTCCCATAGGCCCTGGTGAGATGATTGTCTCACCCCTCACAAACCGACGCAGCAGCGGAGGAAAGAGTCCAAACAATCTGAAGGGTGTTAAACAGGTCATGAGAACACCCAAGAACAAGAAGAGGACTGCTGTAAGTCCAACAGGTGTGAAAAGGTTGATGAAGACACCTAGAGGGAAGAACACAAATGCAAGTAATGCCAGCCCAGTAGGGGTGAAACGTCTTATGTCCACACCCAAGGTCAAGGCCACACCTGCCAGTCCATCTGGTGTTGCTGAGCTCTTCAAGTCACCAGCAAAGTCTCCTGTTGTGAAGTCCACAAAGAAAGCAGCAACTCCGGCCAAGGCTGCAACCCCAGCAAAGGCTGCAACTCCAGCAAAGGCTGCGACTCCTGCAAAGGCTGCGGCGACTCCTGCAAAGGCTGCGGCGACTCCTGCAAAGGCTGCAACACCAATTGCCTCTCCACCAGCACCAAGAGGTAGAAGAGGTGCTGCTTCTGCCAATACCAAGACAACCCCTGCTAAGGTAAGTAGCGTAAGGTGTTCTGGAAAGGTATTACGATTTTATTAGAATATTATCTTAGCGAAAGTTTCAGAAAAGTAACATGGATGCAACTTAATCATTGTTACCAGAAACCAACTGAAATTCTGTGAGACCTTGGAATACCTTATGGATTTGTACCAGTTTGGGGGCAGTGGGGTAGTCTTCTGGTTTAACCATTAGTTCATCATGCGGAAGACCCGGATTCGATTCCCGACCTGGGTACAATTTGTGAAGCCCATTTCTGGTACCCCGCCATGATATTACTGGAATATTTCTAAAAGTAGCGCTAAACTAAACTCACTCACTTGTACCAGTTTGGATCCTTTTGGAAATGTAAACACCCTTGGTCTAGCTCAAATCCCTAATTACCTGTCAGCAAGACTGACTGCAAAGGCATTCAGCTCTTTTGTTTTGGACACTTAGTAATCTGATTTAAAGATTGTAAATTTTTTATTTTTTTCACTCATTACTGACGTATTAAATGTGAATATTAGCAGAACATAACTCCAGATTCTAAGACAGGTGAACAGTTAGTATTTTGTCAAGTCACCATGGGCAGCACTGCAGGCTTCAGTGCGGTGGGGCATACTACTGATCAAAGAAGTTAAAAAGTCGTGGTCCATGCTGTCCCAATATCGGACCACCTCTTCTTTCATTTCAGCAATATTTGTCAGATTTTTCTTATTGACACTTTCCTTCATAAGTCCCCAAACATTTTCTATTGGATTTAGGTCAGGGCTATAGCTTGGCCAATCTAATAATGTCATATTTTGGGTCCGAAACCAGGCCTGTGAATGCTTTGAACGATGTTTTGGATCGTTGTCCTGCTGGAAAATCCAAACATTTCCATAGAACACGTGAGGAGATGGAAGTAAATGTCCCTCGAGAATATCTGTGTACCGCTCACTGTTCATATTCCCTTCAAGTACACAGAGGGGCGTTGCCCCTAACACAGATATGCAGGGCTCCAGATAAGGGCCGTATCGGCGTATGTACGGATAAAAAATATGCACGATACGGTAGGAAATAATTTAGAAACAGTAGCAGATACGCACCACAGCAGTGGTGTATGGTCTTAGAATCATTAACAGACGTATTTATCTGAAAAAAGTATTGTTTTATTGTTTTTTACCTGTTTACACAAGAGTAGCAATGTTGTGGTGCATATATGAAACGAAACACAAGATCACATACTCCATTAAATTCAATTCAGTACTCTAAAAGTTTTTCCAGTACTCCTATATTTAAAAAATAAGGAGTACGTACTCCTGATGTTGAAAAATTATCTGGAGCCCTGGATATGCCACCCCACACGTTAAATTTCGGATTGCACTTTGGGCGCTGATACAAAGGTTTTTCAGTTTGTTTGGTCCAGAATTTCAGTGTATTAGGAAACAGCCACACAGAACTTTCATCTGAGAAGATCACATTGTCCTAGTTAACATTTCTTATGCTGTAAGCACCAGTTCAACCTTCGCTCCTTTTGTTCAGGTTTCATGATCGGTGATGGAATTCCTCGACTTTTCTGCCAACCCATTGCATGCAGCTCAGTTTAAATTGTCTCCTTACAGACAGCCACAGCTCCTCTATCAATCATGTCCAGCCTTTAGTTTTCTAAACTCCTTCGTTTGGTTTTAGAAACAAGAATACCAAGCCGCCTCCTGTCACCGACAGTCAATTTTCTGGGCCTACTTACGCCTCCCTGGTGCTCAATGCCATATCCATTTGCAATATTTTTCAAAACACGATAAACAGTGGACAAAGGGATGCCTGTTCTACTTGAAATCACTTTAGCTGATCTGATGTCCTTGTTATAATACTCTAAAATCAACTTCCTCTTTTCTAAATCATCCATACTGAGGATCACTGAAAATGTCGCTAGCAAGAAAACAAAGGGGGATAACTCTTCACAAACTAAAGAAAAAGGATTAACAGAGTTGTCTCTCTTGAATGAAACCTGCACTTGATAGCTGGTCAAGGTTGTTTATACTAGAAATCCAATTTAACATATTCCTAAAATTCTCAATAATTTCTGGTCATACCATAGTCAGTTTGTTTCACTGTTGTGTACATTACAGGCGAAACGAGGTGGCAGAAACAGGACAGCTCTGAAGTCGCCTAAGGTCAGCCCAGCAAAAGCAAAGAAAGCAGCTGCAGTAAAGAGTGCATCGCCAGCCAAGTCCCCATTACCTGCCAGGTGTGTACTAATGTTTATGTGGCAACAATACGTTTGTTTTGTCTAATTATGAAGAGATTTCATAAATTTCTAACACGAATATACCTGTATTTTGTGTAAGTTCTGTGGCAGTGGTATTTTATGTTTCCTGCAATAGAATGTCTGCTATAGTCCCTAATTTTTTGTGACTTTGTTCCAGGCGCAGGGGAAGAAAGCGTCCTGCAACTCCTGTCAAGACAGTGAACAAGAAAACCAAGGTTGAATCCGAACCAGTTGAGAAGGAATGTGAGTACAAGGATTTGCTTTCTTTCTCATTTGTCATGTGTAGTGTAGTATACCGATCAGTAATGTTGTCTTTTACCATCTTTTGGATTTACGTCTAAGGATTGAGAAGTTTTCGTTTTCATTCTCTAAGTCATTGTGGTGCATCACAAATTGGGCAAGCCAAGGTCTTTGCTTTACTTCAAGATTTAAATTATTGATGACTAAATGGGTTTGTTTTGTATTTTTCACTCGGTGGCTTATTCCACTTTTCTGAGTTTATTAGTTGGTGGATTTGTAGACCAGTTAATTAAGAAAAAGACACCTCAACATATATGTACCAAGCAAAATATTATTATTATTATTATTATTATTATATAAAAAGTATTAATTATGGCTATGCAAAACATGCAGCAGGTCAAATGTTCTATGAAACTGGTTTTACTTGATATAAGATGTTCCCATTTTATTTTAGCCTCACCAGTGAAAGTAGCACCCCCTGTGAAGAAAGGAAAAGCAGTTCAGTCTCCAAAGAAAGCTGTTTCCCCAGCAAAACCAGCGGCAAGATCAAGAAGAGGAGCTCCAGTTCCAGCATCAGAACCTGCAACAAAACCTGCTCAAGTAAGAGGCACCAAGAGAAAGGCAGAGGATGTCAAGCCTCCCACCCCAAAGAAAGCAAAGACAGTTGTTGAGCCTACCACACCTGCAAAGAGCCCCAAGCCAGCTGGAAGAAAGACAAAAGCAACTAAAGCTGCCTTGCCGATTAAGTCTCCATCACCAGTTAAGGCTCGCAGTAAAAGAGGTCAGCCTGTGGCCAGTCCAGCCAAAACACCTGTCAAACGAGGTACTCGAGGTAAACCTGTGAAGGCTAGTCCGGTCAAGGCAAAGACTCCACCAGCGAAGGTAGCCAAGGGCAAGGCAAAGGAACCAGAGCCTGTGGTCACAGAACCAGTAGCAAGTCCTGTGAAGGCTACCAGAGGAGGAAGAAAGGGGAAAGCTGTTGCTAAATCACCAGCTAAAAAATCACCAGCTAAGAAGATTACAAGAGGTAAGGCAGCTGTTGCTAGCCCAGCAAAGAGCCCTGCCCCAACTAAGAGAGGAGGCCGATCAAAACCAGCTGCTTCTCCAGTAAAAATAGTCAGTAAGGCTCCGGAACCTGCTCCGGAACCAGTCAAGGCAAAAAGTCCAGCTCCTGCCAAGAGAGGCACAAGGGGTAAACCAGTTGCCAGTCCAGCCAAGACTCCTGCCAAAGCAGGCAGCAAGAGGTCTGCTAGAGGTGTTGTCCCATCTGCCCCGTCTCCTGCTAAGAAAAGGTCAGCCTCTCCTGTCAAGCCAGTTCCTGCTAAGAAAACAGCTGTAGCTAAGAAAGGTGCCCCAGTGGCAGCTGAAACACCAGCAGAATCTCCAGCTGTGGCTGTTTCCAAAAGAGGAACAAGAGGGAAGCCAGCTCCCAAGACCCCTAAAAAGCTTCCTTCTAAGAAGTCAGTTTTGATTGTAGTGACACCCCTTTCTGCATCAAAGGGAAGGCGTGGAAAAGTAGTTGACTCGGCTGCAAGTACAGCAAAGGGGAAGGGCAAGGCTAAGAAGACAGCAACACCAACAAAAGCTGTAACACCTGCCAAGACTAGAGGAGAGAAAAAAGCGGCAGTAGAAAAACCCAAGACTCCTAAGCCGACACGAGGTAAGAAGGCTGCCCCTAGCCCGAAAGAGGCAGCTCCAAGTCCTAAGAAGGGGAAGAAGGCAGCCCCAAGTCCTAAGAAGGGGAAGAAGGCAGCCCCGAGTCCTAAGAAGGTTCTGAAAAAGGCACCAAAGGCAAAGGTGACTCCCAAGAAAGCCACACCTGCAAAGAGAACTACGCGAAGTAGAAAATAATTTCATGTAGCTGTAACTCGTTCTGTAGTTCAACTGTACATTTGTAATATTTTTAAATTGTGTTAGAGACTTGAATTTGTAACCTCAATAGTTACCTCAGATGCCTTTGAAAAGACAAGTGTTAAATAATGTGTTCATATGTCTCTAAAATAGTTTTTATTTTTATGTCCACTATGTTAAATAGTCAGTTTATTTTATGCCAAGTTTTGCTTGGTGGTGTCAACGTGTTATTTGTTGTCGTGTTAACTTTTAGTGACTGTTAAGTGTCCCATTTGTAACATACTCATTCATTGCTCTTTGGGCAGCTGCAACAAAGATATATATCATGTTATGCTTAATGTCATCTTGTTTTATTGTCATCACTTCCTCATTATTGCTATGCATACAGATGCAAAAAAAGCATTGTTTAAAAAGCTTTTATTATCGTGCTCATTGTAAATAGCCACTCTTCCCATGGACAGATAAGTTATGAATGCTGCTGTTTTGACAGACAATATTTATTAATAGTATACGAAATAAAAACCATATCAATGCTTTTGTTTCAAACCTTGCATGATGATTTTCCCTCCCAAAATTAAGGCGAAAGTTAAGAGGGTTTTAATGAAATTTTCTGATTGACTGATGTTATTTCCTGGCCTTCATGCATCAAATTATGTAAATAATTTGCCGTTTCAATAACATTTAAGTGAGGGATCTCTGTTGTAATTGCAATATCCTCAGAACTTAAAGGAATTAACAGTAATCAATAAAGTGGTACATGGCTATGTCTCAAGTATTTGTATAACAGTATTGTTGTTTGTGTTTTCCATGATTACACAATGCCATGAACTTATGCCATTATGTGTTTTTCATGTGAAGTAACTGTTGGACCTATTTATTCAGCTTAGTAATGTGTTGGGTTACCCAAACATTTTATATACCTTTTGCAAAAGGGGACAAAATGGGTGATAAAATATTTGGGATTTGGCTGAATCTTAAAAAGTGCTCTTCCATTTTTGATATTTTTTGTGTAATATATTTCACAGAAATACTTGAATATACATTTTATGATTCCATGCATTGTCCTAAAATGACCAAAGTTTGGGTTTGTTTTTTCTCTCTCAATTTTTGTGTGTGTTTCGGAATTTGCTCTTTTCGGGTCAGCTGAAACAGATGCATCTACCATTCACCAGTGTGTTTCGGTCACTTCAGGTTCATATTATTACCTCATGTACATCAAATCAACTGGCCCTTTTAAAGTAAAAATTTTAAACAAATTATCTTATGGACATTTGCATTGCACATTTCTTATCTCCATTTTAGATATATTCATGTAGATTTCATTCATGACCAGTCACTAAACCCTCTACTCAGGGTTGAAGTTGATGTCAGTTTCATTGTACATATCCATCAATCTTCATGTGTTCTTACTGATCATCTGTCCTCATCATTGTCTACTTAACCTGATTTCTATTTAAAGGTGGAAGGCATTTCAAAATTCATATTTATTTTAATTTCAAGGTGAGAGCTATTACCATGTCCTCAAGGTACTTCCATCTGGTTTGTTTTGAAACTCATTTTGGCTGGTCACCTCAAACTGTAGATATAACTATATTTCAGACTAGAACAGTTTTATCACACTTCCAATTGTAAAACAAATTGAGGGCAGTGGACAAACTGCTCATTATTTACTACAACTAGTGTAACCTGTATTTCAATATAAGGTCTTACAATAAAAGATAATTGCAAACTCAATCATTGTTTTGTTTTTGAGTTCATGCACTGTTCAGTATTTACTTTTACTGAGTTCAAGTGTTATGCAACAAAAATGACTTCTTAACCTCTTGAAATGAGGCATTCAAGAAGGGCCAGGTGAATGACTGAAGGGAAGGGAATATCTTGAAATAATGACCAAGATGCTGCAACAATTGCAACAAAATGTCTGCACAACTGGATCCCCAGGTGCAGAGATCTCTTCAGGCCACTCTCGCAGATATGCACCTGCTGTTGGGCTTAACAGGCTGTATGATTTGTCAGTGAGAAGTCTCAGGTAACATTTAAAACTGCTGAAACATTACCATGAATACACAATGTAACAAGAAAACAGTATCAATATCCCCTACCACAGTGTTCTGTTCCTTTTTGACAACTATTCATCTTTCCTACAAAGCGGGGGCGGTGGGGTAGTCTAGTGGTTAAAGCGTTGGCTTGTCACGCTGAAGACCCGGGTTCGAATCCCCACCTGGGTACAATGAGTGAAGCCCATTTCTGGTGTTCCCTGCCGTGATATTGCTAAAAGCGGCGTAAAATTAAACTCACTCAGTCAGTCCTACAAAGCGACACATAAGCTGTTAAATGAGAAAATCTGTTCCCATTGGGGATAACGTGCACTAAGTCAAGAAATTCATGACAATGCCATAACTCTGTAAATAATCGTAACACGGTTTGTTTTTAAACTCACTAAGTAGTCCTAGGCCAAATGTTAGAAAAGTCCCTATCTTTTAGGATCTCTCAGCAGCAGTAAAAGCGTTATCCAGTAATTGGTATGACAACTCCCATCCTCCAGAGATTCTTGTCAATGTGAAACTAGACACAGAATGTATCAGGTTGCTGAAAACAAACAAGGTTTACCCGGCTGTTGAAACATTGTCCACATGTTCATAGACCAACTGCATGAGTATTAACCGCATGGTTTAATGGACGGTGACAAGCACTGGTGTTTAACATGATCAGGATATGCAGTATGGGTGATACAGCCGGGTGTATCATATTACCTGATAATATCTCTACATTTGGCCTAGGAGTATAAGGCAATAATGTCCTGAAAACCCACACCAAATTTGGTTTCTCTGTAATAGTTGTTGAGAAAATCTGTCGCCATCATCTCAGACCGATGGAAGGACGGACACACAGACAAAGTTCAAACCTATATCCCCATCCCACTTCATGGCGGGGGATAATAATGGGTCTGTTCAAGTGGATCTTATGAGTAAATGTGGCATAACTCTGCAGCTGTATCAGGATGTGTAAATATTGAAAGCTTGAGAAGACCTGGGATCACTTGCACAAAGCGATCTTAGTGCTACAATGATTGTAACTCCCATTCTCCAACATAGGCTTAAGATAGTCGTAGCGCTAAGATCGCTTTGTGCAAGTGGGCCCTGGCTGATGGGGCACAAGAAACTGTTCAAGGTATCAGAGTCTGATCACACGTCACCAACATGCCACAAGAATCAGTGGTAGGGGAGACACATTCTATGTGTGAATGTTAATTAAAGGGTCATTTACATGATCAATTTGCTCCAGGAGTAAATATACATTTACTTTACCTCTGGAGCATTTGTAAATTTACTCTGGGAGTATAAATACATACGTGAGTAAATTTGTTTTGTGACGTTTACATGGTCACTTTACTTATAAGTAAATTTACTTACGTAAGCAAATATACTCCTGTAAGTAAATGTGTGCATGTAAAGTGATACAAATAATTTTAGGAATCTTGTGCAGGTATTTTTCAGTAAACGTCAGAAGTTACTAAGTGATAATAGTTTGTAAAAATGACATTTTCAAGGTGTCAAAATGACTAACAACATCCTAAACCATTCCTGTGTGCATATCGTTTTTGGTATATACATATATACATGTATTAAAAACAAAACATGCAGACTGCAGTCCAATCTCATATGAGTTTCACAGATGAAAAAATGTTTCACAAAAACATTACTCACTTATGTATTATGCCCTGAAATAAACTCAACATCTTTAGAACCCAACTCCAAATTATTGAAATGGGAACTGGAAACTTAGGGATTTCCCAGGAAAGAGAAGGCACAAGTTCATAGTTAAGTTTCTTGAAGTAATAACTAGTGGCGGATTTGGACTAAAACAGTCATTATGAGTTGTTCACAGGGGACATGGGATGTTATCTTATCTCACACATACATGTCGTTTTCTGATAGGCTGAGCCAATCAATGTACTCTGCTTACAAGCGAGTAACATTTTCTATGCCACCCTCTTGAAATGCCAACTGTGGGAATTTGTTTGGTACTTTGTGTTAGTAGTGTTTGGTCTAACCCCGGTATTCCTTATTATGATCCAAACAAACACAGAGGGTACATCAACCCATGTCCTCTGAGGGACCTGTGAACAACTTATAATGTACCCTCTATGTTTGTTTATGTTCCCGGAGCCAGAAGGGTGAGTGGAACATAAACAAACATAGAGGGTACATCAACCCATGGGCCCCGAGGGACCTGTGAACAACTTATAATGTACCTCTATGTTTGTTTATGTTCCCGGAACCGGAAGGGTGAGTGGAACATAAACAAACACAGAGGGTACATCAACCCATGTCCTCTGAGGGACCTGTGAACAACTTATAATGTACCCTCTATGTTTGTTTATGTTCCCGGAGCCAGAAGGGTGAGTGGAACATAAACAAACATAGAGGGTACATCAACCCATGGGCCCCGAGGGACCTGTGAACAACTTATAATGTACCCTCTATGTTTGTTTATGTTCCCGGAGCCGGAAGGGTGAGTGGAACATAAACAAACACAGAGGGTACATCAACCCATGGGCCCCAAGGGACCTGTGAACAACTTATAATGTACCCTCTATGTTTGTTTATGTTCCCGGAGCCGGAAGGGTTAGTGGAACTTAAACAAACATAGAGGGTACATCAACCAATGGGCCCCGAGGGACCAGTGAACAACGCATTTATCTTACCGAACACCTCAATGTTAATTTTGAACTGTTTGAAGCACGGGTATTGGATCATAATAAGGAGTACCAGAGTTAGGCAAATAGCCAATACCAGATTTTCAGATGACAAGAACCAAGCAGACAACAAGAAAAACAAATTTAGAGTTATCTCCCTTCCATCGATTTGCATTTGCAAACCATCAGTAATTTCCGTACATCATACATGACTCAACACAAAGTACCAAATGAATTCCTACAGTTCGATATTCCCAGCAGGTAATAGAAAATGTTACTTGCTTGTAAGCAGGGTACATTGAAAATAACAGAAGAGCGCTTAGCCAATCAGAAAACAACATTTATGTGTGAGGTAAGATAAAATGGAATGGAAGGTCTTGGACAAATCAAAGTTTCATTTGTGGAAATGCATTCCAATTTCATGTCAGTTCCTGTGGTTTCTGAGATGTTAACAGAAAGACTACGACACCAGTTCTTTGATCAAACGTTTATTAAAATTTGTATACAAAAACATTTTGAAATACTAATATTCAACAAACTACCCAAGCATTATGCATCAATGTATGCATGCCATTGGTAAACTCTGTACGCTGTAAATATTCTATGCAGCAACACTACAACACAACAGGGTGGTATCAGTGGTAAAGCACTACCATTTCTCCTGAAGTCTTCATTTTGTTACGTTTAGTGTTAGATATGGCACAATGAAGATACATCTATCATTATAATCCAGCACTAGTCAGTATATGATGGGAATATATGGGAAGTGTTCAAACAGAGACAGAAGGATGACACAAATATTTCAAGTCGTTACGTAAGTGTAACATTCATTCAGCTTCAAGTTCATTAAACATGAATTACACAAGTTAATAAGTGATTGTCTTCAACTTTCTTAAAGGCACGATATCACACCACACTTCTCTAAAAATATATAATGCATTTTTCTCAATAATACTAACTATCAGCCCTCAGGGAAGCTACCATATAATTTATTACTCAAAAATTGTGTAGTTAGATTACAATATTAAATTAAAAAGTTTGAATTAATGCAACATTGCATTAAATTGACTCTTGCGCCTTCTGCTGTCCGAACATTATTTCAGGTGAACCCCATAGAGTTATGTCCCTTGGAGCGCTCTTTACGAATATCCTACACACAACTTGTGATTGAAACCAGTCCGGAAAACACTGACAACTTCGCATGTGACAGTTTTCGATGTACGGAGCAATTGTTTACATTCCACCCCGCCGTGATGTTGCTGGAATATTGCTGAAAGCGGCGTAAAACTAAACTCAGACAGTCAGTCAGTTTACATTCCATATATGGCAAGTGTTATGTTTGGAAGCTGTTCACCTCAAAGTTTCCATTATCGATTTCAGGCAAGTCATTAGGTATAATAAATCTTTTATTGCATTAATAGGAACCTAAAAAGTGTGCATATGCCTCAACATAGGCCAAATATATTGTCGAACATGTGTCATTGTGCCTTTAATGTTACAGTACACCTTCCTGGTGTATTAAGCTGATACATCAGCTATATAACAGAAACTGTTCACAGCAGAGTTACAAAAATAGATCAGTATTCCAATCAATGTTGAGGAGTTTCCAGTCTACGTAAACTTAGGCTCAGTATTGTTCGTTACGGTTTTATACGGATTTTCGTTTGTTGAGAGATCAGTTTCAGTGACCAGGGAAGAGAAAATCCATTTTGTAAGTCCAGCCAAATCCTAAATAGTAACCGTTGTCTGATTGGTTAAATCCATTCATCCGTCATGCGTTTGATTGGATGGTGATAGGTGGGCTCAAAGGTTAGCTGATGCGACTTTCTACTAGGGTTTGTTAGACCATAGAAATAAAGTTCTGCTCTATTTCTATGGTTAGACTCAGTATAGCAGTGTAACGAATAATACTGAGCCTAAGTTTACTTAGACTGAGGAGTTTATAATGAACAGTTTCTATCAAAAGCCAGTAATGACTAACAAATGAAGACTTCATGGAGAACAAGTCAACTCTGTCACAATGATTGTTAGCCTGTATCACACTAGACTGTCGCACTACGACAACTTACTATTGGGCTGCTCAATAACAACTGAAAAATAGAAAAGGTGCTCCTGTGCAAGCTGTGTAATTCACTGAACAACAAGTCTTACAAATTGAAAAATTGTATGTAAATTAAAAATGGTAGTCCTAGAGTACGTTGCAACTGGTGTAAAATAACAAAAATCTGGTTTCAAGCATGCAGTGAACATAAGTTATATATCCTCCATAGCTCCTCTAACTCTTGCTCCAGGCAAAAAAACAGATGTCTGAAAATAATACTAAAGCCTAAAGATCTATTTGTTAATGTGGCATGCTATTTTATTAACAATGCATTGCCATGCATTCAACAGCCACAGACTTGAGGTCTTTTGTCCTATTTTAAGGTAAGTTTTCTCCAGATAGGAAATATGTCAATATGCATCTGTGGCAAGGATCTTCAGTTACCCAGTATATTCAATGAACATTACATTTATCCTTTCCTGCTCATTTGCCACTTTATTACAATTGTTTTGTGTGCAAAGAGTCACAATGTCATTGTCACAGATAATTATGATGACATACATAGTTCATGTTATTAAACAGATAAGTCTTGCTGATATTTAGAATTAAATTAACTCAGGTCTCGATAGAAAATGTTTATCTTTAAACAAACAGAATAACGAATTTTATTACATATCAAAATACTTATGATATATATTGTCAACTTTCAATCAATGACGCCCCTAATATGAACACATTTCATGTTAATGAGAGAAAAGTGTCGGTACTCTTAGTAAGAAATGGTGCCGCATCATGCACATAGAACTATGACATCCTCATTGATCTTTTCATATTATTATGCCTTTTGAACAACAATTTATGATAGGAAATAAACAGATAATACTAATTTGTACTCCTTTTCTATTTACAACACTCAAGCCATGTTCTCTCTACCATGGTTAGGTACATGTTAAACTTTCTTATGTTATGACACCAGCATTCTCTGGATGTCCCTTACATACTTGTGCTCAAGGATAAACAAATTTGTGGACATTAAATTTCCAAAGCTAAAATATCTACATGTTTACATAATACTGACATTACTAAAAGCGAAAGATAGCTGATTGTCCAGTGATGACAGTTGAAACACCAGCATAGTGGTCATCACATTATGGGGTAAGACTGAACGATGAATCCTCCCTGGGATAGAACTGTTCATTGTCTTAATATGTGATGACTGAATAGGTAAATAATCTTGTCTAGAGATGTTTAATTGCAAATCTTTACTGACAAGTCATCTTCTCTTGTTTGTTTGTTCACGCGAAGTGATACGATGTCATTTTCTTACCCCCTGAAAAACAGTTTGACTGCTATTTTTGGTCCTCAACATTCAGCTTATCTATGGTAATATACGGTAATTCTTTCATGACGGAATGTAAGTTTTGTGGAAGAACCGAGACTACTTTTATTTTCAGCCATACTTAACCCACTGCCAGGGCTGAATTATCCACACCCCCAACAATAGGGAACACTACCCATCAACCACTGTACTTTGGAAAAGCCTGAAAAAGCCAGGGATATTGATGTTTCCACAGGTAACCATGCTGAATGTATCAACCATGTCAGTATCAATAGTTCTGAAGTAATATTTCAAGTACATGTAGTTTTCCTTTTCAGTATTTCAGCAATTGCTCATTTGAACACAACACCTAAAAAACTCTTTCCACAAAATCATCCCTGAATATTACAGCAATCTCAGTGAGAACAGTTTTGCAGATTTGAAATCCGACAAAAAGGTGGATTCTTTATGTCTCCAGAGTCTCTGGTCATTTTGGGCCGAAGGTAGTGATAAGTTATTCAAGGTTCTGTCAACTTTTGAGGGATTTGAAGCCATGTTACTGACCGATATAATTTCATCTTTAGACTGTGCCACCAACCCATGCATTCACCCAAGAGCCACAAAAACAACACTGTGAAGATATATGGTAAAAAGCAAGCATTAGTAATGTCAGTTTGTATTGAATAGAAGTCTTTGGTTGGGTCAGTTGAAGAATGTGCTAAATTGAAAAACCTGAAAACTATAACCAAATAGCAATACATATTTGATTTCAATGTCACAAAGTTTAATGTACAAATTGTTCTTGGACATTAAGCACCGGAATAAATCTCTAAATGTTTTCATCACCATACTTCTAAAAAAACCCACCATTTTAAAACAATCTTGAATTCAGATTAAATTTTCAAACACAAATTCTAACATAAGTCTGATTGATCCTATACAAATGCATTCTTGTATGATTATTTTCATCTCAAAGATTTGAACTCGCTAATCTCATTGCTACTAACAAGGTGTTTCCTTATGTTGAGATCTTAACTGCAGCCTATACAAGTGTTCTTACATAAGTTTCAGCACTTTCAGCAATATTACAGCAATATCACATACGGGGCCAGTATGCATGTGGGGGAATCAAACCTAGGTCTTGATTGTGGTGAGCAAGAGCTTACCACTAGGCTACTGCATGTCCCACTCTCACATGGAACCTGATTCAATATACTCAATCTATGTGTTAGAGGGTAGTCAGTACTTCAGTGACTGTCACAGCAAGGCATATACCTGACAATATATTGGAACAGTGCAGTTAGCATTACATGGTAGCATTATAATGGTTCAGGTCACATGACCAACTCTATTTTGCAGTACTCCACTATCAAATATCATAACATTAATTTCAGCTGACTATCACATTTGGTTTTACCTCCTGTCTTAACACCGGTTTATAATAATTGGTACATTTGGGAATCTATTTCCACATATCAAATACATTTGTATTTGTGATACAAAAATAAACTGCTGTAGCAAATATACTGACAGAGATATTTTCTAGCGAGGTCTGAGAACTCGGAACTGGAATGCACGTAAAGTGGACCAAGCAGCCACTGTCACGGCTTTGAGTGGCTCAGCTATAACTACCATCACAGGAAGTCTCAAGGAACTGCCACACCCAGTTCGGAAGACCTGAAAATAAACACAGGTTAGAATATCAAAATAGAATGAGTGAGTGAATGAATTAAGTTTTACATCGCTTTTAGCAATATTCCAACAATATCACAGCGGGTGTCACCAGAAATGGGCTTCACACATTGTACCCAGGTGGAGAATCAACCTGGGTCTTTTGTGTGGCGAGCAAACGCTTTAACCATTAGGCTACCCCGTCGCCCCTATATCAAAATAGAACTGAAGACCAAGATATGTGTACACAAGGATGCTGGATCATTAGGTACAGTAACTCGTTGAAATTCATTTGATCTCTGGATCAGTCATGGCCTGTTAATGTTCATCTAAACACCTATATTGACATTACTTAAAGCACACATGATTTGGTAGTGTTTCGTTCAAAGAAATTAAAATATTAAAAAGAAATTAATGAATACACTAGAGCTGATCTTATACGAATTGTACACTTGCCCTGGAACATGGATTTCCTAACCAGAGTCACAAAGGAGTGAGATGTTTGGGAACACATTTCATAATTAGCACATGGCTGACACACACAGTGTTCTCGCAGATAAGGATAGAGTTTGGGTTTGTTTTTTTAGCTTTTTCTTATTGGTTCCCAAGATTACAAAGTCACAGGTATACAAAACCAGAGTTCTTGAATCATTTACACATGCATTTAATAACCTGAATTGCCAGAGAGTGAGGTACAAGTGTGAAAGGCACAGGGAACCCACACTTTTACGAGCAGTACAAAGTCAGACTAACACAAAACAACTTTTAAAATACAGTTATCAAAATACATTCTTAAAACCTTTAGTCGCTTGGGTTCTTTGAATGTTGGCCCCACTTAAAGTAGGTTTATCCATTCAGACTTTGATGTCTAATTGTTCAAACTGTTAAACTGTTCTTGTGATTTATCCTATGTGCAAAATCAGTTTCAGTCATTGACTCCCCTACTAAACATATTCTAAATAAGGCCAAAGTAATGTCTATATTCAATATTGAATTAGATTCTGGGAGTTACCACCCCCACCCCACCCTACGTCTCCGACCCGCGAGTCCGCCATGGCAGTTATGTACCTTTCTATACAGAGTCCTTGGCAGCTAATCACAGGGCTAACAGGGCAGCCTTTTGCTTCTGAGTTTGGGGTTATGCCAAAGTTTGGATACTATGATATTTGTACTGTTACCTTCAAATCTTTCATTGACTACATTAGACCCAGTTTGGCACAGTAAACAATATGGCCTGTGATTGTGTTGTTTTTAGTTACCATGCAATGTGTATTCACCTAGATAATACGAGCATAGTAACTGTTAGATTTTCCTCCTTCACCCACCTCCCTGTCAAACACCCCACTTTAAGTTACTCTCCCCACCGAGTACAAGGGGATTATCTATCTGTTTACTAGGTGAAATGCACCATCCCAGGAGTCCAGTGACACAAGTGGTCAACAGTTAATGAACACAGATGCCTTAAACAGTTTGCTTAACACTCTATTACGAAAAAAGAAATATGCCTCCAGCTTCCCATTTTTTTAGAAATTTCTATGAAAATCTCATGTTTAATGAGAGCAAATATTTAATACCAGCAAAATATTTGCCTGACTGTGTAGAAGGAACTTGAGTAAGAAATACAAACATCTTTCTGTGTTAACTTCATGACTAGTACATTTAGGGATGTTCTGATGTGGATTCTTACCTTGTTGTCACCATTACTTGATATGGGGATGACAAGTTACATTGAAATGTCACTAAATGAAATAAACAAGAAGTTGTTATCCACAATATGTTTATGTCTCCTTGTTTACTCATCAACTTCTACAATGCACAACAGTCAGTAGATACTAGATATCAAAGCTCCAACTGTCAGAGAAAGCAAGTGAGTGCTAAGGGGCACTGTTTGGTACAGTGTTGACTTACAATGGTATGGTTCTCCAAGATGAGTGGCGTGTCTACTTGCTGAGGGGAATGACGAGTCTTGTGCTGCCTGCTGCATTCTTCGCGTTAGGATTGAGTTTGATCAGCTGCTTCTTGAAGTAGTCCACCAAGCCAGACACTGTATCAAAGTCCTGAAATACACACACACACTCTACAGTCAAAACAGTAAGGAATCATTTGGCAAAAGGGTGTGAATCTACATATACTAATGATTGGGAAGGGAGGACTTCAGCATTAGGTATGGATCTGTGATATCTCCACCCACAACTCAGGAGGGATAACAGACTTCAGCATTAGGTATAAATCTTTGATATCTCCATCCACCACTCATATCGCTCGACAAATACTTACAAGTTCATTTGGTTTGGGTGCTCCGAGAGCAAATTTGCCATCTGTGTTTCTCTTCCTGATGGGTAGGTTATAGACACGCCCCTGCTTGTAGATTGTTAACGTGTACTGCTGCTCGGTGCCACCACGCTTGCTCTTCCGGATCAGGTACATCCCATCCTGGAACATCACAATAGGTACCCTGTATTCTTTCAACCCCATCCTGTCAAAGATGACATATTTGCCCTGACACTGGTAAGAGTTGCCTGACATGTGTCTCAGCTAGTCATGACATTGCATGTAATCTGTGGAAATTTCCAGTTAATAACAAATATGCACAGACTTGATATGTATCACCACTAAATGATAGATATGTCTGGTTGATTATGATTTCTGGGTTTCTTCACCATGTTTGTGAGTTGGAGGAACAACACACTACTGATGATTTCCTCCACTCTATAAAGTTAACTGTTTAGATATAGCTTGTCATCACCTAATGGAGGTTGTTATCAGTGCAATAAAGCAATCTGATAAACTTGGTATCCAAATCTGATAACTATGCAAATTACGTCAATCCACGAACTACTTTCACAAAACTCCATACACGCCATGCGAATCCTAAAATGTAAACATTTCATTGATGACGTCGTCGCAAGTTTACATTGTTTGTAAACAAACATGGCTGCCCCCATTCTCAAAATTGGTGATTCGGATGGTACGGATAATGAGGCACGACTGAAAGGCAATCGTCTAAGAAAGGTACCCGCTAAGGATTTCGATCTATCGATCACAATACAGATGACGAATTGATTCTGTCAGGTATCAGAAACTGATATTGATGAGGTGATTACCGCAATGAAATCAATGAAAATAGAAACACTGCCATAAAAAAATACTGCCTGATTTTTTTGACCTTTTTAGACAGAAAAATCTTATTTTAAGCATGAGTTATGTTTGCACTGTATTATAGCGACTAGTCACAACCATATGCTGCCTTCATGAACGACCTTCACCTCGCTGTAAGTATTCTTACGCGAATGTTCGATTTTCTTCATATAAATTCACGTACGATTTGCTTCTTTTTTAGAGTAAGTTTAAGAATGACATTATATGATAAAGAGATTATTAACCTCGTGTGTTTCGTATCATTAACTTAATATCATATATTAGGAATAAAAACTATGTATTATGCTCGTGAAAAGCTCGAATAATACAATTTTTATTCCTAATATATGATATTAATGATACGGAAACACACTCGGTTAATAATCTCTATTAATCTTCTGCATTGATGGACATTATAATTGGAATAATAACTATAAACTATACATTACGAGAGAGTGAATGTTGTTTAAGGGCAGCATTGTTAGTTTCTGTGTTTCTTATCACCTGACCGACCCTTCTAATTTTATTGCCGACCCCCAACCAAAACCTCTTTTTTCTCATGCCAACACTGCCAACTTGAACCTTAAATGTACCGCCTCGACATATAAAATGTTTATGTTTTAATCAGTCACTGCCACAAGTCCAAAGAATCACAGCGAGAAATTGTAATAAGATTACAATAAATGAGAATCAAGAACATTATTCAGATAATTTTGTCTTTATTAATTTATTTTCCCACCCGACCAACCAACCCATGTTCAGAATTTGTTGGCTACGTGAAACACATGAAAAAAAAAAGATTCCCTAATGCCATCTACAAAACAGTGGCCTGTAACTATTTCAGTCTGGGCCTCTGGTCAACATGCTAAGCAAAGTCCTATACAATGAATTAGGAGATAAACATCATGTGTTTGCCAATTTCTGGGTGTTATTGAGTATTTGAAGCATGGGAATTCATTTGGAACCGACGGCGTTACACTTGATATTTATCGACACTGTAAACACAAAGTAAACCAATAGATCCACACATTTTTCTGTCTGCACTCATTGACATTGAGTATGGGTACAGCAGTGAGGTGTCATCCGCCGGTAAAAAGAGTTCCTATTATTTGTATGTATTAATACACAGCAAATAGTCTTGCAATTTCAGGGATGCGAATATCATTCGATCATGTTTTTCAACCAATCAGATTAAAGAACACAGTGCCTGACCACCCTCCTAAATTTATAGACCCAAAAACATCTTTATTAGAAATACTTCAACATGCCATGATTATCATAGGAGTTGACTGCCTGTCGTAAGATGCTCCTCGACTTAGATGATGCATGCAGTCATAGTATAGCTGAGAGTGCAACAAACAGAATAAATCCCTTTTGATGCCTCTTTCAACAAGCAACAGAGTTCTTGGGATCCTGTAGAAACCTTATCCGCATTATGCAAATATACAAATTTAAAACAACCTTATATACCAAAAAATATGATTAATAAATATTCATGGATACTTCCTGCATAAATAATGGCTTGTATTACACTTGTTAGGCCAATTTCCTCCTAGACATCAAGTTGTTGCTTGCATAAGTTGCTTCCTTGACAAACAAACAGTGAAACCCCACACTGTTATCATTGATCCAGGGGCGGATACAGCTTTTGGAGAAAGGGCGGGTGCACACCTCAGTATCACGAGAGTTTCAATGGTCATTTAATAAACTTTGATGACAAAAGTGCACGCACGCACGCACGCACGCACGCGACGCGCACGCCGCGCGACGCACGCGACGCGCGCTTGCACGCACGCACGCACGCACACACACACACACACACACACACACCACACCCCTCTCTGGATCCGCCTATGTGATGGGAACATCTAGCATTAGTTGTCATGACAAGATACAAGGGGACAAGTTTCTCATTAATCCAGAAAGCATGCTTACAGTAGGAAGGATAATAAGTGCTTTGGGGATATTCTTTTGCCTAATTTTTAAACAAGTGATATATCCCCAAACATATTTGAAAAGTTTGTTTGCCAAACAATTTTGATAACAAAATCACCAAGACATCAGTATATTTTGTTAAGTCATGAATTTCACACTGAAGACAGCAACTTACTTCTCCCTTTTCCATAAGTCTGGCCTCTGCCGCTGGCCTCTCGATGTTCTTGTGGTACCAGTCAAACTGCTCCAGCTCATCCTGCCAGACATCAGCCAGTCATAACAACATGAACAACTCTCAATATACTAATATCCTGCAGGTTAGGAAGATGAACCACTGTCTACTGACAAAAGCTACTGTGAACCTTCATGTGCACAATCAAATTTGAAATGGGAGTGGCATTTTGAATTTTGCATATATACACTTAAGAAAAAGTAGGGGACCTTGAACTTTCATTTGGATAGGAAGTATAAGCGTTAACAAGCTTTTCAAAGACAGACATCTTATGAATGCACCGCCATTTCTCTTTATGACCACCCTAAACACAATGCATGGGATGCACGTGCACAATGCAGTAGCCCCATACACATGCATGGGGTGTCATTCTTGATTTTGACGGTTTTCAAGAAGGATGATAAATTACTGTAGACCATTAATTTTGCCACTCATATTGCATCACACACTGGTTAGTGTTTGTTTCTAACCATATGTTTTGGTTTGAAAATGAAAATCGTACCCATGCAAATTTCACATCATACACCAGTCATCTTTCAAGAGCGATTACTGTACAAATAACTATGGTCATAAGGATGTACAAGTGGTGATGCACTCTCAAAACATTCATTATTATCATATCAACATTGATTTACTCTCCAATTATTTTCACTCGTAAATTATAAATGATGTTCCCCTACTTTATTTGAAGAGTATGTAACAGTTACACTCAGTGCATGTTGAATCCCAGCCGTGTGATCCCATACAGGCCTACCAAAGAAAACTTTCCCACTGTGTAGAAAAATGCAGAAAAGCCCACATTAATTGTGGAAATAGCAACATAAATATATATACCTCGCTACTGAAACAGTAAAAACGGCAACGAAAAACTATGAAACTGAAACATTTTTTATATCAGCGACTTCTACTGCGCATGCGCATTACGATCCGTGCTTCTTTCCAATTTCCGAGCAACCGTGAATCGCCTCGCATAGAAAAAGTATTAAATATGTCAAAATAATTGCTGTCAGTCATTCATACGAATGGAAAGTAAACTAAACAAGTGTGCACACAAGTATCATGATGATAAATGCCAAACAACACAACAAAAATACTTAAAAAAGGGAATGTAACTTTTGTCCAAGCTGGAAAATGTCAACATGCAATCGAGACTTCCTCTTCCATGTGCGCATGCGCAAAATCGAAGTTGCAGGCTCTTCGTTTTTTTAGGCAGTTTTAGTGATTTAAAGTTGCCGATTTTACTGTTTCAGTAGCGAGGTATTATGTTTATGTTGCTATTTCCACGATTAATGTGGGCTTTTCTGCGTTTTTCTGCACAGTAGGAAAAATTTCTTTGGTAGGCCTGCCATAGTGTCTTCTATGTTCGACCATTTCCCCCTGCTCCTTACACTGATATATCATTCCTGATGACAAATTAACAAATGGGTTGACTCAGTCTGTGGCAACTCACCTGCTTCGGTGATGGAGGCACGCCATTTTTGGACCTTGCTGAAATGGACAAGTATCAGTTACAGCCAATCATGTGACAACACCGTGTTCAATTACTGACATGCATTGGTATATAACACGCATGGGAATATCATAAAATGTAGTTAGTTAATTTTACGCAGCTTTTAGCAATTTTTCAGCAAAATATCATGGCGGGCAACACCAGAAATGGGCTTCACACATTGTAACCATGTCGGGAATCAAACCTGGGTCTTCAGCATCACAAGCGAATGCTTTAACCACTAGGCTACCCCACCGCCCCTCATAAAAGGAGGCAGTTTGTGAATACAAATACATTTCTTAAATTAACTTTGACAACATAAACAATCCTTGTACACAGGAAATGGTTTCAGAAGAGTCTTTTTCTAACAAGTAGATTAACCTTGAACCTGAGCTGATTTGCTCAAGTGGTTGCAGCATGTTAGTCTCAAAGTAGAAACTTTCAGGCAATATCTGATGGGAACATTTTCAATGACTCAAAGTGAAACTGCTCATGATTCATTAATTCAATAATGTGTTACTACACAAACATTCAGTGAAAACCTAAGCTTCTGGATTAACAGAGTTGCACTGATCATCAGTATGCACCCAGCCCCCCTCCCACCACCTGGCTGTGTTCCTCATGGGAACAGCCCCCCTCCCACCACCTGGCTGTGATCCTCGGGGAACAGCCCCCTCCCACCACCTGGCTGTGTTCCTCGGGGAACAGCCCCCTCCCACCACCTGGCTGTGTTCCTCGGGGAACAGCCCCTCCCACCACCTGGCTGTGTTCCTCCGGGGAACAGCCCCCTCCCACCACCTGGCTGTGTTCCTCGGGGAACAGCCCCCTCCCACCACCTGGCTGTGTTCCTCGGGGAACAGCCCCTCCCACCACCTGGCTGTGTTCCTCGGGAACAGCCCCCTCCCACCACCTGGCTGTGTTCCTCGGGGAACAGCCCCCCCACCACCCCAGCCCCTCCCACCACCTGGCTGTGTCCCTCGGGGAACAGCCCCCACCCACCACCTGGCTGTGTCCCTCGGGAACAGCCCCCCCACCACCACCTGGCTGTGTTCCTCGGGGAACAGCCCCCTCCCACCACCTGGCTGTGTTCCTCGGGGAACAGCCCCCTCCCACCACCTGGCTGTGTTCCTCCGGGAACAGCCCCCTCCCACCACCTGGCTGTGTTCCTCGGGGAACAGCCCCCCTCCCACCACCTGGCTGTGTTCCTCAGGGAACCACATGGTACCATGCATAACTGAATGTATTCACAGATCATATATTACAAGATGTCATCATACATGGTTAGAGAATATCATAGTTTATTTGTATCAAGTATTATAATACTTGCTAAATTATACTATTTCAAACCATGTTATCAGCTTTAATGGCAGCTTCAAATCAAGGTCTACCTACCTACATCTCATGGAGCATCATCTTTATTTGATTGATTGACTTCTTACTGCCTTCTCTTTTTTGGAACCATACAATGAATTCCACCAATATCTGAAGTTATCTTACAAAGGTTATCCTCCAGGAAGCAGCAGCATGACATGACCTGGAGGCTCAACAATCATACAACGTTCTGCTGGTCTATGCCCAGTTGATCTAAGGAGTTTTCTATAAACTTACTTTGTTCAGTAATAAGACGTACCTTTTCTTTCAGGCTTCTCTGTTGGGCTGGGGACATTAGGCAATGGACGACCTGACACTTCAGCTGAGAAAAATACAAGATCATAGAAATATAACCATATTAGTGACAAATTATATAACTAGAGTGAGTAAGTTTGAATAAAAGCGTCTATCAGAAGTGTTTCCAGTAACAACAGAGTTGTTACTATGTCAGTATACAGATCTGTGCAATGCCCTGCTATCAGGCTGGATATTCATGGGTGAATAAATACCAAAAAACATTCAATAAACCCAGGATTTAATAAAGAAATTGTTTTGCCATATTTCTATCTGGGTTTTATCATATGTTTTATTCCATTTTGATACATTTAATTCAAGTATCTAAGTTCAATGCTATTTTCAGACAATGTAGTCCTATTCCACTAATATTCCTCAGCGTATCTGTCTTAACTTTAATATTCTAACATAGACATATAACTGTCGGCGTGAAAAGACCAACTTGTGTGCCATAGTCCTTAAAGTTGTGCTTGACATGAACCACTAGATAGAGGGAAATGACATCCATAGTGCTTCTTTCAGTATAAACTGTGTGTAAAGCAAGTTCTAACAAGAGTCATCAAGACATGACAAGTCCCCCCATTTCCCACAAATATGATAGAGGTAATCATCAAGTCCTACAAGAGTCATATTTTTTGTCCAACTTCATGAGAGTATATGTATCCATCTGTCTATATACAGGTTATTGATCTATTGACAAGGGACTAGGGATAATGAGCACCACCATCTTTAACCACTGTATTCATAGTCAGGTACATAAATACAAACATCAACAAGAAGACATGGTTATCAATATCCCCCTCCACAGTGTTCTGTTCCTATTTGGTTCTTGTTTTCTAACTCCACCACAACATTCATGTCCTGAAAACACATACCACATTTGGTTTCCCTGTCTATAACGGTTACTGAGAAAATCTGTTCCCATTGGGGATTATGTGCACAAAGTCAAGAAATGCATGACAAGGTCCATAACTCTATAACAAATTGTTAGATGGTTTCTGTTTTCAAACTCCATCAAGGCATTCATGTACTGAAAACACACACCAAATTTGGTTTCCCTATCTAAAACGGTTTCTGAGAAAATCTGTCCCCAATATCTTGGATGGACGGACACACAGACAGAGCTCAAACCTATATCCCCCTCCCTCTTCATGGAATTCAAAATTTGAACAGTTAAAACCAATATGATATACCTATTTTAAAAAGAATATATACATATGACGACTGTCTTATGTAATAAGGCTTTTAAAGGGCATATTTTTTGTTATTTTCAACATTACAATAATACAGCAGAATACGCTTAGGAAATGGGGTATTTCTGAAATAAGAAACCATGTATTAAACATTCCATGATGGCACAAAACCAACTTTAAAAAAATAAAATGATGTTTGGAGACAGACAAAACACATCTTCAAACAGAGATTGAGGTAAACATGCATCCATGACTTGAACATGATATAATAATTACAGACAAACAAACTACTGCAAAACTAGGAAAACAAATATGCAATAATTAAAATATTGTACTTACAAGGTGGTGGGCGGGATGTTTTACGTGGGGCAGGCACTCTGCTTCCTCCTGAAACAGCCAGAGATCAATACACATCATGGACATTACAGCCAGAGATCCCCATGTCTTTCGACCACATGGACATAACAGGCAGAGATCCCAAAGTCTTATACCATATGGGCATAACAGCCAGAGATTCCCAAGTCTTACACCACATGGACATAACAGCCAGATATCCCCAAGTCTTGCACTACATGGACATATAAGACAGAGATCCCACGTCTTGCACTACATGGATATAACAGCCAGAGATCCCAAAGTCTTACACCACATGGACACAACAGCCAGAGATCCCCAAGTCTTGCACTACATGGACATATAAGACATATAAGACAGCCAGAGATCCAACGTCTTGCACCACATGGACATAACAGCCAGAGATCCCAACGTCTTACACCACATGGACATAACAGCCAGAGATCCCCAAGTCTTACACCACATGGACATAACAGCCAGAGATCCCAAGTCTTGCACCACATGGACATAACAGCCAGAGATCCCCAAGTCTTACACCACATGGACATAACAGCCAGAGATCCCCAAGTCTTACACTACATGGACATAACAGCCAGAGATCCCCAAGTCTTACACCATATGGACATCCCCCCAACCACATGGACATAACAGCCAGAGATCCCCAAGTCTTACACTACATGGACATAACAGCCAGAGATCCCCAAGTCTTACACCACCACATAAAAGGACATAATGGACATAGCCCTAAGTCTTAGAGATCCCCAAGTCTTACACCACATGGACATAACAGACAGATGGATCCCCAAGTCTTACACCACATGGACATAAAAGACAGAGATCCCCAAGTCTTACACCACATGGACATAAAAGACAGAAAGTCTTACACACATGGACCCAAGTCTTACAAGTCTTACCACATGGACATAACAGCCAGAGAGATCCCCAAGTCTTACACCACATGGACATAACAGCCAGAGATCCCCAAGTCTTACACCACATGGACATAACAGACAGAGATCCCCAGACCACATGGACATCCCATGGACATCAAGTCTTACACCACATGGACATAACAGGACATAGAGATCCCCAAGTCTTACACCACATGGACATAACAGCCAGAGATCCCCAAGTCTTACACACATGGACATAAACACCATATGGACAGAGATCCCACGACCACATGGACATAACAGCCAGAGATCCCCAAGTCTTACACCACATGGACATAACAGCCAGAGATCCCCAAGTCTTACACCACATAAAAGGACATTACAACATGGACACAACAGCCAGAGATCCCCAAGTCTTACACCACATGGACATAACAGACCAGAGATCCCCAAGTCTTACACCACATGGACATGGACATAACCACATGACAGAGATCCCCAAGTCTTACACTACATGGACATAAAAGACAGAGATCCCCAAGTCTTACACCACATGGACATAAAAGACAGAGATCCCCAAGTCTTACACCACATGGACATAAAAGACAGATATCCCCAAGTCTTACACCACATGGACATAAAAGACAGAGATCCCCAAGTCTTACACCACATGGACATAAAGACAGAGATCCCCAAGTCTTACACCACATGGACATAAAAGACAGAGATCCCCAAGTCTTACACCAGATCCCCAGAGATCCCAAGTCTTACACCATATGGACATAAAAGACAGAGATCCCCAAGTCTTACACATGGACATACATGGACATAACAGCCAGAGATCCCCAAGTCTTACACCACATGGACATAACAGCCAGAGATCCCCAAGTCTTACACCATATGGACATAAAAGACAGAGATCCCCAAGTCTTACACCATATGGACATAAAGACAGAGATCCCCAAGTCTTACACCACATGGACATAACAGCCAGAGATCCCCAAGTCTTACACCATATGGACATAACAGCCAGAGATCCCCAAGTCTTACACCACATGGACATAACAGCCAGAGATCCCCAAGTTTTACACATGGACACAACAGCCAGTTATCTCCAAGTCTTACACCACATGGACACAACAGCCAGAGATCCCCAAGTTTTACACATGGACACAACAGCCAGAGATCCCCAAGTCTTACACATAACAGACAGAGATCCCCAAGTCCTACCCCATTAGGGCATAACAGACAGAGATCCTAAGTCTAATACACCACATGGACATAACAGCCAGAGATCGCAAGGTCTTACCCTCAGACATAAGAACAACAGTAGGTCATAGTAAAGCCACACAGAATCATGTACCTCCACAGAATGGGAGAAAGTTGCCCACATGTATGTCTGTTTCCACAGAAACCTGGGATCTCTATTGCACATATAATTAATGATGACAGGAAATGTAGTCTTCCTGCTCACAGAAACAGGTTATGAATTTGAAACAGTTCATAGTCACAGTAAACCTCCCAGAGAATAGGTGATTATCTGCTGGTGTGACAGTTTGACTTCCATATTTCAACTGTTAATAAAGTACAGATTATCAGTGGTTTATCTGCTGAACTGGACATCATGACATCAGCAAAATATTTAGGGGAACTTGAAAGGAATTCAACAATAGTGATCTTTGAATATAACTATGAGCTAAAAAAGAACATTGTCTTTGCATCATCGTCTAAAGTGAGTTATTGAACTAATACCCAGCTTTGAACCTTACTTCAGTTACATCATGTTGTGTTAGATTAAATGAGGACAGTCATGCAGATTATAGATGTAGATTACCTTGGTTATCACAAGAAGCACAAGATTGGTCAAGGATTGCCAACAAGCGTTCACACTCGGGGCAAATCTTTGGTTGTAGTGAGTTAGTGAGTGAGTTTGGTTTTAAGCCGCTTTTAGCAATATTGCATCAATATCATGGGGAGGAACACCAGAAATGGGTTTGCACATTGTGCCCATGTGAGGAATGGAACCCGGGTTTTCGGTGTGACAAGCAAATGCTTTAACCACTAGGCTACCCCATCAGCCCTCTTGTGTTGTAACACACACAGGCAGGCAGGCTGTGCAGCCCTAATGTCAGCATCTGCAGCACATGACAACTAGACTAACGCTTAGTCTCTGAATATATATAATTTTGATATTTACAAACAAGCCCATTTATATTGAAAGGGAGCCCCAGGGAGACCAGAGATTCAGAACCTTAGGAAATCTAGACTTGCTTTATTTAGGGCTTTAGCACTGCAGATAGGGCTTGGCAGTAGGGGAAATAATGTGGTTCAGGGACTGAGAGACAGACTACATGACAACCTGTGTTGTGCTGAGTAAATCTATTATATAGGTGTTCATATCTTTATCTTATGAATTATAGAATGCTGATTTTACTGAAAAGAAACTACAGTCATAATGCCATGATGGAATCTGGTCTACATTATGATGCCACATACTCTCTTCAAAATCTTTCTTGTACATTTTAATGAAGATGTGGAAACGTAAATAGAAGCTGAAGGCAATGTAGCCTTAGTCCTTCCCATCTTAAATGTGTTACAGTTTTACCTTTTAACTTAAAAGTTATCATTGAATATAGAATACCACAATATTGATTGGTTATTGAGATAATATTAAGTGTAATAAATACAAACTGTCAAGAAATCCACACAGCTTAACTAGCCAAAGGATGCAAGCTGCAATTCACACATAGGAATGACATAGGAATGAAGCATGATTTACATATGATTGACATGATTGACCTATGATTGACTGATGAATGATAATGGTAATACTCACGAAAAGTTGGTGAATAAACCACGAGACATATGGTCAGGGATGCACTCAGTGATCGATGTTTAGATGGGCAGTCTGTTTCATGTACAGGTAGTATTGTACCAGAATGTGAAACTAAAGCACGGAGGACATTTGTTGCACAAGACTGCAATAGTGGCATACATTGTACCAGAAATGTTCCAGGTGTTATTAGTTCTGTAACTAAGGGTTGCCTCAAGTCGACCATGTTCAAATAATACATTGTTAACAATTGTTTGATCAGCATACAAGAAGTTGGTGAGTCAATCACAAAGGTTACTATGTTACTTTAACTTACAAGCCTTCTTGTTTATTGCATAGAGTGACTATTTGGTGTAGATTCTCACACTGTTATCAAGCTAAAAGTGAATCGTAAGCTGACGTTTGTGTGTATTTTCAGATTCAACAAGAGACACAGAATGGAGGAGCATAGTGAATCATCAGTTCACTTGTACTTGAAAATTGAAAATTGTTTAATCACTAGTGTTGGGTATTGGTTGAAATCTCACAATTGATGATTGGTTCAATACCAATGACCAATCATCGAAAAAAATTGGTTCGTGTCATATTTTAGATTTTCCTATTCCTATACCAATGCATGTCAGTAATTGAACACGGTGTTGTCACATGATTGGCTGTAACTGATACTTGTCCACATTTCAAGAGCTTTATTTCCTAGCAATATCTTTGACTCATATGCACTTTATACCAATTCCCTTCCAGCTCTGCACACTCTAAATAATGAAAATACTGTGAAAAATATCAGTGATCCTTGCTCCGAATTCCAAAGTGACACATCTTTGTTTTACATATAGCCCCACCAGGATCATGTAACAGGAAGCATGGGCATATAGCCCCACCAGGATCATGTAACAGGAAGCATGGGCATATAGCCCCACCAGGATCATGTAACAGGAAGCATGGGCATATAGCCCCACCAGGATCATGTAACAGGAAGCATGGGCATATAGCCCCACCAGGATCATGTAACAGGAAGCATGGTTACACATGAAAACTAAACCGAAGTTAATCTCTTTTCTTATTATTCTGCATGTTTAGTGTCTGAAATATCAGTGTTTTAGTTTTTAGATAATTATGTAAATATGCGTATTGGCAAATAAATTATATTGCAATATATTGCCAGTCATGTTGTCAAGGAAAACATCAGTTGTGAATGAAAGTCAGATTGCGTAGATTCTAAGTTAAACCATAGGGATAAATTTCTTCTACTCTTTTACCATATTTTGTTTTCGCAGAATATATATTGCAATAAGATTCATTTGAAAAGGATATTGCAGTATATAAGTGTATCAGTAACACTGTTCAGTCCTAAGAATCAGTGAGACTACCAAGAATGTTGGAGTTAGGTTTCCATTAGGATGAGATGGGACTTGACTCTAATCTGGTTAATGTTAAAGTAGTTTTGTTACAAGCAGTAGTGTACATTGTGAGTGGCAGCAGTATAATCGAGTGGTAATCACCACTAAGTAAGTTGTGGTAATCACCTTGACAGATTAAGAGTAATCTCCCTTGTTAATAGTTAAAACTCTGTCCAACACCTTGAAACTTTAGGAGCTGTGAGGAGCTGGTGTATTGTGCTTGGCCAGCTGTATCATTGGAGCAAGACAGGTGATCTGAGGTTATGTTCTGTGACTTGACCTGTTACTTATCATGTAAGTGTGGACAGGATATCTTTTGGAAAACAATAAATTGTTCTGCCTATTCTCAACATAGTTTCCTGGATTCAAGATAATAGTACATGTCCTGTTGAAGATATGTAACTGTGACCAAAACATGACACATTTGTGAGTGCACTGATATAACTGCTGATATAACAATTCACTTCTGGACAAACTGATTGCTGGTTTTACCACTGTATTTCAATCATTAATAGTCTATAGTCTAAAAATGTGTTCCAAATAAGAAAAAACAAAAATTTTCCTTCTTGTCTCAAGGACCTTATCTCTCTCAATGACATTAGCGAAGACTCCGATCCTCCAGTGATACCCTCCAGTGATATCCTCCAGTGATACCCTCCAGTGATACCCTCCAGTGATCTCCTACTAACTCACTGAAATCACCAAATGGACTCTCTCGTGCCTTTTGTGTCTAGACCTAAGCTTTCGAACTCACTATCTAAAGAAATCGGAAATACTTCTTCCAAGTATACCTACAAGTCTATCTTAAAATCTCACCTCTTTGTGCCTGTATATAGGAAGAATTGTCTGAGCCACCCGTGTACTGTTTTAAACCCTTTTAACCCTGTAGCATTTTGAGGTGGATATTAGCCACTTTACAAACAATGTTATTATTATAATTGATAAAACTGTAGTGCTTACTATTAGTACAATAGTGAGTAAGACTAAGCTTAGAGATCACATTCAACCTGTTCTCGAATCGCTTCATTGGCTACGTGTAGAAGAGAGGACACACTTCAAAATTCTGTCACTGCATACCAGGCTGTTCACATCTCCTCCATACCTACAAATTTAACATCTGTCTACCAGCCTACGCGAAGCCTACGCTCTGCTGATCAGTTCTTCCCTTGTGTTCCTGCCTACAAGTTAAAATCATCTGACGCCAGAACCTTTCAGTATGCATCAGCTTATTCTCTTCCCTATGGTCTGAGATGCTCCCTAAGTACATGACGTTTTTAAAGCTCATCTCAAGACCTATCTCTTTGGGTGAGATTAAAATCAACTTGAACTGTTGTATGCGCCCATGAGGTGTGGCGATCAATGTCCTGATTGTTATCATTATTACAAATTAATGAATTAATGGGGATTAGATTATTATTAATGTTTCCATGTAAAAAGACAAGAGGTGGAGCTGATTCACTGAGGTGATAAATATGGATGACAATGAGAGTGATTGTAACACCAGTCAGTTGTACTTCACCTGCATCACAACAAGTGATTAATAAAGCCTGGTTTGGACAAACCAATGACTGATAGCATGATGAATTATTCCTGGAATGCTGGGTACCCATTCTGCCCCGAAATTCCCCCAGACACATGGAAATAAGCAGAAGCTACCACTGAGATGTAGGTAGGTCAGTAGGCAGGTATACACTGGTTGAGCTTATTATCCTTGTGGAAGCAAATCAAGTATTGAAGGACAAGCTCATATTGGGGTTATTAGTAACTATGGTAACCAGATCTCTTTATTGTTCCATATGAACCATTTCTATTTTGACTTGTGCTACACAGAGCTAAGGCTCCAATAGTGTTTTCCTTTCCCAATTTGCATCACACTTTATCTACAAAGTGCATGAATAGTGATGTAAAAGGTATGTAGCCTATTAATGATCCCAACACGATCTGAACACAGAAAGTTGCAGATTAAAAAAATATAGTACACATATTTGAAGGCAAGTGTTTCAGGAAGTGAATCGCTGTGCAGTTTTCTTGGGGTTACATTCATACTGTATAGGGTTGGTTAAACCCACATGTTCCCACTAGGGAACTGATCAGGGGAACAAAACTGAACGGCCTATAGGTCCATGTAGCACCAAGTCAATATTGAAATCATATAAAGGGAGCACCAGAGAAATATGGTTACTGCAGCTTAGTTATTCTCACTTGTTGTATGTTCCAAGCTTGTATACTCATCTTGAAAATAAAAACAAAGTTTCATAAGAAAATCCCCTGTTATTCGATGGTAGTTTCGACATCACAGCCTTTCTAGGCTAAATAAGTTCTGTGTTTGTATTCATTTCAGTTGAGTCTATATGACAATTGTATTAACTGTTATATGCAGGGTGAGTGACAGGGTTGGATGTTGTTGTGGAGACTAAGGCTTAGTCTCTGAATATATATAGATAGTAACAAACAAGCCCATTTATATTGAAAAGGAGCCCTAGGGAGACCAGAGATTCAGAACCTGAGGAAATCTAGACTTGCTTTATTTAGGGCTTTAGCACTGCAGAGAGGGCTTGGCAGTATTCAAATTAATGGGTTCAGGGACTGTGAGACAGACAGGGTTGGATGCTGTTGTGGAGATTACAGTGATTAGACAGGGATCACACAGGTTGAGTTGACATTGGGATAGGGCCACGAGTACACTGGCATAGGATCTCACTAGCTGAAAGGTAAGTTTGGATGAGGGTCGGTGTGACTTGGAAGGGGGTGGTGTCCTCACCAGAACTCTTAGATCTTTCTGATACCCTGACCCTTGTTACCACTACAATATATAAGAATAGACTCAACTTTATCATGTAATTACAATTGAGCGTGTGATTCCATACAGACAATGAATATTCATGATGCTCACAACTGAGACAGTTAACAACAGACTATAATGAGAAAAGGATAGTATCTAGAAAATGATTTTAAGGACATTTCCATGAGATCAGACCAAATTCAATGAGCTAATTTCAATGCAGTGAGATATGAGTCAATATCTCATACCAGTCATCAATCTGTAGACAAAACAGCCTTGACCTGACAAACTAGTTGCTTACCTCATAACAAAATACCTGTGGGGTGCTGGGAAAGGTTTTAGAAAAATAGGTGTGCCCTGGAAGTACCAAGGAGACATTTACACTGAAATAAGCAGGTAGACAATAGCTCAGTAAAATTATTATCCTGGTTGAAGCAGGTCAGGTGTGGAAGGATATAATTTTCTCACGCGCTGCTTGTTCCAAGTCTATGTATTCATCTTGAAAATACACCAATAATTAATTACCATGTGACTGTATTTTGTATTGTTCTCATTCCAACATCTCAAAGATTCTTAACTGTTTATTATTTATCCTAACCAAGTCCATATAACATAACCAGCCAAACTGACAGACTGTAGTTTAAGTGGGCATGTCAAAGGATTTCAGTCCTACCATTTGTTTCCTATAGCATGGCACCCAGGGGCCGGCCCAAGAAGGTGCTAACTTCTTTTTCATATGCTGCAATTTATCCAGTGGATCAATACATGTTATTAACAATCACCTCAAGCACTACATTGATTTCTAACTTTTTAAAAATTCTTTCCCAAACATTCCTGTAAGTAATAATGATCACTACTTGTTTGAGCTACTACTTCTACAGTTGTGTTAAGTGTTGAAATTTAGACAGGATATTATGCAAGAAAGTAGTAAATAAAGTGAAAGAAAAAATGATCTTACGTACTTGACAATTCTCCCTGATCCATGGGCTCGTATACTTCCTGTTCCTGTACAAAATAAACACAAAGTGTAATGGTGCCATGCGAAAACATCTCTCATCTACTCGATTCATACGAGACAAAAACAATGTTACACTTTTTATTGTGCAATTAGAGAAATTAACTTGATGTGGTTCATGGTCCCCTTAGCTTGAGTTTACTACTGACAACATCGCCTATCATGGCAAAGAAAGAAACAGGGAAAGAAGTCCTTTGTTGGAGGTAAACGGTCAGAATATGAGACAAGAAGCTCTACACAGGTTATTTTATACCTAGATGAAAATATTCTTCCACTTTTGCACAATTTAAACGTGCCATTCCAATTAAATTTTAGTCTTTATTGATTAACATAGAGTACCAGAAGATATATCTTTCTTTATCATATTTATGAAAAAAAGAAAATAATAAATAGTACATTTAGGTTTTTTATTGAGTGTACAAGATTAAGGTACGGATGAAGCAGTGTGTTGTGGTACTTACCTCTTGTGGAAGCGGAGGGGGAGGTCTGGAACCTTTCCTGCCACCTAGAACATCACATAGAGCAATGAGAAACCATGTCAGGTGTTTCTATAGACAAGTAGGGACCTTTAGCCTATAGATGGGTCCAAAGAAAATCAATGAAAGCAGAAATATAAGACAAGATCATTGCATACACCATTTGACCATCCTCAATCCCATAGTGGAAACTGACTGCAGTTGACAGTCAGACAGGGTTACAGTTTCTTTGAGTGGCATTTAGAAGCTGGGAAGTACAAAATTGGCAAACTTTATGGATAACTTATTACAGTTTTCATACAGTGTAGCCCTGAACGTGAATCTGCATCAAATATCGCCTCGTAATAAACAAGGCTTACAGTTCCAGGGGAGTGAGTGAACTGTGTTTTGCCCACGATATACAGTAGGCAAGAAAGGATTTACAGGGAAACCTGTCTAAACCGGCACCCAACAGGACTGAAATAAAATGCTGGTATTGACAGGGTGTCGGATTAGACAGTGACAATCATTTTCCAACATGGCTGCCATTTACACTCGTCAATGTCTTTATCTCAATCTAGCGTGCCATGAGGATTAATTAGTGTACTGGATTATGGGTCCTTGATTGGACTGCTCATATCCATGCTGGTTTAGACAGTGTTAATTACAGTTAAAATTGCTTGTTGGGACTGGAAAGTCGTGCCGGAATACGGAATAGAGAGGTGCCGGATAAGATAATGTTTTAATTATAATAATATCGTTGTAAAATGGCGGGACCAAAATTTTATGCTGGTTTTGACAGTGTGCCGGATTAGACAGGTGCCGATGTTGGCAGGTTTCACTGTAATTTAAAGAGAGAGCATTTAAAAAATGCTCATGCTATTGTCTTATATAATTGCTAACACACTTTTCACATTTTTCCATACACCTTTGTTCTATGGTCAGACGGATGTGTGTATGAACTAACAAACACTTCAAACCAGTTGTGGCGCAATTGTTCTGTGATCAAATGGACTAGCTCTAAGTGTTGACAATAAATGTAATGATTTTGAAGATGTGATTGCTGAGAGTAAGCTGTGGACAAAATGGATACAATACAAAGTATGAGGCCAGTAACAAAAGAACAGGTGTGGAACTTGTGAGCTGCATCAGAAAGGTGGTGTGCTTCCACACAACAAACTATTTATCCTACAACATCTCACAAACTACAACATAATGTCACTACTGTACTGTACTGTAGTTCAGGTAACAAGTTGATACAGTACCTGTTGGTGGGGGTAATGGTGGTCGATCATCCTGAAATTACAAACAGACATCATCAGTACCACAGTTGAGGCTGCAGATGCAGCAGATACTGATACCCAATCCCCAGGCTGCAGATGCAGCAGATACTGATACCCAATCCCCAGGCTGCAGATGCAGCAGATACTGATACCCAATCCCCAGGCTGCAGATGCAGCAGATACTGATACCCAATCCCTGCAGATGCAGCTGCAGATGCAGATGCAGCAGATACTGATACCCAATCCCCAAGCTGCAGATGCAGCAGATACTGATACCCAATCCCCAAGCTGCAGATGCAGCAGATACTGATACCCAATCCCCAGGCTGCAGATGCAGCAGATACTGATACCCAATCCCCAAGCATGGAATATCGCAGCTACATTTTTGTGTACAGCAACTGTGTGGATATCAATGTCACCACAAGATGGGGTCTCAGAGTTATTTATTTCTGGAAATACACTTTCAAACCATTTAGGGGCAGTGGGATAGCCTAATGGTAAAAACATTCAGTTGTCTTGCTTAAGATACTGAGGTTTGATTCCCCACTTGGGTACAACATGTGAAGCCCATTTCTGGTGTCCCTTGCCATGATATTGCTGGAAAATTGCTAAAAACAGTGCAAAACGATACTCACTCACTCAATCACTGATACATTTAATATTTCCTCAGTTCCTGATTGTTGCTTATTAAAAGTTTCTCAGTGATATTGTGTTCTAACGATTCAACAGTTGTAATGTTCTTTCTTGCATGTTGACAAAATAATAAATATCAGCAAGCTTTCATGTAATACTCAGGTGTGTATTAATGCACTACAAATCACTTATATGGAGTCATGTATTGCCAGCTAGTGAGATACAGGGGGACTATTTACTCACTTCTAACAAGGCTGGCTTCAAACTGTACAGGCAATTGTTCATCACCAAATTAGACAACTGACAGTATTTAATCATACTTGGAAATACAGTAAAAACCTTTATAACGAACTCCAAGGGACCACTTAAATTAGTTTGTTATATCCGTAGTTCGCTATTCACTTTTTTACATGATAATATAAGGTTTATTAGTGACTTTTAAAACAGTTCGCAATAGCCGTCAGTTCGTTATATCCGTATTCGTTATAAAAGTATTCTACTGTAATATGCAAGTCTGACAGTGTTGATAAATACAGATTAGATATTACTTTCATGTACACTTTTGATGGTTAAGATTATGGCATTTGATGATTTTAAGTATGACACGGTCTCTGAGCACTCTGGTTTTTCAGTTCATTGAGTTGACAACCTAAAGGCAGTTGACTCCCCATCAGTCCCTGAAGGAAGCAAGTATCTCTTACTGTAGGGATTGGTGGCACTGGAGGCAACTGCCGACCTTTCTTCTTAGCTCTCCCCTTCTCTTCCTTCTTTGTCACCACCAGCTCCTCCTCCGGCTCCTCATACACATCCTACAGGTGAACACAAACACCTCATTAGTGACTACACATCCTACAGGTGAACACAAACACCTCGTTAGTGACTACACATCCTACAGGTGAACACAAACACCTCGTTAGTGACTACACATCCTACATGTGAACACAAACACCCTGTTAGTGACTACACATCCTACAGGTGAACATAAATGCCTTGTTAGTGACTACACATCCTACAGGTGAACATAAACACCTTGTTAGTGACTACACATCCTACAGGTGAACACAAACACCTTGTTAGTGACTATGCATCCTACAGGTGAACATAACACCTTGTTAGTGACTACACATCCTACAGGTGAACACAAACACCTTGTTAGTGACAATACATCCTACAGGTGAACACAAACACCTTGTTAGTGACTACACATCCTACAGGTGAACATAAACACCTTGTTAGTGACTACACATCCTACAGGTGAACACAAAAACCTTGTTAGTGACTACACATCCTACATGTGAACATAAACACCTCGTTAGTGACTACACATCCTACAGGTGAACATAAACACCTTGTTAGTGACTACACATCCTACAGGTGAACATAAACACCTTGTTAGTGACTATACATTCTACAGGTGAACACAAACACCCTGTTAGTGACTACACATCCTACAGGTGAGCACAAACACCTTGTTAGTGACTATACATCCTACAGGTGAACACAAACACCCTGTTAGTGACTACACATCCTACAGGTGAACATAAACACCTTGTTAGTGAATACACATCCTACAGGTGAACATAAACACCTTGTTAGTGACTATACATTCTACAGGTGAACACAAACACCCTGTTAGTGACTACACATCCTACAGGTGAACACAAACACCTTGTTAGTGACTATACATTCTACAGGTGAACACAAACACCCTGTTAGTGACTACACATCCTACAGGTGAACACAAACACCTTGTTAGTGACTATACATCCTACAGGTGAACACAAACACCTTGTTAGTGACTACACATCCTACAGGTGAACATAAACACCTTGTTAGTGACTACACATCCAACAGGTCAACACAAACACCTTGTTAGTGACTACACATCATACAGGTGACCACAAACATCACACCAGTGACTACACATCATCCAGGTGACCACAAACATCACACCAGTGAGTACACATCATACAGGTGACCACAAACATCACACCAGTGACTACACATCATCCAGGTGACCACAAACATCACACCAGTGACTACACATCATACAGGTGACCACAAACATCACACCAGTGACTACACATCATCCAGGTGACCACAAACATCACACCAGTGACTACACATCATACAGGGGACCACAAACATCACACCAGTGACTACACATCATCCAGGTGACCACAAACATCACACCAGTGAGTACACATCATCCAGGTGACCACAAACATCACACCAGTGACTACACATCATCCAGGGGACCACAAACATCACACCAGTGAGTACACATGCTACAGGGGACCACAAACATCACACCAGTGACTACACATCATCCAGGTGACCACAAACATCACACCAGTGAGTACACATCATCCAGGTGACCACAAACATCACACCAGTGACTACACATCATCCAGGTGACCACAAACATCACACCAGTGACTACACATCATCCAGGTGACCACAAACATCACACCAGTGAATACACATCATCCAGGTGACCACAAACATCACACCAGTGACCACACATCATCCAGGGGACCACAAACATCACACCAGTGAGTACACATCCTACAGGTGAACATAAACACCTTGTTAGTGACTATACATTCTACAGCTGAACACAAACATCCTGTTAGTGACTACACATCCTACAGGTGAACACAAACACCTTGTTAGTGACTATACATTCTACAGGTGAACACAAACACCCTGTTAGTGACTACACATCCTACAGGTGAACACAAACACCTTGTTAGTGACTATACATCCTACAGGTGAACACAAACACCTTGTTAGTGACTACACATCCTACAGGTGAACCATAAACATCCACCAGTGACTACACATCATCCAGGTCAACACAAACATCCTTGTTAGTGACTACACATCATACAGGTGACCACAAACATCACACCAGTGACTACACATCATCCAGGTGACCACAAACATCACACCAGTGAGTACACATCATCCAGGTGACCACAAACATCACACCAGTGAGTACACATCATCCAGGTGACCACAAACATCACACCAGTGACCACAAACATCACACCAGTGAGTACACATCCTACAGGGGACCACAAACATCACACCAGTGACTACACATCATACAGGGGACCACAAACATCACACCAGTGACTACACATCATACAGGTGACCACAAACATCACACCAGTGAGTACACATCATCCAGGTGACCACAAACATCACACCAGTGACTACACATCATCCAGGTGACCACAAACATCACACCAGTGACTACACATCATCCAGGTGACCACAAACATCACACCAGTGAGTACACATCCTACAGGGGACACATCATCCAGGTGACCACAAACATCACACCAGTGACTACACATCATCACACAGGGGACCACAAACATCACACCAGTGACTACACATCATCCAGGTGACCACAAACATCACACCAGTGAGTACACATCATCCAGGTGACCACAAACATCACACCAGTGACTACACATCCTACAGGGGACATCATCACACCAGTGACTACACATCATCCAGGTGACCACAAACATCACACCAGTGACTACACATCATACAGGTGACCACAAACATCACACCAGTGACTACACATCATCCAGGTGACCACAAACATCACACCAACATCACACCAGTGACTACACATCATCCAGGTGACCACAAACATCACACCAGTGAGTACACATCATCCAGGTGACCACAAACATCACACCAGTGACTACACATCATCCAGGTGACCACAAACATCACACCAGTGACTACACATCATCCAGGTGACCACAAACATCACACCAGTGACTACACATCATCCAGGTGACCACAAACATCACACCAGTGAGTACACATCATCCAGGTGACCACAAACATCACACCAGTGACTACACATCATCCAGGTGACCACAAACATCACACCAGTGACTACACATCATACAGGTGACCACAAACATCACACCAGTGAGAACACATCATACAGATGACCACAAACATCACACCAGTGACTACACAGAGAGTACACACATCATCAGGTGACCACAAACATCACACCAGTGACTGACACACATCATCCAGGGGACCACAAACATCACACCAGTGACTACACATCATCCAGGTGACCACAAACATCACACCAGTGAGTACACATCATACAGGTGACCACAAACATCACACCAGTGTGACTACACATCATCCAGGTGACCACAAACATCACACCAGTGAGTACACATCATCCAGGGGACCACAAACATCACACCAGTGACTACACATCATCCAGGTGACCACAAACATCACACCAGTGACTACACATCATCCAGGGTGACCACAAACATCACACCAGTGAGTACACATCATCCAGGTGACCACAAACATCACACCAGTGACTACACATCATCCAGGTGACCACAAACATCACACCAGTGAGTACACATCATCCAGGTGACCACAAACATCACACCAGTGACTACACATCATCCAGGTGACCACAAACATCACACCAGTGAATACACATCATCCAGGTGACCACAAACATCACACCAGTGAGTACACATCCTACAGGTGACCACAAACATCACACCAGTGACTACACATCATCCAGGTGACCACAAACATCACACCAGTGAGTACACATCATCCAGGTGACCACAAACATCACACCAGTGACCACAAACATCACACCAGTGAGTACACATCATCCAGGTGACCACAAACATCACACCAGTGACTACACATCATCCAGGTGACCACAAACATCACACCAGTGACTACACATCATCCAGGTGACCACAAACATCACACCAGTGACTACACATCATCCAGGTGACCACAAACATCACACCAGTGAGTACACATCATCCAGGTGACCACAAACATCACACCAGTGACTACACCTCCTACAGGTGAACACATACTCAGAAATGCCTTTTCCTTATAGACGATTGACTTCATATTTTCTTGAAATACATTTCGTTTAACTAAAGCACTGGTTTAAAACATGTACATGATGTCATGAGGTAAGGGCCCAAGCTGATTGCTGACCTCTGCTTAAGTCACAATCACAAGCATTCACTATGTCTGTTACCAGCCAAACCTGCGATGAGATATTGATGTGGTGAAATCAAATGGAAGTACCAAAAGCATGCATAACATGACTGCAGGCCCTGTTCTATAATGTTAAACTGTGAACAGCCTGGTGTCTTACCTCGTCCTCGACTGGTGGGGGTGGGGGTGCTGATCTTTGTGCGGGTCTGGGCGGGGCATCTCTTTCAGGGGGTTTAGGTACAGGTGGTTAGCGTCTTGAAGGGGCAGGAGGCGCTGGATACAACAATCAAACAAGTTTATCATTAATCATGGTATCCTAGCAACCATTCCACTGACAGTTCTCAAAGCTAATCACAACTCCTGTTAAAGGGTCATTGATAACATTCAACCACATTCCTAAAAGCCTGTGTCAGATTAAAGGATTTTAAATAGTTTTGGTCAATATATGCATATATTAGAGGTATTATCAAATTTTACAACATATGACTAAAAGCAACTAAATTAGGTTTTATTCCTATACCAAAATGTTTCATAACATATTATATAAAGTGTAAGTATTTTGTCTCCAACCTTAATTTGACAGTTCTCCAGTTTGAGTTGTGTCTTTGAGACAAATGAATATATTTTCTTTTGTCTCAAATTCCTTTTTGAGGAAGTAGGAGAGATGGAATATATTCCAGTATCCCAGCATTGATAAAGGTCAACCAATACACATAGCAAACTTCATTAGTGAGTGAGTTTAGTTTTACACCGCACTCAGCAATATCACAGCTATATGGTGGCGGTCTGTAAGTAATCGAGTCTGGACCAGACAATCCAGTGATTAACAGTATGAGTATCAACCTACGCAACTGGGTTACGATGACATGTGTCAACCAAGTCAGCGAGTCTGACCACCCGATCCCGTTAGTCGCCTCTTACGACATGCATGGGTTACTGAAGATCAGCAAGCCTCATTACATCAGTTTCAATGGGAGCAATTGAAATCAAACTGAGCAATATGAAACCTTTCTTGCATTGAGTAAAAGTCTGATGCCAGCTATCATGACCATTGAGACATGTGTGACACAGTAATGACAAGTGAAGACGTTACTTTCATGGTTCTGTTTAGAGACGTGTAACTTAGTTCAGGTGAATGATTATATTACCTTCTTGAGGCTCCACATAGTCGTCCTCGGAGCTGTCATCACTGTGGTCTGGCACTGGAAATACATGACACACATACAGACAACCCCCTCCACTGTGACTCTCCATTGTCATGTCAGCCAAGTCTTTCGTAAGGCAAATAAATACAGAGGATGATTCTACATTTCTCATGTAAAAGAGACCCCAAAACAACTGAACATTTCCTGTGTTTCTTTTTGTAAAGGAAACTGCAGAAGTTGACAAGTGTACTCACATATTATGGAAGATGACATTAGCATGACCTTGAAGGCCTTATTGGTAATTTACTCAAACATGGATAGATCTTTTCTTTTCTTAAAAAGAATACTTTTGGTCTCCAATTTTGTTCCCCCTAAAACATACAACAGTCTTTCCAATATTCTTGTCTGCAGTGCTGACTTGCAGAAATGGCTGGAATAAATTTGAATTCATATTGACTCCATTTTGATAATGATTTTGTTTAGAACATTCTGAGGACAGATATATAAATCACATACCAACTTAACACTGGATGCATAATGCAGCTAAGACTTGAAACCATAACTTGGGATCTCACAAATTGTATTGAGACAAACAGATACTTGACATCAGAGGAGAAATAATAGGAACAGGGAGAATTCAAGACAGACAAAGCTTCATCATCTTGACAATGTCAGTTTATCCTAGTTTCACTCTACCTGGCACTAGTCGATCAGCACAACTCACATACAATGACATTATGTGTTGTGGGTAGAGTAACCAAACGTGAAATGACATCCACTAGTTTGTACATCATTAAAGTATGGCAAAGTGATATGAACTCAGAAATTTGAAAAGCACTATTGATGAAATATATAATCATACTGGTGAAATACATTTTGATTATAATAAAGCAAGAATGAAATCTTTGAAGGGCATTTAGATGTGGAATACATAAGAAAAGCAAGATTTATGGATGTCAAGTTCTTTATTGTGAATAACACAAAGCAAGAATAAAACTGTAGAATTTGACACAGAAAATATTGTAACATGGGACTGATATGCAACTCCTCTGTAGAGCTGGGCTGTTGTGAACAATAGTCCATTAGATATGACAGTATTTCTCTCATTGCTTCAATAATGCTATTTTTCTATCTATGTATGAATAAACCAAGTTGTCTGGATCAGTCCAGTTATCTGCTACAAGTGAGGTGTCATTTCAAGCTCATCATCCTCCATCTGCTCCAACAGGAAGCAGGACTCCAGAACCACCATGCAGGATACAGGGGAACATGTCTATGCTAGTTCACAGTCCACCAGGGATGATCTGCAGTTGAGCAAGATGGCAGGCTAAACCTAAATGTGCTCTTCAGGAGTTCATGTCAGCCAAACATCCAACTGGTTTCTGGGTTTCTGTTCCATGAAGTTAGTTGTCTGTACTCAGTGAGTACTGCAATAGTCGATCTTTCAGAATGGATTTAGACTTTGAAGTGATTTGTTACAAGTTTACAAGAATGCTTGGATCCATTCTTGCCCAAAAAGATATTGATGAACGAGACAGTTCAGACTCTGCCATCTCAGCCTCAACAGGGAGCATCTCAACATGCACTAACATTAAAGGATGTTTGCTGGGATTATTTTGTGTTCACTGCACAAATTGTGGTGTGTTTTCAGGGGGTCCTTAATGATATTGTGTAAGAACATTGTTTATTATATGACGGGTAGATTTTCGCCCTATCTGATTGGTCCTCTTGGTCACATGACAGCTTTGATGCTAAGTGATGTCAACCTTGCCACATCACGAGAGGTTGATATACAACCTTGGCACATCGCGAGAGGTTGATATCACAATTCGAGCATCTCCCGTGGCTAAAAATAGATTTGGGATATTCCAGCTGTGAACTCCGAACTGTGTGCGTCACGCTAGCTAAGGAAGCGATAGGCATCGCATCGTCCCTGTGACTGTGTTGGTTTAGAATTACGTCTCATTTGTATCAAAATGGCATATGAGCTCTGAAAGCTGTAAGCCTATTCTAGCTTATATTTAGTCTCTCATATGTCACAGAAGAACAGGTGTTCAGTACTTTTGTCATATAATAAAACAATTATTGACTTCAGTTCGGTTGATCCAATGATTTATCAACCTTGGACATGTGATATTTACCTTGGCTTTCTATCTCCAGTATTAAGCCATGCAAACAAAAGTCATTAACAAAATCCAATCACATCATTTTAGTTTAGTCAATTCCCATTCCTGAACAGACCACTTGCAGAATATATGAACTACACCACACTTTTATCCAGCTGCAACCTAATTCTAACCTCCAAACACTGTTGTGTCACACATATTACAATATCAGCAGAATGCCCTACACAACAACGAGGGAAATTCCTAAATAAATTCTTGTCATATTCTCAAAGTCTTCTCTTTGGATCTTGTGGCTAGTGAGAAAAGGTTTTCAAAAAGTAGAGTGTTTCTTTCTTTACTGAAAAAACAACTCATTGCTTTTTTTACACATTTCAGATTCTGAGAGAAAGATTCTTTAAACAAAATGCCCTGAACAAGTGAGAAAATGATGTTATATATCCTCCTTCTTATATATGAGTTCATCCCTTCACCTGTATGTGAGAAGAAGATGAACGGATGGACAGACAGACACCAGGAACTTTGGATACTACTTTCAGTATGGTCCAGCAGACATCCTCTAATTCTATTACCACATACAGCCCTGGACATGCACACTACTCCATCACAGCCCACCATCATGTGTGTGTCATACATCAGATTGGAAACATGTTAAACATCAATCTGTAGGTTATATTCAGAATATATTTTGAATATTCTCACAGTTCCTGTGGTTCTCCAGTGGACTTTGGACCTGCTTTTACTGATCTGTGGTATGATTGGGAGTACATCATGAGCACATGTTGATGAATTACTATCATAAAGTGATGATACCAGTTGTTAGTGAAAACATGAACATATCCTTCCCCTTGGCTCATCACAAACACATGCAAAGGTAAGTCAACTGTTCCATGTAAAGTACTTTTGTTAAGTGTATGTGATTTCATCTACGTGTTTAATTATATTCATGTCAACATATATATTTAATGACTGATGGCAGATATATTACAGAGGCCTGATCCACAAAGCATTTGTAGCATCACGAGTACCTGTATAGTTATCACAGGCTTACAAATAATGCAGTGCTAGGTATACTTTATTGACTGGACCACTGATTGATAAACCTGTCCATTATGCACTGCTAGTTATCAGTAGAAGTTCTGCCCAGTACTACTGTTCCCTGGCCATTCAACAAGTAATCTTAACTACAAATGCTACAGGGTTGCTAATCACGATGGTGAATATACACATGCTGGAACAACTTAATGCTATGCCAAGCTGTTTCTAGCACATATCATAAGCTACAAACATGCAAAACAAAAGACCAGAGCACCAATCACTCAGTACCACAGGTGAAGTTTTAAACAAGTATCCCTTAGTAGCATTATAGAATATATGCCTATCACTTACCACAACAATCTGAATTCTCCATACTGAAAAGTGAACATTCTCTCATGTTTCCAGTGTAATGTTAAAGAAGGCAGATCCTTCATAGAGGTCATGGTCACAGAAGGTAGATCCTTCATAGAGGTCATGGTCACAGAAGGTAGATCCTTCATAGAGGTCATGGTCACAGAAGGTAGATCCTTCATAGAGGTCATGGTCACAGAAGGTAGATCCTTCATAGAGGTCATGGTCACAGAAGGTAGATCCTTCATAGGTCACAGAAGGTAGATCCTTCATAGTCATGGTCACAGAAGGTAGATCCTTCATAGAGGTCATGGTCACAGAAGGTAGATCCTTCATAGAGGTCATGATCACAGAAGGTAGATCCTTCATAGAGGTCATGGTCAAAGAAGGTAGAGCCTTCATAGAGGTCATGGTCACAGAAGGCAGATCCTTCATTGAGGTCATGATCAAAGAAGGTAGAGCCTTCATTGAGGTCATGATCACAGAAGGAAGATCCTTCATAGAGGTCATGGTCACAGAAGGTAGATCCTTCATAGAGGTCATGGTCAAAGAAGGCAGAGCCTCCATAGAGGTCATGATCAAAGAAGGTAGAGCCTTCATTGAGGTCATGGTCAAAGAAGGCAGATCCTTCATAGAGGTCATGGTCACAGAAGGAAGATCCTTCATAGAGGTCATGGTCAAAGAAGGTAGAGCCTCCATAGAGGTCATGATCAAAGAAGGTAGAGCCTTCATTGAGGTCATGGTCAAAGAAGGTAGATCCTTCATAGAGGTCATGGTCAAAGAAGGCAGATCCTTCATAGAGGTCATGGTCACAGAAGGAAGATCCTTCATAGAGGTCATGGTCAAAGAAGGTAGAGCCTCCATAGAGGTCATGATCAAAGAAGGTAGAGCCTTCATTGAGGTCATGGTCAAAGAAGGCAGATCCTTCATAGAGGTCATGGTCACAGAAGGTAGATCCTTCATAGAGGTCATGATCAAAGAAGGTAGAGCCTTCATTGAGGTCATGGTCAAAGAGGGTAGATCCTTCATTGAGGTCATGGTCAAAGAAGGTTGATCCTTTCTAGAGGTCATGGTCAAAGAAGGCAGATCCTTCATAGAGATCGTCAAAGAAGGCATATCCTTCATAGAGGTCATGGTCAAAGAAGGCAGATCCTTCATAGAGATCGTCAAAGAAGGCAGATCCTTCATAGAGGTCATGGTCAAAGAAGGCAGATCCTTCATAGAGGTCATGGTCAAAGAAGGCAGATCCTTCATAGAGGTCATGGTCAAAGAAGGCAGATCCTTCATAGAGATCGTCAAAGAAGGCAGATCCTTCATAGAGGTCATGGTCAAAGAAGGCAGATCAACATTATAAAACATGGGCTATTCTTCATTTCACTCAAGACTGCAGGGAAATCCTTTATCAAGAGCAAGGTCAAACGAGAGAATCCCCCATTTATAGTAAGGATCAAGAAGCACAATTTTTTACAGAACCCAAATCAAAGAATCTTCTAGAATATCTGAACAATTGCTCACAAACATCTAACAGATAATTCCTTCTTATATTGGCATTTACTTTGTTATGTATATTTTATGGTCAGATATGAATCTTCAGCATAGATATGACATCTGATATATAACTTGAAGGAGTCTGAAAGGTTTCGTTACTTCCATATCATGGATGGAGTGTGATGGATTCATGAAGTCAGGTTCACTACCAGCAGTTGATTCCTAAGTAGATTGTACTGGGAACTAATAACAGAGATGCTGTGTGTCTGAATTTGACTACCACCAACAAAATGCCACTGAACACACTTGCTGGGTTGGTTTGGTGGTGTGGGTACAGATGACAGGAATGTCTACTACTTATACATCACAAGAATGGTGCTCAAAAAGCCTGATGTGAGGAGTGGTATTTATTCCAATATTAGGAATCCAAAGGATGTGTTGCATGTAGACTATGAAGGTTCTTGTGGCTATAGGTAAGGAAACATTTCCACCAACATTTGTGTTTATTCCGCAGATGTGTCTGTCTCTCCAATGTTTTCACAAAGTACCAAATTATGTACTGTGTTCACCAGAATATCCAGCATACTCTACAGTCAATAATTTTAATTTCAAATGCAACTACATTTTTAAAGTATTTTGTGGTTAAAATAAAATGGATAAAGGGACTAAGGTCCAAGTGTGAACCAGTATCAATGAATCTCAGAACACCAAGAGTCTTGGGCATGATAGAAGGGTATGGGGAGGGACTGAGGGAGGGAGTAGGAGGAGGAGGAGGGGTTGGTTGGGGGTTGGATGGGTTCGTATAGCATAGAAAATATGACAACCTGGAGGTCTTTTAGAACCTTTCAGGGTTCCTCTTCGGCTTAGCTCTGCCTGTAGTTTCTCCAGAATTGTGCCACTGCCACCTAACTGTGCTGGGGGATTTTCTGGTTCTTCATAATCCTGATGTCAACAACACATATAAGCAAGACATAAAACCACAATGCAGCATTCTAACTGAGATAAAAAGGTCACCATTTATTCAGTTGTTTTCCGTAAACCACTTACACAATACACTTATTAGAGCACTTCCTGAATGTCTTTATGTAACTGTCATGCAGAAGTACATGTACCTTGAATGTATGTATCTAACTGTCACACAACAATTCCTTGAATGTCTGTATGTAACTGTCACACAGCAATGCCTTGAATGTCTGTATGTAACTGTCACACACCAATTCCTTGAATGTCTTTATGTAACTGTCACACACCAATTCCTTGAATGTCTGTATGTAACTGTCACACACCAATTCCTTGAATGTCTGTATGTAACTGTCACACAGCAATTCCTTGAATGTCTCTATGTAACTGTCAGACAAGTTCCTAATGATCTGTATGTCAATGTAGAACAACAGTTTTAATTACTGCATGTTACTGTCAAATAACTGTTCTACGTTAGTGTCAAACAACACTTCTGTACTACTGTCAAACAATATTTCTTTATTCATTTCAAAAGACATTTCCAATTCTGTTAAACAACATTTCTATATAAGTGTAAAATAACAGTTCTTCACTGCTGTCAAACAATAGTTCTGTTTCTGTTTTATGTTAGTTTCAAACAATGGTATCCCAACTGTATAAGTCAATGGTACCTTTTACCTCAGATTTCAACACAAAAAGTGAAAACTATATGCCAAAGCAATGATTCAAAGAATACAAAAAATTATATGATGCAAGCTAAAATATCAAAATATGAGAGTGAAAAAATGCTTGGTTTATAAATACAAGAGTGTAAAATGCCACACTTTAGTTTTTCATTACTATCTTTCATTACACACTGAAAGAATACTTTTTTTTTCTTCTGACAAAATTCTGCTTGGTGATTCTTGATATATAATTGTTCTCTAGAATAAATATTCATGGTGTCAAAATACAATTATGTTTTTTAAGGGTTGTTGAAAGAAAAAAAAATGTCATGTGTTGAGGATGGACATAAAGACAGATACTCTCACGAACCATCCCTAACAAATGACAGGACATGTCCGATAAAACCAAACACTAACCATGAAGAAATATTCTTGATTAACATTTCTTTGAATGAAGTAAGATGTCAACAATCAGATCTATATAATACAAAACCGAAAATGAGAATATATATACAATGTTTAATATAATGCTTAATTTACTTAATTTATATAAATAAAATTTAATCAGATTAAGGTGGTATAGCATATATGATATGATATTAATGCTTGTGTTGTCTGGCCACTGGGAGCAAGGCATGTGCAAGATATAAAGTTAGAAAGGTAAAACATGGAAAGTCATGCATAACATGCTTACAGCAGGCAATTTGCATCAATCTAAATGAAGACATTGGTCACATTCAAACAACCTCTGAATCTGGTTGTAAACACATAACTTCAAAATATTTCCCTATGCTTAATGTACACTGTATATGATTCCATTAAGTTCATGCTTTTGCCATTATAATAACACCATCATAAAAATACATCAACCATCATCATCATCATCATCATCATCATCATCATCATCATCAATCAGAAGGTGGTATCTTCTAGGTTACACAGCACATGCCACAAGCAACAACTTGTTCATCTCGACAGTGTACATGCAATAAATGATTTTCTGATACCTTACAAATTAAATTACATATATTTGATTAATTAACTAGGAAAGATTTAACATATTGTAATTTAAGTATGTACTGTCAATTTCAAGGTTACTATTTCAGACAAAAAGTCTTACATAAGTTTTGTATAGCTATGAAATCATTGTGTACAGAATAAAGTAAAAATATAAAAAAACTGGCAAAAAATAACAAACTAGGCAATATCACGTTAAACGTCACATGACTCTGACATCAAACTCCACTCAGGTCATGTGACCAACTTCTTCCGGAAAACTACTACGCAGAATCCTAAACATCGTACATGTCAGTTGATATTTCATGCATGTTTCTCAGGTAACGGAATCATGTCGTCGCAACACGAGATCAGGTAAGTTGAGGTGTTGCATGTGAGCATCATGGGACAGTGATTGCATGCCAAGCTCATGACTCCCTGCATGTCACAGACTTCAGTCACCAGGGAAACCATCCATCTCTCAGCAACTACACATCTGGCTTTTTATTTCATAAATTCACAATGCAAAAATTAACCATCCAAAATTAATTAATTTAACTGAATGTCAAAAATACTAAAATATATCCTTTTACTATCTGTCATTCAATTATGGAAGCCTTTACTTCAGAATGACACACAGCAAATATCATAAAATTATTCCATCATATAATGTCCCTACCTAATATGAAGTACCGTGGCAACGATCTAGATCCAGGTGTCTCTAAGAATCTCTTGACAGAGTTCCTTTTCGAATTCCTTGACCGACATTTAAATCCATTCTCATAAACCGATTCTGGCAAGTCAAACTGAAGGCGGCGTGAGAGCGCCCGAGAAAGTGTGTTACTAGTAAGCCATAATGTCTTATGCTCCAACATCATTGAACAATATGCAGCCTCCTCCTTCTCCTCTGAAGGACACTAGCAAATGAGGGGTTACTGTTATGCTGGGAGGAAATAAATACACACACCTGAAAAAAGTAGGTGAACATTTCCCAAGGTTTCAAAACAACTTAAATTCATGGAACGCTGATGCAATTATAACGGCAGCTTGTGTATAAAAAGCCATTAGGCTGATGAGAATGGTCCCCAGAAAGGCAGGCTGTGCATTACAACAAATTATTTCATTCTAGCAATGATGGGAAAAGTCATTTAGATTGGCCACTTTCACACAGAAACATACCACAACACTTCAATTCACTTCCAGGGTGCAAGGACACAACCTTCCCATAGCAAAAGGCCGAAAACCTTTGAGCTTCGGGAGCAAAGATAAAGTGCGGGAGTGTGCAACACATGAAATGCACATTTTCTCAGGGCTGGGTTTGGAAAACAACAAGGCCAAAACATGTGATGATGTAATTCTTTGGTTTTATGGTAACCTTTTAAAAGAATAACAGTCAAGTCATAAGCTCATATTTTTCATACTATTCTTCTTCATGATAACATTTATTTCCATTTAATTGGTGAATCTGTTAATTATTCTTTTTCTTTCTACTTAACTACATTATTCTAGATTAGTAACTGAAAATCGTGGGATGAAGTAAAGGTTTATGCATTGTCTTGGAGAATAAGGGGAGACAACTCTTACATGCTCAAGATGGAAATGACATTAAAAAATCTGTAATTATGAAGATTAAACTTGTTTTAATTTTTTTCTGTCAAAGATCTTATTTTGAAAATTGTTATACTTAAACTGATAAGAATCTGCAAATTCTTTCCCCAAATATAAATATTTCCATGAATCTTTTTTGAAAACACACCATCCTAATGTGTAGTAAAATGCAATTATAATTTATTTCAGGAGTCCAGAATCTCTCGTTTGCATGATGAATGAAGCTGGTGAAACTGACATATCTGGGAACAAGCATCAGTTGTTATCTCATGTGAAGTAATTTTCTACAGGGCCACATTGTGTGGGATGAAACACCTCTAGCCAATAAGTGAACTGTCCAATTCCTGATGCATCTATAAGCTGCTGGACTAGTCTATTGTGAAGAATAGGTGAGAAGATGACTTTTATGTAAACAATCTGTTCTATTTTCAAATAGTGCATTTATTTTCTAATGACCTGCAACATAATCAATTTTTGTAATAAACACTCATATTTCTCTACCAACTTGTAATTTATAGACTACTGAGATTAAAAAATATATATATGGTACTGAAACTTAAGCTGTACAATTACTGAGTGCATATTTAAACAAGAAAACCAAGGGAGCAAGCTTACCTATATCATCATAACTCTTCATAATTAACATGTATTCTTTAAAGAAAAATATATTTAACTATAATTCAAAACTAACAGACTTTTCATTGTACTTTGAACTTTATTAGATAATTCTGGTCATGTGACTAATAGAAAATTCATCGGAAGTGTGTTAAATACGCTGCCTGATGTCACTGGTGCAGAGAGTCGTGTCATGGGTCCACTAAACGTGTGGGAATAGACAGCTTCCCATATAGCCAATATGCCACTTAAATGACAGATAATTACTACAAAGTGAATTCCATGCTCGTCAATTACACAGGCTGGCTTGCATCTGTTAGTGTCATCGTTTGCAGATAATGGCAGCAATATTGAAGTGTTGGGTGCGCACAGGGCTGTGTAAACTAATTTGGGTCAGCTGAATCTATATTGGGGTTACATTATCATCAAAATAAATACAAATCTGTTACTTGTTTCAAAATGTCAATCAGCTGATAGGAAATGTCAGAGTTGTATCTCTTACATATTTCAAAGTAAGTTCAAAGTGCATTGCTTTTCAGCTATAATAAATTTATTGTAACAATGATGATTTTTAAGGATCCATTTTTATGAGTCAATTATCAAAATCGTTTCTGTTTTCATAAATCATAAAAGATAAAAAAGAATTATAACAGTGATGTTATTACATATTGTCAGCAGTTGTCCTTATCAAATTACCCTAATACATAATCTGGACTGTAAACGGGGAAATAACACATCAACTCTGCCTAGACGTGGACATTGCATATGACACCAATTTCATGCGAAGCACAAACTGTCTAACTGTCACGCTCTGTCAGTGTAAATAGCAGGTCAATTTCATGGATTTGAAACAAACAAAGCAGACTTTCCTTGTTCTTTACTCACAAAGCTCTCTTACTGACCAATCAACATGACGACCAATAGATTACCCTGACTATGCATGCACAGCTGCCGATACTACAGGCTCATGCAATGATAGCATCATCTCCATGCAGGGCGGGTCAAAGGTGAAATGTCAACATAAGCACCATCTTAATGTCATTGATAAGCCTCCAGTTAAAGCTTAGCACTATATATATTTAGTGACAAGCTGATTGCCATAATTATGCAGATATCTACAATTAATGATGTCAGTGAATATATGGTGCTAATAAAAGTTACTTGTATTGATGATTGTGTAGGACATCACCTACAGTTTAATGTTTAACCGTGTAGATCCAGGGTCAGTAGAGCAAGCAGGCAAGGGGTATATATGTATATGCACTAGGGTGTAGCAGTAAACACTGGCTGGCCACACCCATCAGAGGCCAAAGTCCAATCTGTGGTAGATCAGTCGCAAACATGGCAAACTGTAGTAGTTTCTAAATCTTAGATTCGACTCCCAACATGGGTACAAGATGTGAAGCCCATTTCTGGTGTCCCTGTAGTGATATTGCTGGAATATAAGCGGCATCTAACTAAACTAAGTCGCATGCCTTGATATGTCTAGAAAGATCTATACCTTATATGTTAATCGGCTAAGATAGAGAGAAGAATGTACCAGAAAGTATTCCTTGATCATATCATCACATGGTGTCATCTCAGACATGACATCACATCATCACAGGTTGTCATCTCAGACATGACGTCACATGGTGTCATCTCAGACATGACGTCACATGGTGTCATCTCAGACATGACATCATAGGTTGTCATCTCAGACATGACATCATAGGTTGTCATCTCAGACATGACATCACATCATCACATGGTGTCATCTCAGACGTGACATCACATGGTGTCATCTCAGACATGACATCATAGGTTGTCATATCAGACATGACATCACATCATCACATGGTGTCATCTCAGACATGACATCATAGGTTGTCATCTCAGACATGACATCACATCATCACATGGTGTCATCTCAGATGTGACATCACATGGTGCCATCTCAGACATGACATCAAAGGTTGTCATCTCAGACATGATATCACATCATCACATGGTGTCATCTCAGACATGACATCATAGGTTGTCATCTCAGACATGATGTCACAGGTTGTCATCTCAGACATGACATCACATCATCACAGGGTGTCATCTCAGGTATGACATCACATGGTGTCATCTCAGACATGACATCATAGGTTGTCATCTCAGACATGACATCACATCATCACATGGTGTCATCTCAGGCATGATGTCACATGGTGTCATCTCAGACATGACATCATAGGTTGTCATCTCTGACATGATGTCACATGGTTACATCTCAGACATGACATCATAGGTTGTCATCTCAGACATGACATCATAGGTTGTCATCTCAGACATGACATCACATCATCACAGGTTGTCATCTCAGACATGATGTCACATGGTGTCATCTCAGACATGACATCACATGGTGTCATCTCAGACATGACATCACAGGTTGTCATCTCAGACATGACATCACATCATCACATGGTGTCATCTCAGATATGACATCACATCATCACATGGTGTCATCTCAGGCATGACATCACATCATCACATGGTGTCATCTCAGACATGACATCACAGGTTGTCATCTCAGACATGACATCACATCATCACATGGTGTCATCTCAGATATGACATCACATCATCACATGGCATGACATCACATCATCACATGGTGTCATCTCAGACATGACATCACAGGTTGTCATCTCAGACATGACATCACATCATCACATGGTGTCATCTCAGACACATCAAAGGTTGTCATCTCAGACACGACATCAAAAGGTATCTCAGACATGACATCACATGGTGTCATCTCAGACACGACATCAAAGGGTGTCATCTCAGACATGTTCCATACTGCTTTAAACTGACAGCACCTGTTCCATACTGCTATAGACTGACAGCACCTGTTCCATACTGCTATAGACTGACAGCACCTGTTCCATACTGCTTTAAACTGACATCACCTGTTCCATACTGCTTTAGACTGACAGCACCTGTCCCATACTGCTTTAGACTGACATCACCTGTTCCATACTGCTTTAGACTAACAGCACCTGTTCCATACTGCTTTAGACTGACAGCACCTGTATCAACTGCTTAAGTGAGTGAGTGAGTTTAGTTTTACGCCACTTTCAGCAATATTCCACCTATATGGCAGCGGTCTGTAAATAATCGAGTCTGCACCAGACAATCCAGAGATCAACAGCCTGAGTTGACAACCTGTGATGTCATATCTGAGATGACATCCTGTGATGTCATGTCTGAGATGACAACATGGGATGGTGTGATGATCTAGTCGCCTCTTACTACAAGCATGGGTTACTGAAGATCAATATTCTAACCCGGACCTTCACGGTCATACTGCTTAAGACTGACAGCACCTTTCCCATACTGCACTAAACAAACAGCACCCTTTCCCATACTGCTAAAACTGACAACACCTATTCCATACTGCTTTAGACTGACCACACCTATTCCATACTGCTTTAGACTGGCAGCACCTGTTCCATACTGCTTTAGACTGACAGCACCTGTTCCATACTGCTTTAGACTGACAGCACCTGTCCCATACTGCTTTAGACTGACAGAACCTGTTCCATACTGCTTTAGACTGACAGCACCTGTACCACTGCTTAAGACTGACAGCACCTGTTCCATACTGCTTTAAACTCACAGCACCTGTTCCATACTGCTAAGACTGACACCTATTCCATACTGCTTTAGACTGACAGCACCTATTCCATACTGCTAAGACTGACAACACCTGTTCCATACTGCTTTAGACTGACAGCACCTGTTCCTTACATTCTTTACACTGACAGCACCTATTCCATACTGCTTTAGACTGACAGCACCTGTTCCATACTGCTTTAAACTGACAGCACCTGTTCCATACTGCTTTAGACTGACAGCACCTATTCCATACTGTTTTAGACTGACAGCACCTGTTCCATACTGTTTTAGACTGACAGCACCTGTTCCATACTGCTTTAGACTGACATCACCTGTTCCATACTGCTTTAGACTGACAGCACCTGTTCCATACTGCTTTAGATTGACAGCACCTGTTCCATTCTGCTTTAGACTGACATCACCTGTTCCATACTGCTTTAGACTGACAGCACCTGTCCCATACTGCTTTAGACTGACAGCATATAGACCTATATGGCAGCGTCTGTAAATAATCGAGTCTGCACCAGACAATCCAGAGATCTGTGATGTCATATCTGAGATGACACCATGTGATGATGTGATGTCATATCTGAGATGACACCATGTGATGATGTGATGTCATATCTGAGATGACACCATGTGATGTCGTGTCTGAGTTGACAACCTGTGATGGTGTGATGATCTAGTCGCCTCTTACTACAAGCATGGGTTACTGAAGATCAATATTCTAACCCGGACCTTCACGGGTCATACTGCTTAAGACTGACAGCACATTTCCCATACTGCACTAAACAATTCCATACTGCTAAGACTGACAACACCTGTTCCATACTGCTTTAAACTGACAGCACCTGTTCCATACTGCTTTAGACTGACAGCACCTGTTCCATACTGCTTTAAACTGACAGCACCCTTTCTTATACCATACTAAAGAGACAGCACCCTTTCTCATACTGTACTAAACAGACAGCACCCATTCCATGCTTCTCTAACTATACAGCTTCCTTTCCTACACTGCTCTAAAGTGATAGCGCACATTCCAATATGAAGTGGGCTTCACACATTGTACATGATGAGTGAACACTTCACCCACTAGACTTCCTATTGTCAGTATATATGATGGGATAGTAATATTGAGTGTTCTGACAGAAATAACACCTGCAAGTTTGAACTAAAAAACTGCCTTCATATTTTCTGCATTTATACTTAATCATTAAGCAATAACCAGACAAGCTGATTTTCAATGATGCCGAGTTGAACGTATATATACACATATCAGTATCACCTTCACCAACTTGTGGAGAAATAGGTCACAACAGTTAGTTGAGAGGTGGGGAGAGAAGCAGGTAGGAGCTCAACACAGAGAGAGAGAGAGAGAGAGAGAGAATGGAGAGACAGAGTGTCAGTCACAACATACAGAGAGCTGGGAGACAGCGTGTGATAGCCACACATGATGGTATATGATGGGCTGCAGGCAGGATACTACAGACATGTCAGCTGCTGTCACTCACGTCGTCATCAACAGCTGGGGAAGGATATACACAACATGTCAGTCATGGTGGAATCAATGGCGGAGGTACACAATACCACCCTATACAGCATTAGTTTCTTCTTGCCATCTTTCAGTTTCTTGAATATACACAAGAAACAAAACCCCTCAGGTACCAATTACAGAATAATAAAACATGGGCAAAAAACTTGACTAAATCACAGTCTTATATGTAGTTTCAATATTACAATCAACCCGAACCATGGATATATATTTTGTTTGACACCTCAACCTCATCAATCAACCTCAACAAAAGAAATTGCAATGAAAGTTCCCATGGGGAATGCTTGGTCCAATCACACAAAAATATTTACCTTATGAACTCTGCAACCATAGATCAAATACAATCTAATATCATCACAGCAGTATCATATATTTTGAAAGATGACATCATGCTGTTAATATTGTGTGTGATTCAAAATAAGATAAAAAAATTATAACCACCCCAAGTGAAATATAGCAGATATATAGCAGTAAGTAGGGTACACTCTTAGAATACCAGATACCTAAAAGGCATATTGTTTAGTGTTACATGCACTTCCATTAAAGGGAAGCACGAGCTATAAAATTTAAAACAAATAAGGGAGCTCCAAAACAAAAAATAACCATTAAAATCGGATTTTGAAAATGAAAGGTTAGTTATCACAAATAACAAATATATGCGTCTTTGAAAATACGAAGCTACCAAATTCAAACCCTAACCTTATTCATTAAACTAACCCTAAAGAAGATAGTAATGGCTAAAACAGTAAGTACAAAAATACTAAAAACTCAAGTCGAGTTGGGCACATTATTTGCGCAGTTCTAAAGTTTTCAAAGATGGCAGAAGGTATCCAGTATTCAGTCTTTCCAAAAGTAGAATCAGTTCCTATCCTTTACCATTCTGAGATGAAGAGGGGACATGGTGACCTTGAATGTGAGTCTCTGAAGACTTCGTGTGTCATTGTACACAAAACGCTTCAGTATCATCCTCAGTAATCAAGGGCTGGTTTGCATTGTTCTACTACATACCATGGGACAACATAGCAAAAGGATATTGTTTCACTAAGAAATGGGGATTTTACAGACAAAGTGAATTCCTGGCTCATAAGATATTTAAAAGATATAGAGAAAACTATTAGAATCCATTAGCTAAACTTAACTAAAGCATCAATATTTACTTGGCCTACACTGACATAACACTGCTTGTATTTATTTGACAACTTGAATGAATGGTTTCCCTGATAAGGGACCGTTCATAATTTATGGCTAGGGGGGATGATGATGTTTTTTATGGAGAAGCATGTACAATGTGAATGACCCCCCCTAAAATTGATGTACAAAGTAAGTGAACCCCCCTGCATGTCATGTACAAGATCAATGACCCCCCCCCCCTTCCCATAATTTTTTTTTAGCATAATTTTAAAATACTTTTATGTACAAAATTGCTGACCCCTAGTACATGTGTACAAAACTGATGACCCCCACTATCCCCCCAGAACAAAACGGGTGACCCCTCCTCAAACTCATCATCATCCCCTAGCCATAAATTATGAACGGTCCCTACATTCATTACCAGTATTAACAATAAAGCTGACTGCCACAGGTAACCAATAAGGAAAAAATATTTGTTTTCCACCATAACGTCAATCACTTCTTACTTACTGTATTACTCGCATAAACAGAAGGGAAAGTCAGGAGCTATAAGTTTCCCAGATCCCATATGTTAATATTCCACTTTGACCAAGGGAGGTAACTTTGATACACAACCTACTTTGTACTTGGTTTTCGAACTGCATTACATTCAATTGCATTACTGAACTATTGCAGTGGTCTAACATTTAAATCTGATGTCTTGGTAAAATGTCTATGAACATTTTTCATACAATGACCTGACTTGTTATGGAATCAGCAAAATAAATCTGTAAGAAAGAACATCCTAATATTGTGAGTATGACGGTATCTACCAAATATTGCAAACAAAATTATTACCACTCTGAATCTATATATATGTGAATCCATGTGAGGAATATTTTTGACTTTTTTAATGAATATTGTTACAATGGTGTTTGTTCTAGCTACACAAAGTCTCGATAAGAGCTGTCGCTGCAGCTGGAAACAAATCATCCTTAGCATTAAACTAAAACAGTTGAAACTCCATCCTTGTGAAGGGTACAACAAATATGACAAGGAACCATTTGTTGATATTCATAACTACCCAAACACCCACACCAGTACTTTATGAAAGAAATCCACAGCAAAAAACAAATAATAATTAAAACTTTGGCTTACTGGTTACTTTCAATTTCTTACAGTAATTCCAAATTGGTAAAGTTCCGGAAGTTAACCCTTCCACCACCAGACCTACCTTCATAGGTCTCGTCTTGGTTGTATCTTGTGTTGTCCTGTGGTGTCCACTGCTGCTCATTGATATAGTCCTACCAAGTAGAGACTTGTATCACAACTCTACACATTACAAGTCAGTGAGTTTAGCTCATTCAAGCTTATTCCAGCAATATTCCAGCTATATGGCGGCGTTCTGTAAATAATCGAGTATGGACCAGACAATTCAGTGATCAACACCATGAGCATCAATCTACGCAATTGGGATATGATGACATGTTTTAACCAAGTCAGTGAGCCTGACCGCACGAGACCGTTAGTCGCCTTTTACAACAAGCATGGGTTACTGAAGATAAATTCTAACCCGGATCTTGACGGGTCAGACATTATAACACAGTAGCAATATTACAACATTTCATAATACATAACAATGTATTAAATATTCTATGAAAACCTTCACCACGAATGTAATCAGAAGCTGTTTGCAATTCTTAGCTAAAATACAAAGTGAACACTTCTATTTTTATGTTAAAAGTATCAGAAAATGGTTACACCTTAGAAGATTCAAAGAAGATTCTTTAAAGAAATATCTTCATTTTGTTTGTTGGACATGGGTAAAACAATTCATGCTGCCAAAATGATGCATCAAGCAGCTTTTGGTATTAGTATGTACAAGTCCTCATCAGACCAAAACATAGACATGAGTACCCTTGTTTTACATGTTGTGATTGTATTGATGGTCCTCAGGCACCATGACCCAGACCCAGACACAGACACAGACACAGACACAGACCCAGACCCAGACCCAGACCCAGACCCAGACACAGACACAGACACAGACACAGACACACACTCACAAACTCTAATGACACATGCACAAAATAATCTTTAAATGAAATCAATTAAAAAGCATACAAAGAAGTAACTTATTATTTGATGTACAAGTTGCTATGTAGTTACACTGAATAACAAATGTTTTACAAAGAGCATAAAAACTGACCAAAGAGCATTTTTCTGAAAACCCAGCTAGTCACAAAGCTTATTTGGAGTATTCAGTTAGGCTGCTGCTACAGGACCTATCGTATATACAGTATATACAGTTCTAGATTAGATAATAAACATAGTTGGTAAATTCAATAGCCAAATATATCCTGATTGGTCATAAAATCTTAGGGGGCAAGAACATTTTTTTAACAATCAAGATTCTTCATTTATTTGTTTTGTCAAAACATAGGGTGGGTGGAAAGAGAAAACAATATACATGTACATTTCAAATTCTCTCTTGTACCTTTGTCATGCGTCCGCCCGGAGAGCGGAAGGTCGCGGGTTCGATCCCCGGCCGCGTCATACCAAAAGACGTTAAAATATGGTACTTGTTGGTCCCTGCCTGGCGCTCGGCATTAATGGGTACAACAAGGACTAGTCAGCTCGGAGTCAGTATAATGTGTCTGAGTGGGGTATTCATGCTTCACTGCGGCATGGTATCTCAGTGGGCTAGCACTATAAAACTAGCTTCAGTCTGGGCTAGTACAAGCAGCCGCACATACACATACACACGCATGCACGTTGTCATATGAGCGAAATATTCTCAAGCACAACGTAAAACCCAATTTCACCTCACCTCACCTTTGTCATGAATAATCAGGGCTCGATTTAGTGCTTTGTTACTTGCACTGGTGCAACCCAATATTACAAAGTGCAACCTAGTTGCACAGGTGCAAGTCAATTTTTGAGTGGGTAAACTTCTGAAATAAAACATCTAAATAATTCAGTAGCATATTTCTTACATTACATCTTGCAATAAAAGCAGTGCAACTGGAATTGGGCTGATGCAACTAGGTTTTTATGTTAGGTTGCACCTGGAGCAAGTAGGTTAGCATCTCTTAAATCGAGCCCTGAATAATGTTCCCACTGGAACTAGGTACAGTGACCAAACCATACACTGTTTGGGGTAACAAGCGAAAAAATAAAGAATACCTGATCAAACAAACATTTATCATTGAGCATTTCCTACCTGTCTCACTCAGGCATTGAAACTCATGTGTGATTATCAGGCATAGCATTGATAAGAAATGCTATAAAATTGATTTTTTTCACATTTCTGATTCTTAATGTTAATCTGTGAATTGCTAATTTCCCTATACTCACACTTGCAAATACAACTTTAGCCATCATAAATTCTGGGTATGTGCTAAATTATCTTCCTAAACATTGTTACAAATTCATTTTTCAAAAGTATTATTTTAAAAAAAGAGTTTACTTTACTACTTGCACAAGCAGGCCACACAACACACATCACACAACGGTACATGAGCACACCACAAGCAGCATGCTGGAACCAGGACACCAACATAGACGCAGGTTCAGGACCATACAAGTTGATCCTGTCAATACATTTGGATCAAGAAAACATGTCTGATGTTTAAACATTCCCAGGCTACATGTTGACAAAGATAAATAATTCATTCGTGACCCACTCGTGTTATTCCGTGACAAGCCGAATAGCTACTCGTGCCCCTCTGGAAGGATTTCGTATTAGTGTATGAACATTAGAACTACTTCCAACAACTATTTCTGTTTTAATTATAGTGGTAATAAACATTACAGAAGCACCCAAAAAGTGTGGTGTTTAAAAGATTCTAACTTGTTTTAGACAACAATAATGATGATGATGATGATTTGTTGGAAACATATTTAGATGTAATTATTACCAGCTGGTCGCCATAGATTTCCTTATGTATATTTCTAAATAAGGTCTAAGAATCGCAAATGGGATTTTTTCTCATGAGCAGGTAATTAAAATAACATTTTATTTCATCTGTAAAGAGTCTGTAATAAAAATGGTTACTAAAAATTGACGTAAAATTAATATACCGATCTGACGAATTTGTGGAAAGTCCTATCAATTTTTAGTGTACGTGGTGTCTACCACTTGTCTGAACTTGTAACCTTGCTGCCACACCCCTGGTGGAATTTAAAATGAATACGCTGAAACAAATATGAAGAACTGCTGAAAATATCCTCACTGAAGTGAAATGTAGGCACAGTGTTTAGGATTAAAGTTGAGTGGTAACATATAAATATATGATTTTGAAACTCATATCTATTTATGATAACATTTACTGAAATATCAGAAAGCGCATGAAATATCTCCAAAGCAAGCCAGAAAGATTGTCCGAGAAAACACTCAATTGGAAACATATGTGAGCTCATGTGTGTATTTGAATCTCTCACTGTTCATTGCTTCATCTTTACTGAAACTTTCAAATCAGGAAACACAACTCTGTTGGCTATACTCTTTGTAATGTCAAAATGATTTTCATGATTTTTTAAACAATCACATAATGTCATAAACGATTTAAGTACTCAGGATTACTTTTATCAAAGTACCTCAATCCTTACACGCATTAAGATTGGTTTGTCGTATTTATGCAGATAACATAGGGTGGACGAGTCTTCTTGGAGGTTACGGAATGATTTGAGTGGTGACGAATGATATGTAATCGTGTGAGTTTTTTGTCACACATAACAATTATGGTGTGGCCTTATTATTCTGTGTGTATAAGTTGTCTTTTTTTAAGATATGTGCAAAAATAGTTCCCAATTTGATTGTTATCGTGCTCGTTCAAAAGATGAGTAGAGATGGAGAGAATAATGGACCAATATGGTGTTACTCCACTCCTTCAAACAAGATAATCTACAACAGGCTTACAACAGGACACTGATTTTGGGATGCTATACATTAATTTGGGCACATTGGTAGATACAAAACAGTTAGGCCTGGTACAGTAGTGATAAGCAGCTTACAAAAAGAAACCGATAGCAGAATATCACAAACCTATGACTGGTAGATGATAAATACCCTGGCAGGTTGCTACCACTAATACTTAGAATTCAATACTTGCTATATTCATATTTTCTTGAAGTAGTCCACTCTGCATCAGAAATTACTCTTTATAATAGTTGCCCATATCAGTTTCATTTTTGGTTGTAGCATAAGTCAGTTCACACATGCATGATACTTCCAGTGAGAAGTTCAAATATAAAGAAAACAATAATGTAGTCTGACCATTCCTTGTCATGTGAAGCAGCAAGCGCCATTGTGGTCACTAGTGAAAGGGATGTTGCCAAATCTTAGTTTGGGAACAATCATATTTGTCAAAATGAAAACAAAAATTCCTGACTTTTCAGCTGAGAGTTAATGTAAGGTGTAAAACAGTGACATGGAAATCACAAAATATGTGCAATTAATTTAACAAAGAAAATATTGCAAGCTTGAAATTAAGACACATTCACTACCCTGCATATCCCAAAACAACAATAAATAAACAAACAAACAAACAACACAGAACATAGTATGCCATCAACATCTGTCCTGTTATGCCCTTATTTGTTCTGTCTAAAAGCCCCAGTCCTACAAAGACATTCTATCATTGTTTTGTAGTGTCTTACCTTAGGTTTGCGACGCGCGCCTGTTCTCAACACATCAAACAAATGTCACTAGGATACTCATAGGACATCTACTTATACAAGCAATGGTTTGTTTTCTGAAACACCTGTTGTGCAACCTTCACATGTCAAATCTAATCCTTTGTAGGTCGGGATGTTTTTCAAGGCGATTCTGACTCAGGGTTCCCACATTTTTGTACAAAGAAATTTCCATGATTTTTCAAGAGAAATATTGCTTTTTCCAGACACAACAACATATGTCCTAATGTATTCTGATACCTTTAAACATATCTTACTGTGTCTGAAATAGAACAATATCTTAAATACGGCCTCCTGTCTCCCTTTACAGCTGTCCATTCACACCTCTTTATGATAAGATGACATAATAAACATGAAGCATGAAGTGTAGCAAGTTTACTCTTTAACTATCCTTATTGACATATAACCAACATGTTGACCATAGCCCTTGTAGTACTTTTAAGATATACAGTTTTATGAGATAAAAATCCCAGATTATTCCATGATTTTGCCATTTCTTCCATTTTTTTCAAATTCCATGATTTTTCCAAGCCTGGAAAATGGGTGTCAAATTTCCAGGTTTTCCAGGTGATGTGGGAACCCTGTGACTGTGTACGTCTGTAGGTCAACAATACGTCAACAACTGCAGCTGAAATGTGTACTGTACAGAGGAATGTCAGCTTGTGTCTCAGCTTGGTTAGGAATATCTGATGTGGGTTCAAATCCAAGATCTACCACAGGCATGAACATTGATTGTACATTCAGCAAAGAAGTAAATGTACATTTACAATCTCATTATCATGTACATTAGTGTATCCTCTTTAGAAATATGCTGACATGCTGTGATATGACTAGCATACACAGAACTTGGTCTTGAAGCCCCTACACTGTATATGACATTCTTATGATTGCAAGAGTGTCATGTGATTTTGTCATCCGGCACAATGAGGGCAAAGTGTGAAACTGAGGATCAGAAGATAGATTGAACCACAGGAGGTGGGGACAAGCAGTAAAGCAGGGATCCCTCAGTCCCTAACACCAATACTGAACATGGTCTGACAACTAGTGATGAAACGATACCAAGTTGAAATCACTGATATTACAAAACAACAAACCACCATTGTGAAGAAGGAAAGTGAATTTTAATAGCAGGTGTATGGGCAAGATCTATGTACATGTTGCCCATACAACCGTTATTAAAATACACTTTCCTTTTTAACAATGGTGGCTTGTCTTTTTGTAATACACTGTCCAGTGATTTCGACTTGGCATCGTTTCTTTTGCCCCTTTTTGGTTTTACTTGAATCTTTGTGTGTGTATAAACTTGAGAAGACTGCAGAAGGTTGGTTTTACTTGAATCTTTGTGTGTGTATAAACTTGAGAAGACTGCAGAAGGTTGGATTTACTTGAATCTTTGTGTGTGTATAAACTTGAGAAGACTGCAGAAGGTTGGTTTTACTTGAATCTTTGTGTGTGTATAAACTTGAGAAGACTGCAGAAGGTTGGTTTTACTTGAATCTTTGTGTGTGTATAAACTTGAGAAAACAAGTAGTCAAGTGTCTGATTATTCATCATGTTGTACACTACATGTTGTTGACTACTGATACGAATAAACTGGTCTTGGCACGCATAAGTGTAGACTGGAATAGACTGGTAAAAACTGGTGCAGACAGGTGAAAGCTGCAGGGAACAGGTGTGCACAGGAATGAACAATATTGGACTCACGTCTTGGTCTTCTGGGTCCGACTGGTAGTCAAACTCATCACCCCAGCTGTAGGCATCGTCATCATCATCGTTATACCCGGCATGGCGGGAGGAGGGAGGAGCGGGAGCAGGTTCTGTGGGGTAAGCTGGACACACAAACATAGGATTGTTCTTCTACTAATACTTCCACCATCAAACATGCACGGCAGTTTATATATCAATCAGTTATAACTATGTTTGCAAAATTTGTGTTTAATATTCGAAAATATATTGAACAACAGGTCTGCTGTTGGAGGTTACCAATTCTTAACAGTGTTTCCGTTATCTGGTATATACCGGACTTTGACCGGTACAAAGTAAGTATGTCCGGTAATTTCAAAGACTGTCAGTCATCGTGTCCGGCAAATCTTAAAATCAATTTTCTAATTACCTATGTCAAGTTTATTTCTCCTCGAAAAGGATTACGTTTTCACAATGACACAATGGAAACACTGCTTAAGAATTTGTGATCTGATCCATGTATGTTGTATCAGACCAGTTTCAGTTTGAGAGTTTCACTGGCACTGGGACAATGTGTAATGGTTCTTGTCTGGTCTGCGTCGGCCTCATCATGTTTAGACACAACAGAGACAACATTGTTTTGTGGTCTATTCTAATTAATATTTGTTTCCAGCCCTGTGGAGATTCACTATGTGGTATCATTTAAAAAATACATTTCCTGATTTTAACTAGAATTTAAATTGGAAAATCTTGCATCTATAACAGAAAGACCAGATTTCACTATTCATGTATTCATCATGATGGCTTGAATATTTACAAATAAATAAATACATATGAATATTACATTTCCTATCATGTCTGGGTGGTCGTGGTGGAGGGACCGGCTCAGGTGGCATATTGCGGAATGTGCTCATCATTCTGAAAGTACACACACACAAGCTGTTACATACAAGTAGGATATCCTTGTTCAAACAATGACCTTCACCTTGTCAAGTAACTCTATTGTCTGTCCAACACAATGAGGTGGGTCAGTGGACAGTAGGTTTTCTCGTAAGACACATATTCCTGGGTTGTTTAATGGAAGTTCTACCGGACAACTTACAATCTAGTCAGAATCACATAAGTATTTCATCAGTAGAATTACAGTTTCAGTGAACCATGTTTCATGCTGTTAAGATCAACAAGTTACAGCGATGTCCAAATCATGGAATGTTGACACTATGAATGGACATGCTATTTGGTTACATTGCCCTTTGGTCCACACTATGGACATGGAATGTTGACACTATGAAGGGACATGCTATTTGGTTACATTGCCCTTTGGTCCACACTATGGACATGGAATGTTGACACTATGAAGGGACATGCTATTTGGTTACATTGCCCTTTGGTCCACACTATGGACATGGAATGTTGACACTATGAAGGGACATGCTATTTGGTTACATTGCCCTTTGGTCCACACTCTGGACATGGAATGTTGACACTACGAAGGGACATGCTATTTGGTTACATTGCCCTTTGGTCCACACTCTGGACATGGAATGTTGACACTATGAAGGGACATGCTATTTGGTTACATTGCCCTTTGGTCCACACTCTGAACATGGAATGTTGACACTACGAAGGGACATGCTATTTGGTTACATTGCCCTTTGGTCCACACTCTGGACATGGAATGTTGACACTATGAAGGGACATGCTATTTGGTTACATTGCCCTTTAGTCCACACTCTGGACATGGAATGTTGACACTATGAAGGGACATGCTATTTGGTTACATTGCCCTTTGGTCCACACTCTGGACATGGAATGTTGAAGTCTTACCCTGGACATGGAATGTTGAAGTCTTACCCCTGTGTTTTAGGAAGACTGTTCAGTCTGCTTCTGTCAATGTTACTGACAGCGTTCTTCAGTTGACTGAGGAATAGAAAACACAACAATACAACACTTTGCCATTACTTACAACATGGAAAACCCAAATTCATTAACGTTTCTAATATAACCAGGGAGAATAAAGCAATATTTAAATAATTGCTGTGTAGATGTAAAGAAGGTGAATAGTTGCTGTGTAGGTGTAAAGGAGGGAATAGTTGCTGTGTAGATGTAAAGGAGGGAATAGTTGCTGTGTAGATGTAAAGGAGGTGAATAGTTGCTGTGTAGATGTAAAGGAGGTGAATAGTTTCTGTGTAGATGTAAAGGAGGTGAATAGTTGCTGTGTAGATGTAAAGGAGGTGAATAGTTGCTGTGTAGATGTAAAGGAGGTGAATAGTTGCTGTGTAGATGTAAAGGAGGTGAATAGTTGTTGTGTAGACATAAAGAAAGTGATTAGTCTGCCATAGCAACCATTCATCACCTGCCGGTCTACCATAACAACCATCCATCGCCTGTCAGTCTGCCATAGCAACCATCCATCACCTGTCAGTCTACCATAGCAACCATCCATCACCTGTCAGTCTACCATAGCAACCATCCATCACCTGTCAGTCTACCATAGCAAACATCCATCACCTGTCAGTCTACCATAGCAAACATCCACCACTTCTATCATAATAAATAATAATTTATTTATAAAGCACAAATATCCACCTTATCCATGCTCAGTGACAATATTGGGAAAGGAAATAGATCATCTGGGTTTTACAGAAAGGCAGCAGTGAACAGATTTCCTTTCGAAGAGAGTTCCACAGTTGAGGGCTGGCAAGGTGAAGGCTTGGTCAGACAGATGGACTGGAGATCTGTGTTGGGTGAGGAAAGAGTCAGAGGAGGATCTGTAGGTAGATGGATGGTTAGTGTAATGTAGAAAGACTGTTAGGTTGTGGATGATCATGATACTCACATTCTCTTCTTGGTGGATGCAACTTTGAAAGCATCAATATCAGTATCTGTAAGTTTCTGAAATATAAAGTTAAAGTAGACTGTAACCAAGATTGAGTGAGTGAGTTTAGTTTTATGCCGCACTCAGCAATACTCCAGCTATATGGCGGTGTTGTAACCAAGAAAGCAGGAAAAAGGTATGATTACACAATGCCATCATCCCAAATATAACATATGTTGCACGACAAAGGTACTACAGTGGAAGCCCTAAACCGGCATTCGTTGGGACCGCCAAAACATGCCGGTATAGAGGGCGTGCCAGTATAGGGAACTTTCCCCTTTTCAACCTGAGAATGATCTTCCATGTGTCGTAAAATACGACTAGCTGAATAGCTTTCTCTTTCAAAATAGGGCCAGAAATGGGTATGTTTTTACTGTAAGCAGTCAAAAACCAATCATGCGTCAGTGTGTTATTTTTGTCAAATTTACTGGTTTTCATTCACACGACAGTTAACTTATAATACAAGTGACATGTGTCACTCACCAATTTACCTCACCTACTTAGGCCTAATTCTTATCCATACTCCTTTTATCAGACAACATCAATGAGCTTAATGCCGATGGTAATCCACTGTGTTGTTGACAGACGGATTAGAGGGCGCGTAAATGATCATAAATGAACTAGCTTCTGTCGGGACCAAATTCTAGTGCCGATATTGAGAAGCATGCCGGATTGGAGGGCTGCCAGTTTAGTGGGCTTCCACTGTACTTGACTTATAAAGTATTACTCCAATACAGATCTCTTCCTGCTGGATTGTATGATAACTGGAACTATCAACAACGTAGCATATCCTGTAGGCTGAGACATTTCCACATACTGCCTAACAGAATTATCAGCAGTAGCTTCTACATCATGTTGTAAACAAGACTGTAGGAAAACATCTGTGCAGGATGTCTGATACAATCTCCTAGGGCAGGCCTGGGTGTAGATCTATTTCAACAAAAGGCAAACAGTATTTTAAATGCTTTCCCAAATCCTTAAAAGAAATCACCAAGACAATGTTCAGGAATGCAAGTTACTGACTAAAAGCAGTGTGATTGGTATGTGTCATGTGTACTGTTGGGTACTAGCAAAACTCCAGATTTATGTCACGGCCCACCAAAAACAACCTCAAGTGTTCAGCATAGGGCATTGGTGCTGTAACTGTGGGGAATCAAACCTGGGCGTTCAGCATGGTACACTAGTGCTGTAACTGTGGGGAATCAAACCTGGGTGTTCAGCATGGTACACTAGTGCTGTAACTGTGGGGAATCAAACCTGGGTGTTCAGCATGGTACACTAGTGCTGTAACTGTGGGGAATCAAACCTGGGTGTTCAGCATGGTACACTAGTGCTGTAACTGTGGGGAATCAAACCTGGGTGTTCAGCATGGTACACTAGTGCTGTAACTGTGGGGAATCAAACCTGGGTGTTCAGCATGGTACATTATTGATGTAACTGTGGGGAATCAAACCTGGGTGTTCAGCATGGTACACTAGTGCTGTAACTGTTGGGAATCAAACCTGGGTGTTCAGCATGGTACATTATTGATGTAACTGTGGGGAATCAAACCTGGGTGTTCAGCATGGTACATTATTGATGTAACTGTGGGGAATCAAACCTGGGTGTTCAGCATGGTACACTAGTGCTGTAACTGTGGGGAATCAAACCTGGGTGTTCAGCATGGTACATTATTGATGTAACTGTGGGGAATCAAACCTGGGTGTTCAGCATGGTACATTATTGATGTAACTATGGGGAATCAAACCTGGGTGTTCAGAATACCACAGCAGTAACAACACACATGCTCTGTTGACCCTCTCAACAACACATAAATGCCCATAAACCTGACAGTTACCTACTCATCACTCTCCTACAGGGATCTTGTCAAAACAACAAAGGATAGAAAACGGAAGTACAGTCCACAGTTAGTCTGGCTCACAGTCCCTGAACCATATCATTTCCTCACCACCCCTAAAGTCCTAAATGAAGCAAGTCTAGATTTCCTGAGGTTCTAAATTTCCAATCTCACTGAAGCTCCTCTTCAGTTTAAATGGGTTTATTTGTTGCTATCAAAATTCTGAGACAAAACGTTAACTAAATCCACAGTGAGTACAGTCATGGGTTGCAGGCCCTGTCCATGAACTAGGAAGTAGAGGGAGCATCCTTAAATAATTACACTCCACTCCAGCATCCTGGCCCTCCAGTCATGGGTTGCAGGCCAGTACAGTAGGAAGCATACCAAAATAACCCTCCTTATCATTTTCTGCACTTGGTCTATACTCTTCTTACTTACAATAAAATCACATAAGTTATTTATGAAGATAAGAATTTTTTATAATTAAAAGTAGTCCATATTAGATATTTAGATTGTGCATTTTCATTCTTGGCTTAAATATTAACATATTTCTACAAAAGTGAATGTGTTATAGCTTAAAAATGTCTCAAAGAGTTTTTCAGCTGTGAATGTTAAACCTCAAGCAAGAGAAAATCCCTTCAGAATTCCTTATATTGAAATAACACAGCAGTTGTGGTATAAAAGAAATATGATGACATCAGGTGATAGAAAGGCCACCTGCATCCTGGAGACAATGGAGACCAAATGTCATGAAACGTAAGATTACCTAAAACACTCTGTCATCACCTGACCCAGTTGCTTAGTGGGACAACACAGTGTTACCTTAAACATGGAAAACAAGGTGCAATATTTTCAACTGTATCCTTGAACATTGCCAGCTTGCCAGGTATCTTCAATGAGATTTAGAATTGCTACATATAAAGCAGTAAATTTATGAGAAAAGCAATATTTAAGGATATCAACTTCTTTATTGTGAATAACACAATGTCTCAGAGTGTATATCCTTCATCAGCTGATGAAGGAGCAAGCATACACTCCGAAACGTCATGTTATTCACAATAAAGAAGTTGATATCCATAAATCTTGCTTTTCTCATGCATGTCGGCAGTCTGTAAATAATCGAGTCTGGACCAGACAATCCAGTGATCAACAGCATGAGCATCTATCTGTGCAACTGGGAAACGATGACATGTGTCAATCAAGTCAGCGAGCCTGGCCACCCGATCCTGTTAGTCGCCTCTAACGACAAGCATAGTCGCCTTTTGTGGCAAGCATGGGTTGCTGAAGACCTATTCTACCCCGGATCTTCACGGGTCCGGTATTAGGAGGAAGACAATGTTTAGTGAATACAAAGCAGAGAGAATATGCTCTGAAATGTCGTGCTCCTCATAATACAGAAGCTGAAACTATGAATTTCCCCCTTTTTGCCAGGAGTGCTTTGAAGTCCTGTGGAAGTAAGGAAACTTACAGCTAGTTTGGATCCATCAACTCCTTGCTTCTTGAAGGGATCCTTGAACTCATCCAGATGATTCTGAAACAAAACCACATATAAATTAGATATTTAATACTTGAAACTATTTGAATATGTATCTTGATACCCTGGTCCATCTAAAAGATACTTACATTATTCCAGAAAACATCTTACAGCCCCTCTAAATGATGTATTCCTTCATTCCATAATACATCTCACAATCTCTGTTTATAAAGCATACTGTGTTCCGTAATATACATGTTAGGGCCCCTCTAAATCTCTAATTCCGTAACACCTAGAGCCTCTTTAAGGGATGTTTCTTCATTGCATAAATTGCATCTTTGAACTTTTCTAAATGATATATACTTTATTCAGTAATGTAGTATATTTTTACTGCATGCTTTTAGCTGCTGTAGGTGCATGTAGTAATATTTAAGTTACAGCAGTGCCTTCTATGAAAGAGTTACGTCATCAGCGTATGTCAGTAAATGATCTAGCCCTCGTGTGCTTTTGTTGTTATTTGCTCCTGCAAGAATATATGACAACAAGTATGTCTTGGAGCCTTTCTAAACGTTGCATACTTCAGGCCATATATTCTTGTTCTTACAGTTGGATGAAAACTAGGCCTTAGCGTGACCTCAGTCTGATAATAACATGACCTAATTTTCTATGACCTTCATCAGATAGCAACACTTAGGCCTAGTTTCCTATGACCTCCATCTGATAGTGACAACACCTAACTTTCCATGATCTCCATTGGATAACAACAAAGCCTTGTTCCGTATAATGACCTCCATTGGATAGTAACAACACCTAGTTTCCTATGACCTCCATCAGATAGTAACAAGTTACCCTATGACCTCCGTTAAATAGTAACAAAGCCTAGTTTCCTAATGTCCTCCACTGGATAGTAACAAGTTACCCTATGACCTGCGTTAAATAGTAACAAAGCCTAGTTTCCTATGTCCTCCATTGGATAATAACAAACCCTATGACCTGTGTTAAATATTAACAAAGCCTGATTTTCTATGTCCCCATTGGATAGTAACAAACCCTATGACCTCCATCAGATCTAAGGAACAAACCATAAGCCCAGAATTCTGTGATGAAACATTCAAGACATTGCTGTTACTAGTGTTATGCAACAATGTCATTTATTACTAAAAGATGATGACAACTGTAATGTCTCAATAAAAGAAGAATCAGTATGATTATTTGAAAGATTCCTTTTCCTCATTAGGTACTTGATAAACTGTAAGTACATCACTATCTACAGTAAAACCTTGTTAATCCAGGTGATTTCAATGCAAGTAAAATGTCATGAGTAAAACTGGCATTTGGATACTTTTCATGCTCCTTTCTAAAGGTAATCATCGTGGCAGCAATATTTATAAATATAATATATATAAACAATAACAGTCAGGGACCAAGATTATATACTCAACACAAACAGTCAAGGACCACCCCAATATTCAATATCTAAGTATTATATGGATCATAATATGAACCATTAAATACTTTAATATTGAAAATAGGGGTGGTCCTTAACTTTGGTTGTTGAGTATATATGGGGATATATCTATATGCTGAAGACTGAGCATTCAGTTTCACAAACACATCCCTCAAAATGGTCATTTTCCATAACTTGTTTGGTTGAGTATATGTTAAGCAATTCTGTTTTAATAACACTGTTTTCAACTCGGCAGACTGCACCACCATTATCTTTCATATTTTCTTGACTGGACAAGCTAAGCTGAAGAGATACATCTATTACATCACTTGTGCAATGGTCTTCTAATAAAATTTATGCAACATGGCTCCATACAAACTCTTGTCATTGCACGCTGAGTTTTTTCTATGCTACCACAACTGTCTCCTCTATTTCAGACTGTGTCTTCGCCTGTGACAAGCAATTAGGGACTATAAACCTTTCTTACCTGAAATTCTCCAGGTTAATAGTATATAATAAGACCTGCCTGTATGATATACTGGTATAATTAAAACCCACTGCTTGTCTGTCCCCTGTGATTTATGTCTAGATTGTCTACTGGAGGATATATTGCATTTTATCTCTAAGATTTATTATGTGGTCATATTATTTCATTATATATTTCTTGTTTATGGTTCACTGGCCTCAAGTACAGAAATAAACAATGAATGAAATAAAAATATCATATTACTTGTCCAAAGTTTATGATTGTTAGGTCACTACCAAGACTTGAACCTGAAGATCCGGGTTAGAATTGATCTTCAGTAACCCATGCTTGTCGTAAGAGGCGACTAAACAGGATCGGGTGGTCCAGGCTTGCTGACTTGATTGACACATGTCATTGTATCCCAATTGCATAGATTGATGCTCATGCTGTTGGTCACTGGATTGTCTGGTCCAGACTTGATTATTTACAGACCGCCTCAATATATAGCTTGAATATTGCTGAGTGTGGCATAACACTAAACTCACTCACTCTAAAGTTTACACATCTGTCAGACATTTGGGTTTTATCAATAAACAAGAGTGTCCTACTTCCTGACCTCAAAAAGCAATTTCAACTTGCTTTGGGTGTTACAATAAATGCACTCCTTGACATTTTTTTAAGAGCCAAGATTGCTTATTATGGCAAATACGGTATGCATGTTTATAACAAAACATCAATCCTTTCATGCCACGACACATCAGGAACAGATCATTACAATGCACTGCTACTTTGTCCCCTCCTGCAAAGTATCCATTGATTCCACTACAATAGATACTGATGTAAACCACTCACACTCTTTTGTCTCGAACTTTGATATCCCGAACTTACGATTACCTTGAAGCAAAAGCTTGGTCCCTACATATTCCTTACCTAAATCATTTCGCATTTGTGTCCAACCTTGAATAACATGAAGTATTTACATTATGACGTCCTTTCAACCACAGGGGCTTGTAACGCTAAAAACTGCCATCAAGGCATATACTATCACTGACGAAGACCCCGTCAGTGATAGTATATGCCTTGATGGCAGTTTTTAGCGTTACAAGCCCCTGTGCTTTCAACTTTGTCACACCAGTGTTTGGCTCTCTGTCTCTTACATAAAATATATCACAGAGGGAGGTTATTGTAAATTAGCATAATTCTGACAGCAATGGCCTCACTTCCAAACACACAACATGCACTCTCTGTCAGGATGTACTTAGATATAGCAATTGTTTAGGTTCCTGCACTCTGTTGATAAAAACAGACCGACACTGACCTGTTGAACACAATAGAACACAGCTCATGTTGTCAACCTTGTAGGGGTTATGAAAATAAAGCTCCTATGAAACTAAATGTGTCAATACCATTCATTCATATAATCTGCCTGATGTCTGCTGGCAAATGATTGGACTGTACACTTGCAACTGATCAATTTGCGCTGAATCACTGCTACCGTCAAGAACTGTGTTAATGAAGTTTTAGACTTTAATCCCCACTTAATCCCTCCTACCTCAGCCAGCCATCTTGTGGTGTCCGCGACGGTCCAACGAACGATTTCTTCGTATGGTGGGAGAGAAGCCATTTTACTTGTCACACGCGTCTGATAACACCGAGTTGTCTAAAACCCGTCCTCCGTGTTTGTTAAATTTAATTTGCTTCCTGGTTGAATATTGTGTACCCGATACTTACAGAGTTACTCCCCTTGGACGGCGACCACAAGAGATTCGGACCTCAAAGCGCTATTGACTCGGTTAGCGTATATAGATATGATAGATAACATACACTTCCTCTGTATTCACTTCCTAGTAATAGGAGATATTGACAGCATTGTATTTCAGTAGGAAAAACACAATAGGTCCAAAACATGCGAAGTCATGCTTTTGGTTGACTCTGAGTCTATTCCATTCACCCCCACTCTAGTTCCGCCTAGCCTATGGTGTGTGTGTGTGTGTGTGTGTGTGTGTGTGTGTGTGTGCGTGTGCGTGTGCGCGTGTGTGTGCGTGCGTGTGTGTGCGTGCGTGTGCACAGTTTATTTTCACGAGAGTTTTAATTGTCATTTGATAAGTTTTCAGGACAAACAGGAGGAGGGTTGGCGTGCGCGTAACGCCGCTTTGAAAGTGAACTTTCATATCCCAGGATTCTTCTAGCCCGGAATCCATACTGGTGAATTAAATACTGTGAGTTAAAAGATAAGCGTCATTACAGAGTGGAGATGTTCAAAACCTAGCGATGTCTATACTGCCTTTGATAGCATAAAATGATTCAACAACAAGTGAAGCTTGTGGTCACGCCCTGTAGTCAGTGAGTGAGTGAGTTTAGTTTTACGCCGCCTCTCACGAAAAGCATGGGTTGCTGAAGATCAATTCTAACCCAGATCTTCACGGGGGTAGCCTATAGTCATCAACGCCAGAACGTTTTCTCAGTTCTCTGATACATTACTTGTTGTTGCCATGGTACACGTTCCCACCGCATCAAAGATTATCCACAAGCAGTACTTTCACTTTTATATTTATCATGTTAACTTGTCCTTTAAATCAAATACTCATATGTGCGCCCCACACATCTTCTGGCGGGTTTGAGGTGTTTAGGTGCTCTTGGTTTAACGACACATACATGAGGACGTGCATGCATGTACGTGCGTACGTACGTGCATGCGTGCGTGCGCGCATTTCCTTGTGCTAGGCCAAACTACTGCCCGTTTTAAATGGCAACCCCAACAGTGTAACACGAACGCCCCTTCCAGACACAGCATACTAATTTCGAGCCAACGTTCGGTCGTTAGTAGATTCCCTTAACATCGAGCGCAAACAATAACCATCTTTTAACGCTCTCCGGGCTGACGCTCTGTCTACAAGTCCACGGAGGCTGTTCCACAAGAGTGATGTAGGGTACCGTTCAACAATGCGATCTTAACGGTACATCGCTGCGTAAAGTATGGGAGTTGCGATCACCTACGATTGCCTGGTGGAGACAGACACTGGTCACGTGGGTCTCGGGTATGACCTAAACACGTCGGGAATTATAGATAACGATATAACTGGCCAATTGATGCTGTGTGTCAAAATTCATTTCATTTTAAATTTATAAATATTACTATAATGATTTTCACATAATTTCAAATGCATTAACGCCGTCAATATTTGCTCACTTACACGCCGATAACCAAGTTCAAAACTGACCGATCTGAAGCAGTGAGTTCAGGTCCCAGATTCGCCTGACTTTCTAGATTTGTCAGTGCAGCGTCCATAAAAACTCCGAGTCCCGTGATGGGTTTCGAACCACGGACCATCTGATCGGAGGTCGGAGGCCATGTTCACATGACCAATGAGGCTAGCTCCGTCAGCAAGCTGACATGGTAGGGATGCCATCTGTAGGATGACTCCACGCCCTGCTACCTCAGCGGCTGTATGGCATCAGTGACCGAGGGTTACACAAGGGTGTTGAACGTCTGACGTGACGCCATCAACTAAAATAACGTTCAAAGCGTCATTAGCCCCACTCATTCCTTCACCCATTCATTCATCAACAACCCCAATGGTGGTTATTTCTTTCCGTTAGTACTCACAAATCATCCTGATTATTTTTCATATCACGATATTAGCACAGACATAAGCACGCATCACCATCCCTGTCTCTGTACCATTTGGCCTTTATCAGTGCCTATATACACGACATGCAAGACCTACCACATATAAAACGCCGTCTCCCTCTGTCGCTCTGCTTCAACATTGAGGCAAGGCTCAACAGTAAGATTTTCCTCCACTGTCACTCGGCTAACCCGGATGTGTGCAGATAATACAGCTCTCCAATGACATCTGTACTTCCTCGTTGGCCAGGATGTTAGCTCACCATCAAATGATGGGACATCCCACATGTCGTAAATCATCCAATAAAGACAAGATGCAGTAGAATCCGGCTTCGTTAAACTCTCGCTTCTTGCGTTGCCTCAAAGTCAGATCGACTCTTGGATCCGAACCCATGGTCATAGGATCCTGGTATACAACAAAGGGATGCAACACTGTACAAATTGCGGCGCCCTTCGCCTGACTCCGTCCTAAGGATTGATGTTTTAATGTAACGTTATACCACCATCTCAAAAGGAAGAGCTTTTCGGTTACAAAACCATACAATCGTAAACAGCCTTCGTGCATTTCCTAGGGAGGTGGTAAATAAACGCCTTACCGATGGTCTCTATCAGGGAGGTGGTAAATAAACGCCTTACCGATGGTCTCTATCGATCTTAAATGTGTGAGACAATGTTGCTAAGGAACACTTCGCTTTCTGAGACAAAATGAGTAAGTGAAGGAGTATAGTTTTACGCCGAACTCAGCAACAGTCCAGCTATATGGCGGCGGTCTGTAAATAATCGAGTCTGGACCAGACAATCCAGTGATCAACAGCGTGAGCATCGATCTGTGAATCGATGACATGTGTCAACCAATTCAGAGAGCCTGACCACCCGATCCCGATAGTCGCCTCTTACGACAAGCATGGGTTACTGATCAGACCGCCTCCGTAGTGTAGTGGTTAGAGCGTCCGCCCGGAGAGCGGATGGTCGCGGATTCGATCCCCGACCGCGTCATACCAAAAAGTGTTAAAATATGGTACTTGTTGGTCCCTGCCTGGCGCTCGGCATTAATGGGTACAACAAGGACTGGTCGGCTCGGAGTCAGTATAATGTGTCAGAGTGGGGTACTCATGTTTCACTGCGGCATGGTATCTCAGTGGGCTTGCATTATAAAACCAGCTTAAGTCTGGCTAGTACAAGCAGCCGCACATACACATACACACGCATGCACGTCGTCATATGAGCAAAATATTCTCAAGCACGACGTAAAACCTAATTTCACCTCACCTCACCTCACCTCACCTCACCTCACCTCACTGAAGATCAATATTCTCTCCCGGACCTTCACGGGTACTGAGACGAAATGACTAGTAGAGATTATATTCATACGAGGGGAGTTCAAAAAGTAGCCAGCCTCACCTAGAAAATGATACAAATTCAGCTGCTTTAATGTTTTGTTTTTCTACATATTATCTGTCAACCTTAAGCAAATTGGTTTTGCAATGTTCCAGCCTCACGATCCCCATTTTGTTGACTTATTATCTCGGTACCCCCTGAAAAACGCACAATCTGCAATAAATGCATCACAAACTTCAGGAAACATTTCGTGTGTTTGACATAGGCAGAATCCCGCTAGAATCAAACTTAGATATTAAAGTGCATAAAAATCAATTTGAAAAATGTTTTCACTTATTCATACATGATGCCAAGGGTTCAAACTAAATACTGAATGTTCACACAAGTGTCAACAGTGGGAGCTTGAATATCTGGACACAACGTTTTTGAAAGATTAAAATGGGGATGTCCTTAAAAAAATAGCTCCCGTCTAGAAATATATACTCTCCCCCAAAAGAAACGCATATAGGAATTTCAACTGTATTTTTATGTTTATTTTGAAACATCTTGTAGGCTTTATGAGTCAATGAAATATAGCGAAATTGCACACTGGGAATGCAGACTTATCCGTCTTTGGCACTAACTCGAGGAAAGTCAGTTTGAGTGTCACATGGAGACGTGTGGTGGTGCTGAAGTAAATACCTCGTGTGACCACCGTGAGCATCCAGAACTGCACGGCATCGAACGAATAAGTCTCAGAATCTCGTGTTGCCCAATCGCAGCCCACTCTGCCTGTAGTGCCTGTGCCAGTTGCTGAAGTGTCTTGGGCTGAGGGTTACGGCGTCGCACCCGTCTGTCCAGGGCATCCCACAGATGTTCGATCGAGTTAAAGTCCGGTGATCTTGAGGGCCAGGGGAGCACATTGATGGTGTGGTTCTGGAGGAAGTCTCTAGTGTGACGTGCTGTGTGGGGCCTGGTATTGTCCTGTTGAAACAACTCCCTGTGGCGATCAATGATTGGAAGGAGGTGTGGGAGTAGGATTTCGTCACAGTACCGTTGAGCTGTCAGGTTGCCCTGGATCATCACCAAATCACTTCTCCTACGGCAGGTGATCGCTCCCCACATCATAACGCTTCCCTGACCGAATCTGTCCACCTGGGGAACGCAAGCGTCGGCTAAACGTTCACGTCGACGTCTGTACACCCGCATTCTTCCATCGCGTGGTTCCAATAGAAATCGTGATTCATCACTGAACCAGATTCTACGTCAATTCGGTAGGTTCCAGGCTTGAACGTTGGTGCACCTTTGAACTCGATGTCGACGATGTTGTTGTCGAAGCACAGGGCCAAAATAAGGTCTTCTGCACGTAAACCAACCTCTCTCAATCTGTTCTTGGCGGTCTGTGCAGAAAGCCTCCTCGATCCGGGTATTTGTCGAGCGGTACTGGTCGCCGTAGCTGTTCGATGACGCAGGTGATGTACCCGGATGTAGCGATCCTGCGCCGCAGTGGTCGCTCGAGGCCGCCCACGACGAGGGGCATCTGCTACCGCATTCTGCCGGCGATATCTCTCCCAGAGCCGTGAAATGGTGCTTTGGTGAACATTCATGCGTCGGGCAACTGCACGTTGAGACTGGCAAGCTTCAAGCAAACCAATGGCGATATGACGGTTGGCTTCACTTAGACGTGGCATTTTGCGTTCGTCAACAATATTCCAAATACAGTGAATAATCGACAGACAGCGATCAACCTTTTATACCCAT